GCACTACACACCAATACTTACATGTTTATGCTAGATGATTAACCTTCTCTGATTGCTTCCACAAAAAAATAAATTTCAAAATCTATTTTCCACATTATATTATCCTCAGGACATGTACGATATACAACACATCCATTTAGAAAGGAATATAATAGACTAGCCCATGCAGTAGCTGTACGTCTCGACATTCTGAGTGATAAAAGTGCTGAGATATTATGACGGCACTCATTTGTTTTGCTTGTACCTCTGACATTTTTACCTCTGACATTTTTTCCTCTGACATTTTTACCTCTGACATTTTTACCTCTGACATTTTTACCTCTGACATTTTTTCCTCTGACATTTTTTCCTCTGACATTTTTACCTCTGATATTTTTTCCTCTGACATTTTTACCTCTGACATTTTTACCTCTGACATTTTTACCTCTGACATTTTTACCTCTGACATTTTTTCCTCTGACATTTTTACCTCTGACATTTTTTTCTCTGACATTTTTACCTGGCACCGCATGGTCAGGGATCTGATTCAAAACTTTGCTCAACCAATAAAATAAAAACGATGTATCCGTGCAAAACAATTTGAAAACTGTTATACCGCAAATAACATACATGTAGACAGACAAGTGACAAACAACAGCAAGTGCTAAGCCCCATCAGAGCACAAACTGAGCATTACAAGAACTCATACTTTCCATCTACCATCATTGAGTGGCAGGCGCGGATCCAGGGGGGGGGGCCGAGCGGGCCTTGGCCCCCCCCCCAAAAAAAAAAAAAAAAAAAAAAGAGAGAAGAAAGGAAAAGAAGGGAAAGGAAAGAGGAGAGAAAGGGAAAGAAAGAAGAGGAAGAAGAAAAGAAAAGGGGAAAGAAGGAGATCGGGGGACCGAAAGGGCCTTGCCTTGCCCAGGCTGTTGACCCCCCCCCCCCCCCCAATCAAAAAAATAAGAGAGAAGGAAGGAAAGGGAAAGAAAAAAGTAAAAGAGGAGATACTGGCGTACTGATAGGGGGGGGGGGCTTGGTTTCATTTCTAATTCCACAACGGTGGATTACAAATAATGCTGAAATTACATAATTTCCGAGATTTTTCCTCACTTTTTAGTAAATTATACGTTTGTATGTGTTTGTTGGAAAATGACAAATTCCTAAATTTACAGCCGGGCAAGAAATATGATTCTTGAGATTTCTACATGTCAGGGCCCGAGGTACGGTGGGGATCGAAAGCTCTGAGCTCCCCCCCCCTCCCCACTTGTTTTGAAAAAGTGTATTAAAGAGAAATAAAATAGAATGAGAGCAAGAAAGAAAGAATAGTTAACTGCCAGTGTTAACAAATAATGAGGCATCAAAATATGCTCAGCTGACCGTGATTAAATGCCTAAAACCCCTAAGCTTCCGGGGGCTCTGCCCCCTGGATTCCACCTAGGGCCCTATGGGAGGCCCTTAGATGCTCATCTGACGGTAATTTAATGCCTAAAACCCCTGATTTTTGGGGGCTCCACCCCCTGGACCCCACGCCAAAAAGTGACCTGTCAGTGTCACAAAATTATAAGGTATAACAAAAAATATGCTCATCTGACCTTAATTAAACGCCTAAAACCCCTGAGCTTCCGGGGCCGGCTCCGCCGCCTCGACCCCACCAGGGGCACTAAGGCGGGCCCCTGAATGCTTATCTGACCGTAATTTATTGCCTTAAACCCCTGAGCTTGCGGGGTCGGACAAGGTATCAAAATGTGTTTGTCTGACCGCAGGCGCGTAGCCAGGGGGGGGGGGGGGGCGTTCCCCCAAATCGGAAGAGGACGTATGAAGAAAAAGGAGCAGACAAAGAACATCTTTGAAATTCAGACAAGGATTAAGAGTATAGAGAACGGTACAACGCATCGTCTTCTTTCTCTAATAATTTAATGAAACGTCAAAGCTTCACGCAGGAGGGGAGAGGGGGGTTGAATTAAGACAAGGATTAAGAATCGAGAACGGTACAGCCAATCGTCTTCTTTCTCTCATAATCTTATGAAACGTCAAAGCTTCCGCGCTTCGCGCGGGAGGGGGGGAACCTGAATTCAGACGAGGTTTCAGAGGCGAGAACGGTAATACGAATCTTTAATGATTTAATGAAACGAAAAAGCTACCGCGCTTTGCGCGGGATGAAAGGGGAACTAAATTCCGATGAGGATTGTTTCTCGAGAACGGTACAACGAATCGTCTTCTTTCTCTCATGATTTAATGGCAATTAAAAGCTTCCGCGCTTCGCGCGGGAGGGGGAACCTGAATTCAGACGAGGATTCAGAGGCGAGAACGGTAATACGAATCTTTAATGATTTAATGAAACGAAAAAGCTTCCGCGCTTCGCGCGGGATGAAAGTGGAACTAAATTCCGACGAGGATTATTTCTCGAGAACGGTACAACGAATCGTCTTCTTTCTCTCATGATTTAATGGAAATTAAAAGCTTCCGCGCTTCGCGCGGGAGGGGGAACCTGAATTCAGACGAGGATTAAGAGTCGAGAACGGTACAACGAATCGTCATCTTTCTTTAGTAGTTTAATGAAACGTCAAAGCTTCCGCGCTTCGCACTGGAGGGGGAGGGGGCTGAATTAAGACAAGGATTAAGAGTCGATAACGGTACAACGAATCGTCTTGTTTCTCTAATGATTTAATGAAACGTAAAAGCTTCTGCGCTTCGCGCGGGAGGGGGGGGGGGAATCTAAATTCAGACGAGGATTATTTTCGAAAACGGTACAACGAATCGTCTTCTTTCTCTAACAATTTAATAAGTCGTAAAATTTTCCGCGCTTCGCGCGGGAGGGGAAAAACTAAATTCAGACGAGAATTATTTACGAAAACGGTATAACGAATCGTCTTCTTTCTCTAATGATTTAAGGAAACTTAAAAACTTCCGCGCTTCGCGCGGGAGGGGGGAACCTGAATTCAGACGAGGATTAAGAGTCGAGAACTCTACAACGAATTATCTTCTTTCTCTAATAATTTAATAAATCGTAAAATTTTCCGCGCCTCGCGCGGGAGGGAAAAACTAAATTCCGACGAGGATTATTTCTCGAGAACGGTACAACGAATCGTCTCCTTTCTCCAATAATTTAATGAAACGTCAAAGCTTCCGCGTTTCACGGAGGAGGGAGGGGGAAACTCGCCACTCCCTGCACCGACCCCCCCCCCTTACGTCACTGTTGGTCACCATTACGTACCAATATTTGGCTCGCATAATTTCAAATTTGGGCCCCCCCCCCTAAGAAATCCTGGATCCGCGCCTGTTGAGTGGAACAATTTGAAGAACAATATCATAAACTCCACATCAACCAGCACATTCAGGAAGGCCATTGATAGAGCCTTCTAAGTACCCCCGCACCCTCTCTCAACCGATGCGTTTATGCCCAGTAGGGCCCTGCATCGTTCAGATCTAGGTTGTGTATGCAGACAGTTGATTTACAGCAGCAATTTGAAGAAGTTTACAAGCAATATTTCTTAAATCTTCTTAATCTTAGACTTATGTTAGACAATATTCTAAGAGACAAACATTCATGATTGTTCATGCTATTTGATGAATATTCGGTTAGAGCAGAAGGTGCAATAAAAGTCTTCATGTTTGTTAAGTGTCCAGATACCCACGGCGAGCCTTTTTAGCTCTACTTTTGTTTAGTGTCCAGACCCCCCCCCCCCCCTCCTGAGCATGTACTTATGTAGGCTTTATATTAAAGGGATCCAGTAACTTTGTCTCAGATTCTGAAACAAAATCCTGGATTTAGCTCATGCTGCAATAATAACTGTAAACCTTTAGGTCAGTCAGGAACCCCAGGACCATACAAGCTGATCGCCTGTCTGATTATCAAGATATTTATGATGGAAATCAAAACCAAATTTTGCGTTTTCCTAATGGTTTTCATAATACTACAGTATATTGGGGAAAACGAGTATGGGAAAACTGGTCACTCAGAGATTTTTATGTTTTTGAGGCACTTCTTGAAACTTGATCATTTTGAAGCTCAATATTTCTAGGGCTTCAATATAATAATAATAATGAACGTTATTTGTATAGCGCATATCACTAACACAAAAAAAGTCCCAATGCGCTTAGAAAAGAAGGAAAAGGGTGGAATAGAAATGAACATTTGTGCCTGATACATGAAAATAATTAACTACAAACAACAATAATGATACACAATTCCGACATAGCTTAGATGTCATAGATTGTAAATTCAGGTAATACAAATTTAAACATGAAAAAACATCAAAATTAAATGAAAATTAAATTCAATATTAAATGAAGCAAATCAGAAATATAACACCATATCACATACACCGATACCATGTAGGGCCGTGCATCTCAGATTTGACATTGTTAAACGATGCCTTTAAGCTCGCTTGTCTTTCTAGAACCTAGTAAAATTAAAAATGGTTCAGAATGTGAAGTTGCTTGAAGTTTGATTCCTCAATATCCTTTAGGCCGTTAAAAACACATTTCTGATTTGCTTCATACTGAAGAGCATACTCATATTCGTGCACTGTTGGTACTTGTAATTCATTACCTTTTTCATTAACAAATTCATCTACTTAAACAAACAAAAATTGTTGAAGTATTATTATGTTAAAGACATTTTTATAAACTTGTTGCATATTTTTTTGTTTTGTATTGTAAATATGCCAACATTAGACTTCAGAAATTTATCAGTTACAACAAAAAAATAATAATAATAATAATTATGAACAAATTCATTTTGCTCGTAATTGTATTGATAAGTGCTTTAACAAAATCCTTTGGATACATTAAACACACATTGCTTTCATCTCCAAGTCTTACATGAAGAGTACATGAATATTCATGTAATCTCTCTGTTGTATCCCAATGAAATGGAAAGCTGTAGGAACTGCACATGAAATCTTGCTTATATCAATAAAGCAAGGTCAGATTGGTTTCATTATTATTTTTTTTATTGTTCAATGGTTCAAAGTGAAGCATAACTTAATTCATCATTTTATTTTGGTTCAAATCTGCAGACGGTCTATGGCTCACAGCACAAGCCCTAAACACTACTGCAATAGATGTGAGATGGCACTCTCTTCCGCCCCAAGTCCATGTCCAACTGTCCTGCACAAATGTGGAGGACAACGTAATAACCTTCAAGACGACAGCGAACGGAAAAGGTCACACTGTCCTTGGCGGCTTACAAGAGGGCTCTCTATATCACATTATCATCATATCAAGAGATAGCAGAGGAAAGGAGACTTCAGTATATGTTGTAGTTAGCACAGGTTGGTAGTACAGTTGTACTAGATAATCTATCTCTTCATTTTATATGGTGTAACATGCATTTCCCATAGACTTAAGCCCAACATGTCTCAGACCCGGTGCATGTATATTTCTACATGCAGGATTCTATGGGGTAAAATGTGATTCTCATACTTTGAATTTCAAATTGTCAGATTACAGAATTTTCAGATTATAAAAGAGGACTCGTTCTGCAATAATTTAAAATATAACTGCTCTTGTTCAAGGTATGCATTAAGAATTATTTGGCGTATTGGAAGGTAATCCACAAGTCATTTTGTCAATAGTTTAGTGCTTATAGCGCAAAATTGGTGGCAAATCCTTGAGAGACAGCTCAGATAATCATACAAAATGCATTATAACATTAACCAAGAAACATTATCTAATAAGACTGCTGAGTTAAAGCAGTTTTAGATTGCATACAGTAAGTAAATTTGTTATTCTCTTTTTCAATGATTGTTTTATGAACAAAGAAAAGAAGTGAATCATGCTCTGCAAATTTGTCAAGGAATATATATGCACATGGTCTGCAAAGTGTTAGATTTCTGATTCATGGGACATAATTGAACAAAAATATTCTGTTTAACAGTGCAAGACGTGTTTGAGTTTGATATTTTATTGTGACAGGTTAAGACGATTAACAAACTGTTTGAACAAACATCAGTTTTCTTTCAAATGATAAATAGACTAACCTCTTATGAAATAGTGATGGTACCATGCTCTGTAAACATGCCTGGAAATATATAAATATTTGTGCACCTGCAAATATGATATCTTTGTACTCAAAACCATTATGAAAACGCAAAATTTGATTTCGATTTCCAATCATTAATATCTTGATTTATATAAGACAGGAGATCGGCTTATAAAAGTTAAGGGGTTCTTGACTGACCTTAAGGTTTACAATTACTTTACATCATGAGCTAAATCCAGGATTTTGTCTCAGAATCTGAGACAAAGTTACCAAATCCCTTTAACATGTATCACAAGTTAGCCAGAAACAAATATTCTGTTTAATACGTTTCTTTGTTCATGTATTCAATTGTATTGATTATATCGTTGGAAAAGTTATCAAATCTTTTGGCCTTTAATATTTCTGCTCCTTTCTGTTGCTTAATTCCAGAATGTTCAGATGAGGTTTATCGTGTAGGAAGAAAACTCCAGCAAAGTGTGGCAGAAACTACTGTAGAGTCCACAACTTTCGAGGAAGCAACAACATATGTTGAAAGTACCATAAGTATTGATACAACAGAAAGAACTAGCTCAAGTGACAGTTCAGTCTCTGAAATAACGGCAGCTGAAACCACTGTCCAAATAGACACTACAGAGGGTCACTCAACAACTGCAGAGACAACAGCCCAAGTAGTATCGTCTGTATCTACCAATGTCTCTATTAGTGCAATATTTGAAGCCACCAGAAATGGGGGAACAAGTGAACTTTTATCAATGCAGACTGATTCAGAGACGACTGAAAATGAAGCTACAACATTGGTTCTTACCAGCCAGATGGGAACAAGTAGTGAGGAAACCACAGATTTTACATCCACAGTTGAAGCAACAACATTGTCAGTAGCAACAAGTGTAATATCTGAAGATGCAGACACAACATTTGTAGAAACCTCAGTTCAAATTGACACAACACTTATCTCAACATCAGATATAAGCACTACCGATACTACAGGAAGTACTGTGCCTGCGACTGAAGCAAGTCAAGAAAGCAGTTCAGATGAACTGACAGGTTCTTTTACAGAGGAAGCAACAACTCTTCCTGGAACAACCAATGCAATATCTGGGGATTTAGAAACAACATTTGATTCTTCAACAATACAAGTGCAGTCTACAGTTGGGATTTCTTCAGATATGAGCACAAGTGAAATAGCTACTTTGCCAGAGACAACAAGTGTGTCTACAGAAGCTGTCAGTTTAGATGCTACAAGTCAAGCTGACATTTCTTCTAAACTTACAACTTTAAATATGGGTACAACTGAAGCAAGGTCTTTGCCTGAAACAACAAGAGTGACAACCGAAACTGTCTTTTCAGATGCAACAAGTCTGGCAGAAAGCACACCTGATCAGGCATCCGTGACAGAAAGTATCGCACCGAGTCAAACTAGCCAACAAATCCTAACACAAACAAATGAACCTTCAAGTCCAACAGGGACTGCAGCTGAGACCACACAGACCATGCCAGAGTCAACATCAACATCAGCCGTGAATGTAGTGACAACTACTGGAGCTGAAGAGACAACTGTCCAGGCTGTTACTACCAATGTTGAAATTGCTTCCTCTGGAGCCACTACCCAAGGTAAAGTCAAACTTATCACAAGGTAGTGCTTTCAAGTCTCTCTTTACAAAGTAGCTGTTATTATTGAGGTAGCAGTCAAAATCAATAGTAGACACTTATAACAATAAACTATTATTTAGTATGGCTTTGATTTTATGTTTCCACCCCTCTAACAAACACCAGTGGTGATTTGATAAAGAAATCATATTTCTCAAATGTACACATTTTAATGGATGATTCCTTTATTACTTCAGTCATAAAAAGGTGATCCATTTGTATCTAGAGAAAATAAAGATAATAATAATAACATTCCTTTCTTGTATAGAACATATCACATTATCACGTCCCTATGCACTTCCAAAGTGCTCTGGAAATTATTACCCTAGCTTTAGCTCCGTCACCTGTTATCAGCGCACAGTGCATGTCAAGGAATATTTCTACTCGGTACCTATTTACCACACCTGGTCTGAGTGTGGCAAATGTAGATTAATGTCTTGCCAAAGGACATTAGTGCCGCGGCGGGACTCGAACCACAGACCTTGTGATCCGCAGTCCGGTGACATATGCACTCGACCACAACATTTTCATTTCAGTACTTATATTGCTTATTCAAGATTAGTTTTTCAATTGATCCCCACTTTCTTATTACATTCTAGCTTACCCATTGATAGATTAATACTTTTGTCATGTTTGCATAATGAATCTTGCAACAAATTGTAATGTTGTTTTGCCCTTTTCATTCTGTTCTATTTGAGATCTCTACACTTCAGATGGTGCTGGCTCATCATTAAGCAGTGTAACTACAGCTGTTCCTCTAGAAACTTCTACATTTTCTATGGCAAGTCAGGTCTTGACTACAGATAAGTCAGTGACCTCACAAATTCAAACCACCAATAACTTACCATTTGTAACATCAACCCCTGGGGAATATACCTCACAGATGAGTACTTCCACAGAGCTCTCAACTGGGACTGTTATTCTTTCGTCTACCACGATTGATGTAACTTCTGAGAATTCTGTAACTGACCCTGAATCAACTGTCCAATTTACTGAGGATACTACCACAAGTGTTCAAGGTTCAACCACAACAGTTGGTACAGGAGGTATCTCAGCAACTGCAACAACCACTCAGTCTTCTATGGAAATGAGTACTGGTGCAGATACGACAGAGATATCGACTTCTGATGTAACATCACAATCTCCTACTACTTCAGGATTCACAACCTCAGGTTTGAGAACTGGTGCAGAATCAACAGAGCCAGGGACAAGGACTACTGAGGAGGAATCAACTAAAGCAGGAACAACTGAAGGATTCACCTCAGATGTAACATCTACTGCTTTACCAACATCAGATATCACCACCAATGGTCTGACTACCGAGGAGGAGACAACTGATGAATCAGGAACAACTGAAGGATTCACTTCAGATGTTACATCTACTGGGCCGTCAACTTCAGATATCACCACCAATGTTCTGACTACTGAGGGGGAAACAACTGAATCACAAACAACTGAGAAATTCACCTCAGATGTTACATCTACTGCTTCCTTAACATCAGATATCACCACAGACATTCCCTCAACTGGGCCGTCAACATCATATATCACCACCAATGGTCTAACTACTGAGAAGCACACAACTGAATCGGGAACAACTGAAAGATTCACTTCAGATGTTACATCAACTGGGCCGTCAACATCAGATATCACCACCAATAGTCTAACTACTGAGGAGGAGACAACTAACTCGGGAACAACAGAAGAATTCACCTCAGATGTTACATCTACTGCTCTACCAACATCAGATATCACAACCAATGGTCTATCTAATGAGGAGGAGACAACTGAATCAGGAACAACTGAAGGATTCACTTCAGATGTTACATCTACTGGGCCGTCAACTTCAGATATCACCACCAATGTTCTGACTACTGAGGGGGAAACAATTGAATCAGGAACAACTGAAGGATTCACTTCAGATGTTACATCTACTGGGCCGTCAACTTCAGATATCACCACCAATGTTCTGACTACTGAGGGGGAAACAACTGAATCACAAACAACTGAGAGATTCACCTCAGATGTTACATCTACTGCTTCCTTAACATCAGATATCACCACAGACATTCCCTCAACTGGGCTGTCAACATCATATATCACCACCAATGGTCTAACTACTGAGAAGCACACAACTGAATCGGGAACAACTGAAAGATTCACTTCAGATGTTACATCAACTGGGCCGTCAACATCAGATATCACCACCAATAGTCTAACTACTGAGGAGGAGACAACTAACTCGGGAACAACAGAAGAATTCACCTCAGATGTTACATCTACTGCTCTACCAACATCAGATATCACAACCAATGGTCTATCTAATGAGGAGGAGACATCTGAATCAGGAACAACAGAAGATTTCACCTCAGATTTTACATCAACTCTGTCGTCAACATCAGATATCACTACTAATCGTCTGACTACTGAGGAGGAGAGGACTGAGGGAATAACCTCAGATATGACATCTACTGCTCTACCAACATCAGATATCATTACCAATGGTATGACTACGAAGGGGAAACAACAATCTCGCAAACATAGCGATTTTGTACTCTTATATATAAGAGCAGAAATTTGTAAAGAAATCATGATCAGTACAGGTCAAAAGTTGATATCTACTTTAGATAGGAGTATTTGTTTCCCATTTATAGAAAAGTATGGCATGATTGACAAAATTGAAGTAATCAGTGGGGTTGTTTTTGAGTGTGTATATTGTTGACTTGAGGTTCAATTGGTTTGAGAGTAAGTTAGCATCTGCTAAAGATATCAATATCACATTCAGTAGAATAAAAACAAAAAAATATTGAACACTTTGAAGTAATTATGAATTGATAAAAATTATGATAATTATAATATTGATGTTAACAACAATACAAAGTATTCATAATCAGTGTTTATGGGCATTAGTATTGATTTACAGAGAATTAAGAATAAGTCAACATCTTCTCTAGATTAACAAAAAAATAATGTGGGATTCAATGCTTTTTGTGTTGTCTTTGATATATTTTAAGAATCTAGATGTTTTGTCATATTAAGTAGTATCAAGAAAATTTTCCATTTGAAATGAATATACTTTTTTCAGTTATCTAACTTTGCGTTTATACCAGATGAAAATGAGTGTGCATTGGTATCATTAGTTGCTTCCAGGAGGGTAACAACACCACCCCTGCTCCAAAACCTTGATGGTGGTTAAGGTTCTGAATTGTTTCAAGATGTTGTAATTTTAGCCCATAGCTTATGGAACTAGTTGTTTTGTGTAATAAGCTTATGGGACTGAGACAATTCAGTAGTTAACAGGTTAAATCTCTTGCATTTAATTATCATCTTTTCTTTGTGTTTATACCAGATGAGGATGAGTGTGCACTTGGTATCAGTGGTTGCCCCCAGGGGTGTAACAATACCACCCCTGCTCAGAACCCAGATGGTTTCAGTTGCTACTGCTATGAAGGCTTCATCGCTGACCTGCAAGGCAACTGTGTCCGTAAGTCAATTCAATTCAATTCAATTCGCATTTATTTCATTCTCGATTAAAAATCATATTGATACAAGTACCAAAGAGTTCGCTAAACTTCTGGCCATATGTTGCACAAAGAATCACAATTGATTACTAGTCACATTACTTTGAACCAGTCAGGCATCATAATAATCTTGATTTATGTTAATGACACAAACTTAATTCTAACAGAATAGAAGAAGAAAATGGACTGGAACACAGAATATCCAGCAGACAAAATAAATAATAGCACTCCAACAATTTCGATAGAAAATGAATGATTGCCAACCAAGTAAGGATGTGCAGTTCATTTATCCTTATTTTTACAATATTTAATTCTAGAAAAATCTTGTTTTCAGGGGTGCTCCTTCTCATGACCCCTCTTCAAGCTCAGTCACCCGTCTTTCAGGCTAATTAGGTGATAATGTATAATAAGATTGGTCTCCCGTTTCATTTTCAGCGGAAACAAGCTGCATAAGTACTGTATGTAGCAATGCAGACTGTGTTAATCTCAATGGAATGGAGATGTGTGTTTGCTACAATGGCTACAAATTCAACAGCTCCGACATCACATCTTGTATAGGTAAGCACTATTCTGTTATTACTATTCGTTACTTTGTATTGCCTGTGCCTTGGATAGAGATAATTGAACTCAATCACTCTGACCCTTGACCCTTGGGTCCCTCCCCCCCAGTATAACTGATGGGGATGTACAGGTGAAGCCCTATACATGGGTCACTCTACTCTTGGCGAGGAGTGCAGTGGGTTCTGAACGTGCATCAGGATTACTTTCCTACACTTGAGATCTCTTTTTGACATCGTGTATGAGAGACATCAATCACATTGTTTTACATTGTTTCCTAGTGTGCATCTACATGTATGAATCAGGGAAAGGGCTCATTTCACAGACAACACTAGCTCGGAGTCATCAATCCAAGCTGGGGGTGTTTCACAAAGCCGTTTTTCAATGAAAAATGACAAAAGTCAGTGACAAATCTGCTGATAACCAATCAGAATCAAGCATTTCAGTAGCTTATAACAAAGCTGTCATTTATCACTGATGACAAGTTTTGTGAAATATCCCCCTGATTTCTAATCATGATCTGTGGATTGACATGAAGACACTTTACTAATTGAGCCAATTCCCTTTAAAATCTCAATTCAACTAAATTACCATTCTCCTTCCTTTCTAGATATTGATGAGTGCACTGATGTAGAATACAGCAACATGTGCAATCAGGACTGTTCCAATACCATCGGAGGGTACAACTGCTCTTGTTTTGAGGGGTATTCCCTTATGACTGATGGCCGCACATGCAATGGTAAGATTTGCAAATCATTGACCTTTGACCTTGTAAACTATGACAGGCATACATTCGTAAGAACTATGCGTAAAGAGATGCGTAATAAAGAATACAGTTTTTTGTATACCTTGTACATTCATGTCACGTACATCATTGAGGTTCTGTATCATACCCTTAATCCATTTCCATGAAGTAACGAAGCTGTGACATCATAAAAATCTATTCTTAGAATTTCTCAATTTTTTCATTTTCCGAAAGAGCATAATAAATAATGTCCAAATGTGGAAAACCAGTTAAAAAGGTTAAGTATTGGCTGAGATATCACCATCTGAATGAATAGATTTCCTATAGGAAACTGTGTTATATTGCTCTGGTTCATAAAGTTTTGAGCCAGAGCATATAACACTGAGCAGGAACAGGATGACTCCTGGGACCCGCTTCACAAAGCCTTTTTCCAATGACAAATGACTAAATTCAATGACAAATCTGCTGATAACCAATCAGATGAAAGGATTTTACTAGCTTATAATCAAAACTGTAATTTTTCACTGATGCCAAGTTTTGTGAAATGGGGCCCTGTACTAAAGCCTATGGGAAGAAAAGAAATCAGGAATCAATGGGTTAATATAAGCTCTGAGTTCAAGATTTTGAAGATAAACAGAAGTGTGTACCTTTAAAGTTTGAGTCATCAAACAGAATAGATTTTCCTACCTGCATATACTTTGTATATGTTCCTTTATTTCTTGACCAGACATGCATTTTGTAGAAAAATTGTACATATCACACTAAATCTTATATTTTCTTATTACCTTTTATCATTGAAACCTAGGTGTCATTGAGTCTCATGATGTAAATGCCATTAGCGTACAGTATGTTGATGAGATACTGAATTATTTAGTTCATAGCAATATTTGTTATATTGTTATTAACGTCAGATTTTGGGGCAGTTTTTGTTAAAGAATCTATTTAATTGTTGTAAAAACCTATACATTTCTTTCCTTAGCTCGTCATGTGTAGTGCATAATGTAATGAATCTTCTTTTCTTCACTTCCATACCTTGATCTGTAGTTGATTCATGTAAGCTATTAACTGTTCTTCTCTTTCAGATGTTGATGAGTGTTCAAATGGGAATGATTGTCATGAGTTTGCACAGTGTGTCAATACAGAGGGATCCTATAACTGTTCTTGTTTGAATGGTTACACTGGAAATGGAACATTCTGTGAAAGTGAGTATTTCATTTTTAAGGAATTAATTCAGTGACAATTTTTGTCATGCATAAAAAAAACATACTTTTGGCATCAGAATCATTGTCTTATGTACCATCATTATCTGTACGTCATAGGTGATAGTGTAATAAAAGTGTTATCAAAATTCCTTTACATTACTATGTATCTTATTTAATAAAAGATGAAAATCGTTTCTTTTGGTTGAATAGGACCACTATTATGTTAAATGAAATTAGATGTATCACTGTAAATATACTCATACTATTGCATATGTTACTTTATTATGTCGTTGCACTCAGTATGATTTATTTTCAAAGCATTTTTTTCATTGTGCAAGTAATCTTATTTTTTAGCAGGCTTCTGGATGCACCATGTGAGAGAGAGGGAGGATTGAGGAGTCCTAAAAAGGACTTTTGGTAATCTTTCTTGAGGGTGTGTAGTCCTGAAAAGGACTGTTGGTGTATAGTCTTGAAAAAGCCTGTTGGTTATCTTTCTTAGCTTATAGTTCTAAGGAGAACTATAGCGCTTGGAGAGGATGGGTGGTAGGAGTGGCTTGACGTTTTGAACAGGTTGACTATCCGTCGTCAGGAATAATCTTACTTTGTTGTTTAAGTTAACTTCCTGATATTTTATATATTTGCTCATTACTTTTGTTATCCCGAAAAGGGGCAATTGTGATTTACTTGGATCAAACTTATTTCCCCAACAGACATCGATGAATGTGTAAACGACACCACCTGCATATCACCAGCGGTCTGTGTTGACACCTCTGGAAGTTTCATCTGTGAATGCCCCAGTGGATATGACCCTAATGGAACCAGCTGTATCAGTAAGTTAGGAATATGGTTCAGACTATTTACTCCTCATACCCCCCCCCCCCCCCTCTATACCCTTTGATGCATATTGTCCATAGAATTGAAATGAATTTGTTAGATAATTGGGTATTTCATTACTCAATCATTACATGGAAAACAAATCAAAGAAGCCGTCATGGGGTCACAGCTGTTTCACAGAATTTGTTTTAGGATGGCTGATAAGATATTTCTCACATTTCTTGTTCACATTTCTTGTAAATGTAGCTTTATTTACATGTATATATTGAAATTAAATATTTTTGTCACAGTTAATATTCAATAAACATACTTGTACAAACGATGTTTAATCTTTTCAAACATTTTCTGATTATTCTTCTACAAATTCCAATATAAAGGCCACAATTTCTTGTAACTTTAAACTTGTATATCTATCACTAGTTTTCCTTGTGTACATTAGAATAAGATTACAGTAATTATTTAATTCTCTAATTTCTTTCTACCCAGACATCAACGAGTGCACCCTGTCTCAGAATGACACTCGTCGTCATGAGTGTGATACCAATGCTGCTTGTATAGATCTCCCTGGGAGTTATAACTGCTCCTGCTTAGCTGGTTACCAAGGCAACGGACTCCAGTGTGAAGGTGAGTGAATGGAAGTTGTGAGACCACTGATTTATCAGAAGTTGCGGTGATATTTGATTATTGTACACAGCATTATTGTCTGTTAAGTAGCGTACATAGCTCAGTGTAGTGATACATTAAGATGTGTTTGGCATAAAAATGGCATACAATCTACCTATGATATTTGATTATTGTACACAGCATTATTGTCTATTAAGTAGCGTACGTAGCTCAGTGTAGTGATACATTAAGATGTGTTCGGCATACAAAAATGCATGAGATCTGTTGCAAAGAGACAGAGCTATAATTTAGCTGTGGATCGAGCTTGCATATACATACCTCTAATACATGTACCTTGATTAATTTAAATAATACCAAATCTGGAAATCAGACGTGCTTTATGTGTTTAGATAATCCAACATCACCAACAACTAATGACCATGGATTGAAAATTTACTACTTAATTCTTCCCATAGACGTTACACAAGGCCCGCTTAATTTGCTGCATGCACTGTTTCAAAGTTAAATGGTTGTGTTAAAAAGTACTGTCTCTTTATTGACCTGGGTTTGTCTTTATATTTTGCATCAAATTTCTCCACTTCCAGATATCAACGAGTGTAACACACCAGATGCATGCGTCACCAACTCCCAGTGTACTAACATGAACGGGTCCTACATGTGCAGATGTGATGCTGGTTACCGTGGTGATGCTCGCATCCAGTGCAATGATATCAACGAGTGTGATGAGAATCGTATCATCTGTGATGAGAACGCCAGCTGTAACAACACGGTTGGTAGCTACACCTGCACATGTAATGATGGATTCACATCTAATGGAACTGCGTGCACGAGTAAGTACAAATCCCAGAACTAGTCTCTCAACTAAATAATAATAATAATATTTAGCTTTTATATAGCGCTTAATACAAATGTCTCTAAGCGCTTTATAAATATACTATTACCCCGGTCATTGGATACAGTGCATGCCCGCACACAATGTATGCATAATCTCCACTCCCTGGGGAGCATTCCAGCCAGCCAATATGTTGAAAAGAGTTGCTTATGATCCAAATCAATAGCAAGTCCCCGAATCAGTCACAAACCTTTACCAGAAATAAATGAGTAAATAAAAAACAAATAAATATTTCCTTTTATCTTTTGACATACATATTTTAGAATAATATCAATTTCATCCTTTTAATACAGTCAGACAGAACCTTGGTTTTTATTGTTTCGAGCTTGAACTGTACTCCTGATAATGAATTATAACCTGTTTTTTCTCCCTACCTTATTTTCAAGATCCCAAACTCTCACAGAACCCCTGATATCTAATCATCATTTTACAATTATTGCAATCCTTTACCTTATCAAATATGTATTTGTAATGTTGCATTATCTTCTCCCCAGAAAGGGCCTTATAGATTTAACATATCTGAAATGAACGCTTGTTAGACATTTTTACCCTGTGCAAGATCATGGGACAACAATTGATCCTTTGACTGCTGCATCATCTCAGTACCGTAGATCCCATTCTCATTGGCAAAGGGTGACAAAACAAAAAGTCATTCTTTCGGTTTCCGGATGAATAAAAGTTCCACTGGAGATAGTGAGGCCTTTGTAGCCATGCGTTTAACACAGTAATGATATCTCTTGTTGCCTTCCAGATGTTGATGAATGTGTAGAGGATACCCTGAATGACTGTCATCCCCTGGCTACCTGCACAGACACCATAGGTAGCTACATCTGTACCTGTCAGACTGGACTCATCTCCCCTGAAGGAGCCAGAGGCAGATCATGTAATGGTGTGTATTTCAATAACAATTCAAGGAAAATAAAAATGAATTCATGTATAACAGGCAACAAAAGATATTATATACCTCACTTAAGAAATCCAGCCATCTGATTGGTCGAATTGCATTCATAAACTTCAACTGTTCCTGTAAAATTCTCGGTAACCATGCTTAAAACATTTCAATATTTTTAATAACCATGGTTATTAAAAATAGTTGGTCAGCCTCCATGGTTACCCCATAGGTTTACATGTTAAAAAATGGTTTGAGCGATGGAGGATGCCGTATGTGTGCGAAGGATTGGTCGGTAATTTCAATACAATTGAATCTCGATCGATCTTACCGACAATTTTATCTTGCATTGTTGACATGAAGACGAAAATAAACTTCCAAAAACAAAAAAACAACATCTGCCGATAGATCTTGATCTAAGTTCGTGCCAATATGCATTGCAAAAGTAAAAGAAGAGTCCGTATATGGAGCTTTTGCGAAGCATTCATCACACGCGAAGCCGGTTTCAATCCATTTTAATGTATGTATTGGAGAAAACTGCCAAGCATGTTAACGGCGGGCCATAGCCGAGTGGTCTAAGTGTTGGTTTTCGGTACACCTCTTGTTGTACGCAAGAGTTCGAATCCCGTCTTCGACAAAAATGATAAATATTTTTAATTTGTCATTTTTTAGTCTATTTTTTTTCGGCATATAAAAGTATTAATGACTGCTTTAATATTCGAGAAATAGTTGTTTTCATACGCTCTCGGGAAGGTTACAATTGGGCTATTCCCCTCGGCAAGCCTCGGGGAATAGCACAATTCTAACCTTCCCTTGAGCGTAATAAAACAACTATTTCTCTCAAAGCAGTCATTAATACTATAAAATATACCAACCAAACTGAACATGGTAGTTTAGTCACAGCACTAGAATGGAGAGTACATGGTTCTGGGCCCTGTTTCATAAGACTTGATATCAATAACAAGTTACAAGCTACTGTTATAGGCTACTGAAATCATGGCATCTGATTGGCTGAGAGCAAATTTGTCATAGAAATTTAGCATTTGTTATAGATAAAAAGTTTTATGAAACATGCAGGCCCCTGGTCTAGAAACTATCAAGAGCTCTGAAGAAGAAGAAAACAAATTATTGCTTTTTACTGAGAAAATCCAGAAAAGGCTTCTGTGAACCAAAAAGTGATTAATTCTCTGATTGTCTGAAGTGTTGTCAATTTGCACTGGTCTTTCGCTTGTCTATGAAAGTTTGTGTATATCAAAGATTATTTAAGGGTTCCTAGCTATTGTACAAGAGATGCAGAAGCTATGAGAAATGTCTTTCCATAAAAGACCACGTTGAAGTACATAAATAATAGACAACAGCTTTATATCACAAAGCTTTATGTTTTGTTTCAAATCAGCAATAACCATCAGCATCATCACAATTATTTTTTGTTCTTTAATATTGTACATCAGATCTTGATGAGTGTTCACTAGGTATCAGTACTTGTGATGCAGTGATGGAAGATTGTTTTAACACCTACGGAGCCTTCACATGTAGCTGTGCTGATGGCTATGCACTCAGCAGTGGACAATGCCAAGGTATACATTGGTATTGCTCTCTACTTCCCCATTAGGCTGAATTATGAACATATGATTTGAGTGATGAGAACTTATTTTCATTGAAACAGGGTATATGAAGAACAGATGAATCTTTGAGAGAGCCTTCAGATTATATATATCTGCTATGTATAGTCATCTTGAATACATAAGTACAAAGTTTTGTTTAACATGATTTCAAACACATTTAATACCTCCCTTACTAAAGGTACAGCAACACAATGCTCAACTCAGAATGAACCTAGAGAATCCTCAAAGTTGAAAGAATCATACTTTTGAAGCAATATTTTTTACAGAAGGCCACTTGTTTACATGCAGGTGCCAAAGTGTTTCAGAACATCAAGTATTCTTGATTATGATAATGCTACGAGACCAATCAAAGAATAATACTTCCTCAGTGATTCATTACTGTATTTATTCATTCCTTATTTTCATTTCTTTGATAGATGTTAATGAATGTCTTGATGACCCTTGTGATAGCCAGGTGAACACCCGATGTGAGAACCTACCTGGATCATACCAGTGCGTCTGCAGGACAGGTTACTATGTCGTCAACTCTCAATGCTTGCGTAAGTATATGCATAGATATCATTCAAAAAGTTTTTGATTAGTATTTATTTCCTATTAGTATTTCTATTCCCCCACAAATCATGAATATAACACATCCTGAAATAGGAATGATTAAATTTGGTCATATGACCAAATAAGTTTTATTTTCTATCTATGAGAGCTTTATATACATGTACTGTACTGCATTCATTTGAACTGTACTCATGCATGTATCTGATTCTTAGACAGGACAATTGTGATAACCAACATAGTGAAAGAGGATTGTAATTGTTAAACATTCGTGCTAGATACAAGAGCCTATTACAAATTATGATGGAATATGATGCAAATGTACATTGACTGCCTTTTAGTAAATTGTGTTTAAAACGATGTCATACTTTACTGCTCGTTTAAGTGTGGTAATTCATTTCTTCCATTTTACCCCCAATCCATCCATCCATGTTCCACCTATCTGTTCACCAATCTGCTCACCAATCTATTTATCCGCTTCATCAATTAATTTAGTCCTTTCTTCATCCATCTTCTATCTTTGGTTTATCCATCCATCAATCCATCTAACTATTCATCTGTCAAAACAAACCACCGATCGGTTCACCTCATAGACAACTAATGGAATCCTTTTGATGAGAACTTTCCCTATTATATATTATGTATATTTTGATCACAGCTGCCATGTCAATGCTTCTCTCTGCGACCTTCACTGATATTGCTGGATTGGAGGTGCTCGGACAGTACTTTGTTTACAATGATTTTGCTTTGTACATACCCCAGCTTGAAATAGATGTGAGTATAATTATATGTTTTTAAGTCTGATCATTAACAAAGATGTAATATTATACAGATATTGACTGGCAGGGGAGGGGGGGGGGTGATATTATATATAGATATTAGATAGCTTAGACAGATATCGAGATGTGATTGTTTCAGAGCTCGTCACATGATATCGATTGCGAGGATCTATTTTCTTTTCTCCCTTGAATTTTTTTTTCTCCCTCAAAATGTTTTTTTTTTGAGAAATTTGTTTTTCTCTAATTTTATTTTCTCGAAAAGTTTTTTTGATAATTTTTTTTCTCTCAATTCTCCCCCCCCATCTTTTTTTTCTCCCTAATTCCCCTCCCCCCCCCATTTTTTTCGTCAATTTTTTTTCATCTCACTTTTCTGACTAAAATGTCTTGTTTCAAAAAAGGAAGGAAGATAAAAATATAGTGAAATGTCTACAATTTTCTTGGATATAGTCATTTGGAATCCACAAGGTGAATAGCACACTGATTTTGTGTTTTGATTATCCTTCTTGTAAGACAAATGTTAATACTCTCCATTCATGTAAATTGTATATCTCCTGGGAGGCGTTTCACAAAACTTTACATCAGTGACAAATGACAGTTTTTGTTATGAGCTACTGAAATCCTTGCTTCTGATTGGTTATCAACAGATTTGTCACTGATTTTTGTCATTTGTCATTGAAACAAGGCTTTGTGAAACGGGTCCCTGATGAGAGCCAGAAGGGTATTAACTTACATCCTTTACCTCAGAGTACTAGTAGATGTTCTTCCTGCCCTCAACAGATGTTTCCTGTCCTGTAATACAATGTTTGTTTCTGTAATGATCCTGACTGTCACTAATTTCCTCTGAAAATACTTTGTCCTCTAGGTGGACACCCTCCTCCAAAGCGCCGGTCTGACCAACTACACGGCTGTCTCCGTCTCCACCTCTCGTCTCCAGACATTGGGAGTTGAGGTCGAGTTCATCCTGGACTTCCTTGCGACATCTACGACCACGAAAGATGAGATTCTAGTGGCTTTCCTGGCAGGGCTTCAAGGGAGAGATGATATTATCCTGCCAGATAATGTCATTATCAGGAGTACTGCGTTTGTTGGACAGCCAGGTTAGTCCATAACAGAATTTGTTATTTGGTACCGGATTTTTTTTCAGGCTGCAAAGGCCATTTTTGCAAACAATAGACTTTTGGAGTAATCAGGATTTTGATGTTGAGCAACATTACCGTAGTAAATTAATCTATGAAACTTTAACAATACATCCAGGGGGGTGTTTCACAAAGATCCCAAGTTGAACTTATCTCTAAGTTGGACTTAACATTTATGGAAAGCCATTAGCATCTTTAAAAATATTTTGTAAAAGTTATTTTAAAAGGCATGAAAAGTTGATTTTGTTCATTCATATTTTCCATTATCTAGGAGATTTCATGTTCTTGATGTGGAATTTATAAAAAGTCTAAAATACTTGAATTTTCGCTTTTGAATATATTTTATTTTAAGGCTACAAATGGCTCTCCATAATTTTTAAGTCCAACTTAGAGTTAAGTTCAACTTAGGATCTTTGTGAAACACCCCCCAGATATTATATGAAAACTCTATTTTTTCCTCCTTGGAAATCATGATGGTAACTTTTGGTCAATTTATAGAGATAAGCATTATTAGGTCAATAAATTGACAGTACTTTTGAACATTACCATTGAACTTTGAAATGGAAATTATTTCAATGAAGTTATATCATTTTTTTTACACAGATACAAATCTTAGTTGGTGTATTTCACATACTCTCTTTTCTTAAGTTAATTCATTTAAATACTGCACATGTATGTGTAGGCAAATTGAGGCTTGGTTGAATAAGAAGAATGAAATTTATGGGGAAATATGATTCATCTTAAAAATTGTACAATGCTACATGGTCTGTTGTCCCCATTATCCATTAATAAATTACAAGAGTGAAATATTGATGAATTTGTACAAAGTTGAAGGCTTTTCTAAGTGATGGATTTTCACAGATATTTTGTGACTTCTGAAAATGATGGATTCTGACAGATTTGGTGACTTCAGAAAGTTATGGATTCTAAAAGATTTGATGAAACCTGATAAATTTGAAGACTTTTTTTCTTTCTTCTTTTCTTGAATACAGTGATTAATCCATGTGTGGAGGAGACAGACAACTGCACAACAAACTCAGACTGTATCTTCCTTGGTACCTCTGGAAACTATACTTGTCAATGTCAAGATGGATTCATGGGAGATGGATTCACAACCTGTACAGGTACTGGATGAACAATTGATTTTTAATACACCAGGGGCAAACTACTCACGAGTTATGATTGATTCAAATCAATCGCAACAGTGCCATAGTTTACTTAAGATATGGGAGATTGTAAACTTGCAATTGATTGAGGACTAGAGATCCAAACAGATCAATGGCAAGTCTCTATGAGTCAGAGCCCTGGTATACTATATGGCAGTACATTGTGGAGCATGTACATGAGATGTTAACTTTTAAAATGACACCAAGTTTAAGAATATATATCTCGAATTTCATTGCTAGAGACAGATTTTTAATCAATTTTTATTTTATTTTAATGAAAAGAGTTTCAATGAAAACATTGTTCCTTCATATCAGTGTTCACATTTTATCAATATTCTTGAAGGAGAAATTCAAGTTTTAGCTTTTTAAGTAGCTAAGACCTTCATTTGCAAAGAAAGAATTACTCAGTTTTGGGCAAAACTTGTTTATATTCATATGAAAGATGATGGATGGCATACTCTGAGGAAAAGTAAAAATAAGATAAATAAAAACCTGACTTTGGGTATTACAGTAATCACTTGGCAGTCAAGGTCTTCTTTAATAATCCAATCATTTTTTAGGCAAAAAGATGTCATATATTTGAAAGATGTTCATGCGTGGGTATATAGTCGTCCAAGAAGTAGACAACTTGCCGATCACTACATAACACTGAGATAATGGGTATAACACTCCTGTGCGTACGTCCGTGTGCCGCCTTCTATATGCCCACACTTGAGTAACTGTAATATGACTATTAAAATAATTTGAAGTTACAGTACTTTCTTCCCCGATGTTTGGTAATCCAATAAACTTTCCTGCTTCAATTTTCCTTATGTTATTTTTCTGCTTTTCTGATCATATCCACATCTGTTTGAGATGTATCGTATTTATCAACATTACTTTCTTCTACACAGACATCAATGAATGCCTGAATGACACGTCATGCACAAATGAAGGAGAGAGGTGTGTTAACACTGCCGGAAGCTATTCTTGTGACTGCATGATAGATAGAGGTTACATTGCTAATGATGGAGTATGCACATGTAAGTCTCTAGTAGTTTGTAGGCTGATCTTGTCTGTAGTCCCAGGTAGTCAAAATACAGTCTGTGTGAAACAGGTGCATTATAATTTTGCTCACAAAACTACCACCCCTGTAAAATTTCCAAATAGTCTATCAGAAGATGTAATGAGCAATAAGCTGCTACGATTTGTTGAGTGCATATTTTGTCTAAAATTCAGTTCCATGGTAACTGAAGCACACCTTAAAGAAGTTTAGACTAAAAGTTAACAGCCCAAATTAGAAACTGACTGGTTGGCAAAGGGAAAATAAGATATGGAGATTGATGATCTCAGTGAAGACAAGTAAACAATGATTTATAGAAGTTGGGTGGGACAAAGGAGGCGTGATAGCTCAGTGGTAGATACATGTAGCAGTGGTTGCATAACTTGGATGTCCCCTTGTTCGAAACCAAGTCGATGTGCTAGTGCCCTTTGGTAAGGCATTAATCCTCATTACTCAGTCCCTCGGAGAGGACTTAACGCCGTTGGTCCCCTGGTTGCTTACTGACAAGCACACCCATGCTTTCTTAGCAGTCTGGTAAAACAAACACACCAAATGACATTGGACCAAATGACCATTTACCTTTGCAGAATTACTTATCTAAGGTAGATATTAAGTCTATCAACCTCTTTTATTCCCAACACAGTATATGAAGTATACCGTGGCCAGCTCACTGTCAATTTTATCAGCGGTCTCCCAGCTATTTTCACTTCAGACCTCACTGACTCCTCTAGCCAGGCTTACTCGAGTCTAGCTTTCTTAGTCAGCAATGCGGTAAGTTTATGTACAGAATATGTACAGTGTATCATTTGATGATTTCTGCAATGTATCTTTCGAGTTAGTCAGCTCATTAATATACATTTTTGTGGTTTTGTTTTCCAATTGTTTTTGTACAAATAAATCTTGCAGGAAAGTATGTTTAACCTGTTACTTACTTGAACCAGGAGACTCCTGTATTAAGCCTGTGGCAATGAGGAAATTCAGTAGTGGATTAATATTCAGATTGCTCTTTGTATGCATGTAAATAATCTTGCATGATAGTGTCAGAAGTACTCTCTTTTTTTCTCTCATTTTTATGACGGCTCTTTTTGGATATTCGATAGTAAAAAATAATTAGATTACTTTGTGGCAATTTGTTTATGTTTATACCTCACTGTTAGTTTACCAATGCTGTTTAAGAACTAAATCACCCATTGCTGGCATGTATCTTAAATTTTGGCTTGCCGTATAGAGGTTTGTGGATAAATAGATGTTCATGTGCATGGTATAGAAAAAAAAGAGAGATAAAAGAATGTGTTTTTATGTAACCATTTCAGATACGATATCTCTTCCTACTGGAGCCAAACCTGCAAGACTTCTTCCAGTCTTGCACGGTGTCTGGTTTCACCAACGGCAGTGTGGTGGCGACATACTATGTTTCCTTCACCCAGTCGGTCAATATTTCAAGCAGCTCCCTCACAGCTCTCCTTGTGAACACCCTTGAGACTGGTGTCATTCTTACTACAGGCATTGCCTCTCAAGGGAATATCAATGTAGATATTAACTCTGTGGAATTCACCAGTAAGTAGACATTTCACTGTTAAATTCTTCCGAGTATTGTACTACCGGTACTGCATTTACAGTGTACATGTAAATAGTTGGTATTTAATTCAATACTTCAGGCAGAAATATTTGAATTTTACTCAGTTAGGAAACATTAGAATTCAATTGCATTGTTTGGCTTTCATACATACCTGTATTTAACCTAAAGTTAAAATCAGACAAAGCCAATTGTTTTGAAAACCTGGAAGTGCATCCGTTATTCTTGTCAAAGAAATACTGTAATTTGATGATATTGTTTGACTTTTTCAGAAATTACCCAAGAGTGCACAAACACTTTCTGTTTCAATGGAGGAACATGTTCTTTGCAGAATGGATTGAAAGTCTGCCAGTGAGTATAAGCTCATTTTTATTCTTTTCATATAAAGTTACATGTGTTTACCCATCTCCCTACTTGTATTCAGATTTTAAAGTGCACAGTGGACTTAAAGGTATAATACAAAGTTTTGGTATGGGGTCATGAATTTGGTTCAAATGTTCAGTGATCGTTGTCGCGGTTGAGTCTAAAGTTATGAAATTGTAAATAATAATCTCGTTATGTTGTATAGCTCCCTCTCAAGGTCAAGATATTAATAAAGCTATAAAACAATGTTTCTTGACTAAAATCGACCGATTAGCTATTCCCGTTTGGATTTTCATGGTCGCAGCTACCATTGTATGGCCATAGGCGCTATACACCAGTTTACAGTTGTATCAGTGCGCATGCGCAGACAGTTGACCTCGGGTCATTGGCCCTGAATTCAGGGCCAATAACCTCTGACCTCTGGTATTTATGCGTAAATTAAGATTGCGCCCATGCAAATAATGATGTGCGCGCACAACGCAGCGCGTAGGCAGTGATATCATCAAAATTTGCATGGGCGCAATCTTAATTTACGCATAAATACATGACCTCTAGGTCATTGGCTTTGTTTAAAATGGCGCACACAACTGTAAACTGGTGTATTTGAAAATTGTTTTAGGGGCTGAATTTTCTAGTGCTTAGAATCACTATCCAGCTAATTTTCAAAATTTCCCAAAACTTTGTATTACCTTTAAACCAAGTACATAGATCCCACAGACTTATTGTCCTTGTGCTTATGAACCAAAGACTAATGAGCTACACATAGTTTAGCAGCTTCTCTGATGTCCAGATAGTTCAGAAAAAAACTTCACCAGAATCATATTATCAACTAAGGGTCAGTAGGGCACTGATTCCCAATTGATACATGTTTGTTGACATACATGCTCAACTGTAGAGTTAATGCTAGGATGCCTTTCTGGCTCTGAGCAGATGATGCAGGTGATATACTGATTAAAGGCTCATTGAATATTGTTTGCTGAGAGCTATAAGGGCACTTCATGATCCTATACTACATTCAGCTACTGCCTACTTGCATCTAAACAACAATTATAGATATGTGTTTCATGCACAAGTGATACTACAGGTCACACAATCATGACTAAAACCTTGTATAATGCTTTGTTCATGAAGGTGCCCTAGTGGTTATGAGGGAGATACTTGTGAGAGGGCTCCTAGCACTCGGCCTCCTACTATAGCTACTACTCTGGAGGGGAGTACCATGGCAACGGAAAACATCACTGAGATGACCAACACCACAACATCATCCCAGACAAGTAAGTTATGAGGGGAGCGCATAATCATTGAGCTTGTGGGGGGATTAGAGGAATTAAGAATGACACACTACTGGATTTATTCAAAGGAGACACGATGGCTCAATGGTAGAGCAGTGGTCTTGTAACTGGGAGGTCCTGAGTTCAAAGCCCAGTTGATGCGTTAGTGCCCTTTGGTTAGGCATTAATCTTTATTACCAAGTCCCTCAAAGAGAACTTAAAGCTGTTAACCTCCTGGACATTTACTTACAAGCATACACATGCTTTGTTTTTGGTCAGGTGAAACAAACCAACTTACCAACCAACCAACCAATCAATCTTGATAGGAACCGTTTATGCATTTTTTGTCTTTATTTTTGCCGTTTAACTTCAGACTCCGCGAGCTCTCTCGCCTTCTTCAGCGTAGGGTCTGCTAACTGCGCTTTCCTAATATCATCAGGAGAAACTTCTGGGATAGGAGACATTACCTTCAGTGGAGTCTGTTTCCGTTTACTAACCTTAACCTGGGATCTCGTCTCAACTGCCATCCCTACCTCAGATAAATTCTTACCTTGATCATCATGGCCTGAAGTAGACGACCCCCAGTTCAGATTCGGAGCATTGGGTGGGAGAACATTTTGGATGTTCCCTAGAATCACATCAAACACTGGTGATTTCATACACAAAGCTACAACACAGCCTACATAAAAAGGACTGTCAACATGTACCTTAGCAGTAGGATACCAACGCACACTGCCATCGATGAGAATACACTGCCTGTGTTTTCCTGTCATCTGATCCTTGGCGGCTAGGCTCCTACGAATCACTACACAAGAACAACCTGTGTCTCTAAGAACTGAAACTGTTTGAGAATTAACAATTCCATCCTTAACTGGCATGAGTGCACGCAACTTACCTGTACAAGCCGCACACATTTCCAGTACTTTCTTCCTCCTCTGTTTCCTTGACGGTCTAGTCCGCTCCATCCCGGCGGCAGACATCGTGACAAACATCCCAACACTCTCGACCTGTGTTGTATCTTTGTCAACCCCTGAATCTTGGGAAGAAGAACATGTTGGACATTCAAAAGATAAGAGTCTGTTCACCTCATCAACTTTTTCATGATTTGTTTGAGACTTGTCCTTACCTGATGACTTCTTAGGATTATGGGATTTTAATCCCATAGCTACAAAACTTCCAACCTTTTGAGGTTTTGACTTAGAAGTTACTGTACAATTTCTTGCAAGATGACCCATTTGGTCACACAAATAACACGGCCCAATCGCCTTCCGATTGGTGGGCTTCTCACTGTGAAAGGGCTTTTCTCTGTGAAAAGCTTCACTCTTTTTCTCTGACCTGTTGGATGTCATTACTTTGTTGTCCTGTCTTGGACCCTTGAAATGACCACCATGTGCTGAGATATAAATCTGAGCAGCGTCAGTCATCTCCCTAGTAGTCTTGAGCGTACGCTCTCTCAAATAGATAGCAAGCCCTGGACTCATCTGTTCAAGAAACTGCTGTCTAATAATCAAATCTTTCAACCCTTGATAAGATTTGTCTGTCTCCGTAAGATCCAACCATCTTTCGAAGTAGTGTTCTAACCTAGCAACAAATTGACCAGCATACTCTCCCGTCTCTGGCGTTGCTTTGTAGAACTTCTTCCGGAAGTCATCTGCTGACATCTGGTATCTGCGAAGGAGGGCGTCCTTAAGCTTGGAGTAATTCTCAGCTTCATCTGGTGCCAACCTACTGTAGACTTCCAACGCCTTTCCCTGTAGAAGTGCACCTAAATTAATGGCCCAACAATCTGTTTGCCATCTCTGACTACTAGCGTATCTCTCGAAACGCTCTAAATACGCATCCATGTTGTCTCTACTTTCATCAAAGTGAGGTAACTTTGGGATTCTTGTCAAACTATGGTGTTCGCGACTGGTATCTCCTGACTGAGATTCATTTCCCCTTTTGGCCTGTTCTAAGGATATCTGTTTATCTAAAATATTCCCCTCTAGTTGCTTCAAAGCAAATTCTTGTTTCTTATCTTCCCTTACAGCTGCTCTTTCATCACGTGCCTGTTGTTCTCTTTCTTTAATGAACTCCAACAAGGTCTCACCAACTAAACCTAGTTCCTTACCTAAGTTAATCAACTTTTCATCAATGACCTCCATACTGATAACCCAACCTAACAATAAAGCGGGACTATGGTATTGATAGGTGGTGAACCTATCTGGGTAACTAACCCCTTCCCAAATTCGCTCTAAATGCGCAAATTGCTAAATTGTCACTTACCAGAGAGAATCAAGAACACGTTCTGCCGATTTGAATACTTGCCACCGACTCCTGTTCTGTATTACAGAATCGCAAAATATTCCTAGTTCATATAAAGATAACAATGAGACACAAAAGTGAAAAGGTCAATAATGTACATGAGATAGTTAACGCTCTAAAATGTATGCGGTTTCCTTTTACATGTTTTATAATATACAATCAGTTCAAAACACTAAAAGAAAACCTAATATTCCTGCGAGAGGTCCCGGGTTCGACTCCCGGAAGAGCCCCCAAAATGTCACAACTGGGTAAACTCAGGTGACTTTAATTCGTGATCTAGTTAACTCTCTTATCGTCTCACAGGGAAATTTACACAATAAACAACGAATTCAAATTCTGTTAAAGTGTATCAAAGGATATCATCTTCTTCTTATCTTTATTACATTACTTCTTATCACAATAGAAATGCATATAAAGATATAAAATATATATTGAACCCAACCCTGAGGTTGTATTCTAAGCTGTCACAAAATCACACCTTTGTACAGAGTATCGTCACTGAAAATGGTCGTAAGTTTATCGTACGTCTGGAAATATAAATAAAATAACCCACTTTAGTGATGCAATCACTCAAGATGTGATAATAAAATATTGTTCATGGGAACAAAGAAACCATAGTTGTTACTGTTGCTGGAACTTGTCCCGTGTAACGAAGGGGTTGCTCCATCTGTAATGGCACCTTCATCTCTCCTTAGTCGTTACAGGTAGAGATCCACCCATTGTGGCATGAACTTGGATACCGGACTTGCTCTGTACGTCCTAGCCGGAACACCATCTAAAATTAACATTAACCCAGGCTATTAATAGTCTACGGAATAATACTAAATTATTCATCATCTACTTAATATCTTTTAACAAGACTATAACCATCATCAGGCAATACAATAAAATGCATTACAGAAAAGGCTTCTATCATAATGATTTACATTGCATTACAAATATCCTTTCAACATCCAAAAGAGCCTGAATTACTGAGTGCAAATCCTGCGAACATGTACTTTCAGTTATTATTCAGAAATGAACAATATAATGTATAAAGAGTTACATTATTACTTTAGAGAAATGATTTGCAGTCTTCATTATTCATCCCTAATGCAAAGGTTCACTTGTGACCTTGACTGTCTCAATGACAAATGAACACACCCAATGTATCATTATAAAAAGGAATACAAATATGGATTAAACTTGGATTAAACTTACAGTTTGACTGGTTGACTGAAATGCAGAAAATCGGGGCAGGCCTCAATGTCGGTTCTGGTGATCGTGACTCTCTATGGAAATTGGACTTGCAGCGCAAAATGCTATGAAACAACTTTCATTTACCTCCAACCCATAGGTCCTATGAAACAACTTTCATCCACCTCCAACCCATAGGTCCTGCCTGTATGACTTGTGTGCAGATAGTGACACTACACTGCAACGTAAGGCAACCCACCCACTATAGCTATGCATCACCTGTTTGAGCTACAATGTATGTAGAGTGCAGTGGAGCCTAACTACGCAATGCATTCAACCCAATGCTGTAATCTACATAACAATTAAGCGGGTAGCATTGAGGGGAAAGGTTGAATCCTAACACCTACCTGCATATACTTTGCATATGTTCCTTTATTTCTTGACCAGACATGCATTTTGTAGAAAAATTGTACATATCACACTAAATTTTATATTTTCTTATTACCTTTTATCATTGAAACCTAGGTGTCATTGAGTCTCATGATGTAAATGCCATTAGCGTACAGTATGTTGATGAGATACTGAATTATTTAGTTCATAGCAATATTTCTTTTTTAGAATGCAATTGCATAATCTTCTGTAAGGGATTCTCGTAAGTGTATGGTTGTGCCTAAACATTGTGAGGTACATATTATTTATTTAATTGTATGTCATTTTGTTTTACTCCTTTCTTTTTGAATCAGATATCAATGAATGCCAAGATGGAAGTAACACATGTGATACAGCATCTCAGATATGCATTAATACAGTGGGAGGTTTCATGTGTCAATGCATGACCGGATTCGTACAAAATGGATCAATTTGTCAAGGTAACATACATGTGTTTTATTTCTATTATTTATTGCAAGAGTATTTTGTTGTGCAGTTTCCTCAATACAATAATAGAAGATTTTTCTTTTTAGGATAGTTTCAAACTATTTTGCTCAATCTCTGCACATATCCTTCTTTCAAAAAATTTGAGTTTGTTTGTCTTTTTTCTATTTTTATATACTCCTTGTTTTCCTAATAAATAAAGAAATTCACAATCCAGTGAAACGCTTTTTTATTACACTGTGCTTGAGCATTCAAGATGTTTTTAGAAATGTTTATAGGTGTTTTACTTGACTAACCAATTAAGAAGAAATTTTCCTCATTATTCTTTAATAATTATGGGAGAACTTAATAACTTCTACATGTTTTTGTTTCCTTTTAGACATCGATGAGTGTGCTGACAGCAGTTTATGTGGAACAAATGCAATGTGTATCAATTCTTTTGGCAGCTACATGTGTAGTTGTGTGAGTGGTTATGATGGAGATGGGATCACCTGTCTTGGTGAGTTTGATATGGAATTCAAGTCATTTACTTTCTCATTATGATATGATAATAATCTATGAAAAACAAAACTAACATGAACAGGATTCCTTGGGTCCTTGGAAATCCTTGGAAATTCTTGATTTTTCAAAGTTGTCCTGGAAAAACCCAAATGTGATTTTATGGCTGGAAACCTGTTTTATTTAGTAGCTGTTATTATTGAGGTAGCAGTCAAAATCAATAGTAGACACTTATAACAATAAACTATTATTTAGTATGGCTTTGATTTTATGTTTCCACCCCTCTAACAAACACCAGTGGTGATTTGATAAAGAAATCATATTTCTCAAATGTACACATTTTAATGGATGATTCCTTTATTACTTCAGTCATAAAAAGGTGATCCATTTGTATCTAGAGAAAATAAAGATAATAATAATAACATTCCTTTCTTGTATAGAACATATCACATTATCACGTCCCTATGCACTTCCAAAGTGCTCTGGAAATTATTACCCTAGCTTTAGCTCCGTCACCTGTTATCAGCGCACAGTGCATGTCAAGGAATATTTCTACTCGGTACCTATTTACCACACCTGGTCTGAGTGTGGCAAATGTAGATTAATGTCTTGCCAAAGGACATTAGTGCCGCGGCAGGACTCGAACCACAGACCTTGTGATCCGCAGTCCGGTGACATATGCACTCGACCACAACATTTTCATTTCAGTACTTATATTGCTTATTCAAGATTAGTTTTTCAATTGATCCCCACTTTCTTATTACATTCTAGCTTACCCATTGATAGATTAATACTTTTGTCATGTTTGCATAATGAATCTTGCAACAAATTGTAATGTTGTTTTGCCCTTTTCATTCTGTTCTATTCGAGATCTCTACACTTCAGATGGTGCTGGCTCATCATTAAGCAGTGTAACTACAGCTGTTCCTCTAGAAACTTCTACATTTTCTATGGCAAGTCAGGTCTTGACTACAGATAAGTCAGTCACCTCACAAATTCAAACCACCTATAACTTACCATTTGTAACATCAACCCCTGGGGAATATACCTCACAGATGAGTACTTCCACAGAGCTCTCAACTGGGACTGTTATTCTTTCGTCTACCACGATTGATGTAACTTCTGAGAATTCTGTAACTGACCCTGAATCAACTGTCCAATTTACTGAGGATACTACCACAAGTGTTCAAGGTTCAACCACAACAGTTGGTACAGGAGGTATCTCAGCAACTGCAACAACCACTCAGTCTTCTATGGAAATGAGTACTGGTGCAGATACGACAGAGATATCGACTTCTGATGTAACATCACAATCTCCTACTACTTCAGGATTCACAACCTCAGGTTTGAGAACTGGTGCAGAATCAACAGAGCCAGGGACAAGGACTACTGAGGAGGAATCAACTAAAGCAGGAACAACTGAAGGATTCACCTCAGATGTAACATCTACTGCTTTACCAACATCAGATATCACCACCAATGGTCTGACTACCGAGGAGGAGACAACTGAATCAGGAACAACTGAAGGATTCACTTCAGATGTTACATCTACTGGGCCGTCAACTTCAGATATCACCACCAATGTTCTGACTACTGAGGGGGAAACAACTGAATCACAAACAACTGAGAGATTCACCTCAGATGTTACATCTACTGCTTCCTTAACATCAGATATCACCACAGACATTCCCTCAACTGGGCCGTCATCATATATCACCACCAATGGTCTAACTACTGAGAAGCACACAACTGAATCGGGAACAACTGAAAGATTCACTTCAGATGTTACATCAACTGGGCCGTCAACATCAGATATCACCACCAATAGTCTAACTACTGAGGAGGAGACAGCTAACTCGGGAACAACAGAAGAATTCACCTCAGATGTTACATCTACTGCTCTACCAACATCAGATATCACAACCAATGGTCTATCTAATGAGGAGGAGACATCTGAATCAGGAACAACAGAAGATTTCACCTCAGATTTTACATCAACTCTGTCGTCAACATCAGATATCACTACTAATCGTCTGACTACTGAGGAGGAGAGGACTGAGGGAATAACCTCAGATATGACATCTACCGCTCTACCAACATCAGATATCATTACCAATGGTATGACTACGGAGGGGAAACAACAATCTCGCAAACATAGCGATTTTGTACTCTTATATATAAGAGCAGAAATTTGTAAAGAAATCATGATCAGTACAGGTCAAAAGTTGATATCTACTTTAGATAGGAGTATTTGTTTCCCATTTATAGAAAAGTATGGCATGATTGACAAAATTGAAGTAATCAGTGGGGTTGTTTTTGAGTGTGTATATTGTTGACTTGAGGTTCAATTGGTTTGAGAGTAAGTTAGCATCTGCTAAAGATATCAATATCACATTCAGTAGAATAAAAACAAAAAAATATTGAACACTTTGAAGTAATTATGAATTGATAAAAATTATGATAATTATGATATTGATGTTAACAACAATACAAAGTATTCATAATCAGTGTTTATGGGCATTAGTATTGATTTACAGAGAATTAAGAATAAGTCAACATCTTCTCTAGATTAACAAAAAAATAATGTGGGATTCAATGCTTTTTATATATCCATGTTGTCTTTGATATATTTTAAGAATCTAGATGTTTTGTCATATTAAGTAGTATCAAGAAAATTTTCCATTTGAAATGAATATACTTTTTTCAGTTATCTAACTTTGCGTTTATACCAGATGAAAATGAGTGTGCATTGGTATCATTAGTTGCTTCCAGGAGGGTAACAACACCACCCCTGCTCCAAAACCTTGATGGTGGTTAAGGTTCTGAATTAATTGTTTCAAGATGTTGTAATTTTAGCCCATAGCTTATGGAACTAGTTGTTTTGTGTAATAAGCTTATGGGACTGAGACAATTCAATAGTTAACAGGTTAAATCTCTTGCATTTAATTATCATCTTTTCTATGTTTTTATTCCAGATGAGGATCAGTGTGCCCTTGGTATCAGTGGGTGCCCCCAGGGGTGTAACAATACCACCCCAGCTCAGAACCCAGATGGTTTCAGTTGCTACTGCTATGAAGGCTTCATCGCTGACCTGCAAGGCAACTGTGTCCGTAAGTCAATTCAATTCAATTCAATTCGCATTTATTTCATTCTCGATTAAAAATCATATTGATACAAGTACCAAAGAGTTCGCTAAACTTCTGGCCATATGTTGCACAAAGAATCACAATTGATTACTAGTCACATTACTTTGAACCAGTCAGGCATCATAATAATCTTGATTTATGTTAATGACACAAACTTAATTCTAACAGAATAGAAGAAGAAAATGGACTGGAACACAGAATATCCAGCAGACAAAATAAATAATAGCACTCCAACAATTTCGATAGAAAATGAATGATTGCCAACCAAGTAAGGATGTGCAGTTCATTTATCCTTATTTTTACAATATTTAATTCTAGAAAAATCTTGTTTTCAGGGGTGCTCCTTCTCATGACCCCTCTTCAAGCTCAGTCACCCGTCTTTCAGGCTAATTAGGTGATAATGTATAATAAGATTGGTCTCCCGTTTCATTTTCAGCGGAAACAAGCTGCATAAGTACTGTATGTAGCAATGCAGACTGTGTTAATCTCAATGGAATGGAGATGTGTGTTTGCTACAATGGCTACAAATTCAACAGCTCCGACATCACATCTTGTATAGGTAAGCACTATTCCGTTATTACTATTCGTTACTTTGTATTGCCTGTGCCTTGGATAGAGATAATTGAACTCAATCACTCTGACCCTTGACCCTTGGGTCCCTCCCCCCAGTATAACTGATGGGGATGTACAGATGAAGCCCTATACATCGTCGCCGTTTTCACGAACCGGCACAGCCCAACGCGCAACGAAATAAGTACATTCTGAGAAAAACGCGTTTTACGTTTAGCCCGTTTTGAATTCGCCAGAAACATGCCTTATGTCAAATTTTATATCACAAAATACATATCAATGAAAGGAAAATATTCTGTATTTTCTATACATTCCATTTGTTAAGCATAATGACAATTACTATTAATATTACGAAGCTTTGGACTCTCGTGCCGGTTCGTGAAAATATTATTTTGCTGTTTACGTAGCAAAAATATTTTCACGAACCGGCACAAGCCACTGTGTCGTTTTTCCTATGTAACTTTACGCGCAAGACAAAAGCGCTCGCGCTGTCTTAGCGCGTATTTTATTTTCACGAACCGGCACAACCGCCTGTGTCGCGTCGTCTAGGTCTTGTAAGCGCAAAGATATTTTCACGAACCGGCACAGCCCATTGACTTATAACGGCGCGTGCCGGTTCGTGAAAATATGAATCGTGCTTTTTGGCTCGTGTGTCGTTTTTGTCATTTGTGTAACCATGGATATCTCAAAAACTAAAGCGTTTTGGATGCTGAAATTTGGTGAGATGAAAGATTGTTGATAACTTATGCTAAAAATGCAAAAAAAATAAAAACTACATTTTGAAGGGATTTCGGTGGCTTGTGCCGGTTCGTGAAAACGGCGACGACATGGGTCACTCTACTCTTGGCGAGGAGTGCAGTGGGTTCTGAACGTGCATCAGGATTAGTTTACTTTTTGACATCGTGTATGAGAGACATCAATCACATTGTTTTTCACTGTTTCCTAGTGTGCATCTACATGTATGAATCAGGGAGAGGGCTCATTTCACAGACAACACTAGCTCGGAGTCATCAATCCAAGCTGGGAGGTGTTTCACAAAGCCTTTTTTCAATGAAAAATGACAGAAGTCAGTGACAAATCTGCTGATAACCAATCAGAATCAAGCATTTCAGTAGCTTATAACAAAGCTGTCATTTATTACTGATGACAAGTTTTGTGAAACACCCCCCTGATTTCTAATCATGATCTGTGGATTGACATGAAGACACTTTACTAATTGAGCCAATTCCCTTTAAAATCTCAATTCAACTAAATTACCATTCTCCTTCCTTTCTAGATATTGATGAGTGCACTGATGTAGAATACAGCAACATGTGCAATCAGGACTGTACCAATACCATCGGAGGGTACAACTGCTCTTGTTTTGAGGGGTATTCCCTTATGACTGATGGCCGCACATGCAATGGTAAGATTTGCAAATCATTGACCTTTGACCTTGTAAACTATGACAGGCATACATTCGTAAGAACTATGCGTAAAGAGATGCGTAATAAAGAATACAGTTTTTTGTATACCTTGTACATTCATGTCACGTACATCATTGAGGTTCTGTATCATACCCTTAATCCATTTCCATGAAGTAACGAAGCTGTGACATCATAAAAATCTATTCTTAGAATTTCTCAATTTTTTCATTTTCCGAAAGAGCATAATAAATAATGTCCAAATGTGGAAAACCAGTTAAAAAGGTTAAGTATTGGCTGAGATATCACCATCTGAATGAATAGATTTCCTATAGGAAACTCAGTGTTATATTGCTCTGGTTCATAAAGTTTTGAGCCAGAGCATATAACACTGAGCAGGAACAGGATGACTCCTGGGACCCGCTTCACAAAGCCTTTTTCCAATGACAAATGACTAAATTCAATGACAAATCTGCTGATAACCAATCAGATGAAAGGATTTTACTAGCTTATAATCAAAACTGTAATTTTTCACTGATGCCAAGTTTTGTGAAATGGGGCCCTGTACTAAAGCCTATGGGAAGAAAAGAAATCAGGAATCAATGGGTTAATATAAGCTCTGAGTTCAAGATTTTGAAGATAAACAGAAGTGTGTACCTTTAAAGTTTGAGTCATCAAACAGAATAGATTTTCCTACCTGCATATACTTTGTATATGTTCCTTTATTTCTTGACCAGACATGCATTTTGTAGAAAAATTGTACATATCACACTAAATTTTATATTTTCCTATTACCTTTTATCATTGAAACCTAGGTGTCATTGAGTCTCATGATGTAAATGCCATTAGCGTACAGTATGTTGATGAGATACTGAATTATTTAGTTCATAGCAATATTTGTTATATTGTTATTAACGTCAGATTTTGGGGCAGTTTTTGTTAAAGAATCTATTTAATTGTTGTAAAAACCTATACATTTCTTTCCTTACCTCGTCATGTGTAGTGCATAATGTAATGAATCTTCTTTTCTTCACTTCCATACCTTGATCTGTAGTTGATTCATGTAAGCTATTAACTGTTCTTCTCTTTCAGATGTTGATGAGTGTTCAAATGGGAATGATTGTCATGAGTTTGCACAGTGTGTCAATACAGAGGGATCCTATAACTGTTCTTGTTTGAATGGTTACACCGGAAATGGAACATTCTGTGAAAGTGAGTATTTCATTTTTAAGGAATTAATTCAGTGACAATTTTTGTCATGCATAAAAAAAACATACTTTTGGCATCAGAATCATTGTCTTATGTACCATCATTATCTGTACGTCATAGGTAGATAAGATAAGATAAGATAAGATTTTATTCGTCTTTCTTTCAAGTGACATACAGAGCATAACATTGGATCATAACACATTTACAAAGCAAAATAACAAATTATGATAATGATAAAAAACATAGCTAACTAAAAGAAAGACGAGGAGACCCTGGTAAAAGCAGAGCTTGTAATTATTAGGGTCCCCTCTGAGCCGGATAAAACATGATGAATAGATATTTGTGACTACCTAAGAATACAATAGGGAAAAGGGGGTATAACAAAACAAGAAGTGTACACACACACAACAACAACAACAAAAAGAGAGACTAGACTAGACAAGACGGGAGAAAAGAGAAAATATGAGAAATAATAGAAGAATACAGCACATCGACAATAGGCACAGCACACAACGGGCACAAGACAACAGGGGGAGGGAATAAGAGGTTGACAATCTGAAAATATTCAGTTAGACACATATTAATATCAAGAAGAAAATTTACATTTATAGTAATACATAATATATCTTGGCACCATAATAACTACAAAAATGAACTACTCTATGAGTCACAGTATTTATCGAGAAGATAAACCTTAAGTTTACACTTAAATGAAGAGAGACTAACAGATTGCTTAACGCTAGAGCCTAGAGAGTTCCAAAATTTAGGTCCAGTAAAAACCAAGGTATTAAAAGTTAACTTTGTCCTTACTTGGGGTAGGTGAAACGCAGAGGCATTTCGTGTAGCATGGTCATGAACTTGACTATTTTTCTTTAAAATGCTGACTAGAGCCTGTGGAAGGACACCAGAATCGAAGTTGTACATTAAAGAACCCAGTTGAAGGTGATAAATATCTTGCACCTTTAAAATTCTATGCGTATAAAAAAGCGGATTAGTGTGCGTACGAAAGCTAACGTTACAAATAATTCTTAAGACCCTCTTTTGAATCAAATATAACTTTTCAAGGTTAGTTTTAAGAGAGTTACCCCAAGCAAGAACACCATAATTAAGATAGGGGAGGATTAATGTTGAGTACATTAATAAAAGGATGCCTTTAGGTAAAATTGATTTCAATTTATGAATTACGCCACTGTTTCTTGACAATGTCTTATAGAGATGATTTACATGAATTTTCCAGGCATGAGAGGTAGTATGTTTCTCTCGGAACCCAAACTGAAAATTTGAGAATATTTTACTTTTGTTGAAAAATTCTAAAGTTCTAACATAAATCACTTTCTCAAGGATCTTTGAGAAGGAGGTTAGAAGTGAAATAGGACGGTAATTTGAAAAAGATTGAGGATCACCCTTTTTAAAAACGGGTACGACTTTTGCAATTTTCATGTTTTCGGGGACTATTCCATTTAACATTGATGAATTAAAAACATGAATAAGGGGTTGAATAATCGCTATGATAACCTGTTTAATTATGTCATTATTGACACCATCGTAACCAGGACTTTTCCCAGCCTTAAGCGAATTCACAATAGTAAGCAACTCTTGGTGATGGTGTAATAAAAGTGTTATCAAAATTCCTTTACATTACTATGTATCTTATTTGATTAAAGATGAAAATCGTTTCTTTTGGTTGAATAGGACCACTATTATGTTAAATGAAATTAGATGTATCACTGTAAATATACTCATACTATTGCATATGTTACTTTATTATGTCGTTGCACTCAGTATGATTTATTTTCAAAGCATTTTTTTCATTGTGCAAGTAATCTTATTTTTTAGCAGGCTTCTGGATGCACCATGTGAGAGAGAGGGAGGATTGAGGAGTCCTAAAAAGGACTTTTGGTAATCTTTCTTGAGGGTGTGTAGTCCTGAAAAGGACTGTTGGTGTATAGTCTTGAAAAAGCCTGTTGGTTATCTTTCTTAGCTTATAGTTCTAAGGAGAACTAAAGCGCTTGGAGAGGATGGGTGGTAGGAGTGGCTTGACGTTTCGAACAGGTTGACTATCCGTCGTCAGGAATAATCTTATTTTGTTGTTTAAGTTAACTTCCTGATATTTTATATATTTGCTCATTACTTTTGTTATCCTGAAAAGGGGCAATTGTGATTTACTTGGATCAAACTTATTTCCCCAACAGACATCGATGAATGTGTAAACGACACCACCTGCATATCACCAGCGGTCTGTGTTGACACCTCTGGAAGTTTCATCTGTGAATGCCCCAGTGGATATGACCCTACTGGAACCAGCTGTATCAGTAAGTTAGGAATATGGTTCAGACTATTTACTCCTCATACCCCCCCCCCCCCCCCCAAGGCCCCATCTGGCATTCAGTATTACATCCAGAGCTGCAGATCTTGTTCAGTGCCTCTATACCCTTTGATGCATATTGTCCATAGAATTTAAATGAATTTGTTAGATAATTGGGTATTTCATTACTCAATCATTACAGGGAAAACAAATCAAACAAGCCGTCATGGGGTCACAGCTGTTTCACAGAATTTGTTTTAGGATGGCTGACAAGATATTTTCTCAAATTTCTTGTTCACATTTCTTGTTCACATTTCTTGTAAATGTAGCTTTATTTACATGTATATATTGAAATTAAATATTTTTGTCACAGTTAATATTCAATAAACATACTTGTACAAACAATGTTTAATCTTTTCAATCATTTTCTGATTATTCTTCTACAAATTTCAATACAAAGGCCACAATTTCTTGTAACTTTAAACTGATATCTATCACTAGTTTTCCTTGTGTACATTAGAATAAGATTACAGTAATTATTTAATTCTCTAATTTCTTTCTACCCAGACATCAACGAGTGCACCCTGTCTCAGAATGACACTCGTCGTCATGAGTGTGATACCAATGCTGCTTGTGTGGATCTCCCTGGGAGTTATAACTGCTCCTGCTTAGCTGGTTACCAAGGCAACGGACTCCAGTGTGAAGGTGAGTGAATGGAAGTTGTGAGACCACTGATTTATCAGAAGTTGCGGTGATATTTGATTATTGTACACAGCATTATTGTCTGTTAAGTAGCGTACATAGCTCAGTGTAGTGATACATTAAGATGTGTTTGGCATAAAAATGGCATACAATCTACCTATGATATTTGATTATTGTACACAGCATTATTGTCTATTAAGTAGCGTACGTAGCTCAGTGTAGTGATACATTAAGATGTGTTCGGCATACAAAAATGCATGAGATCTGTTGCAAAGAGACAGAGCTATAATTTAGCTGTGGATCGAGCTTGCATATACATACCTCTAATACATGTACCTTGATTAATTTAAATAATACCAAATCTGGAAATCAGACGGGCTTTATGTGTTTAGATAATCCAACATCACCAACAACTAATGACCATGGATTGAAAATTTACTACTGGGTACTTATTTCTTCCCATAGACGTTACACAAGGCCCGCTTAATTTGCTGCATGCACTGTTTCAAAGTTAAATGGTTGTGTTAAAAAGTACTGTCTCTTTATTGACCTGGGTTTGTCTTTATATTTTGCATCAAATTTCTCCACTTCCAGATATCAACGAGTGTAACACACCAGATGCATGCGTCACCAACTCCCAGTGTACTAACATGAACGGGTCCTACATGTGCACATGTGATGCTGGTTACCGTGGTGATGCTCGCATCCGGTGCAATGATATCAACGAGTGTGATGAGAATCGTATCATCTGTGATGAGAACGCCAGCTGTAACAACATGGTTGGTAGCTACACCTGCACATGTAATGATGGATTCACATCTAATGGAACTGGGTGCACGAGTAAGTACAAATCCCAGAACTAGTCTCTCAACTAAATAATAATAATAATATTTAGCTTTTACCCTTACAAAAAAAATCTATGATATTCCTATGGTACGGCTCTATGGTGAATGGTATTTCTATGATATATTATATGGTAGAATATATTTCTATGGTATACCACACAATTGCTGAATGGTGGAGTTCTATGGTCAATGGTATATCATTGATGCCGTCCTATGGTGTATGGTATTTCTATGATATATTATATGGTAGACTATATTTCTATGGTATTTCTGTTGAATGGTATCCCTATGGTGGAGGATATTTCAGTGGTAGCTCTATGGTGGATGATGACTTTATGGTATATCTATGGTGGTTATGTGACTCTATGGTGGCTCTAAAGTGAATGGTAGATTTATGGTAGCTCTATGGTGGCTGTATGGTGTATGGTATTTCTACGGTATGTTATATGGTAGAATATATTTCTATGGTATTTCTGTTGAATCCCATAGGAAAGAAATGAGCCTGCCGCATACTCCTGCGGCAGACTTGCCGCAGATCTGCAGCAGACCTGCCGCAGACAGTCATCTTTTTCACATGCAAATTAGTTTTGCCGCAGACTTGCTGCAGACCTGCCGCATACTCTTTCAGTATGATGAAGAGTCTGCGGCAGGTCTGCCGCAGACTTGCCGCATACTCTTTCAGTATGATGAAGAGTCTGCGGCAGGTCTGCCGCAGACTTGCCGCATACTCTTTCAGTATGATGAAGAGTCTGCCGCAGACTTGCTGCAGACCTGCCGCATACTCTTTCAGTATGATGAAGAGTCTGCGGCAGGTCTGCCGCAGACTTGCTGCAGACCTGCCGCAGACTCTTCATCATACTGAAAGAGTATGATGAAGAGTCTGCAGCAAGTCTGCGGCAGGTCTGCCGCAGACTCTTCATCATACTGAAAGAGTATGCGGCAGGTCTGCAGCAAGTCTGCGGCAAGTCTGCCGCAGGAGTATGCGGCAGGCATATAGACCTGCTGCAGACCTGCCGCATACTCTTTCATATCCAGTACGTGGCAATAAAGTGTCAGCATGTAGAAGAACCAGTGATAAACTGATTGATACTTCATAATCGATATTGGCAATATCGATATTACCAATTAGGTAATACTAATATATATCGATATTACCAATTAGGTATATTCTATTCTCAATTGTATTAACTTCATCACATTGATCATTTGAAGTGTATTCAAGAGTAACATTTAAAGTGACACAGGCTCGTACACATATATATACTAAATATGTATATTGTTTCTTGGTTAGTAATCATAGTTTCTTGGTTAGTAATCAATATATCTATTGCTTAAACGTGAATGTAATTGTAACATGATCAGACAAAATAATCTATTGGTTAATAATGGCAAAAGGAAAATAGAAATCACAAAAATGATGTGCATTGTCTTAATTTGCTTAACAAATCATGATAAATGTATTTTTCTGTCACACGTGTAAAGTAATAATGAATATGCATGAGATGATTGGTTTCAATTGGCCCTATTAGACTTTAATGGGATTTCCTGTGGCAGACCTGCCGCAGACTGTTCCTGTGGCGTACTGGTATGCGGCAAGTCTGGAGCAAAGTTTCGCCCTGCCGCAGATCTGCCGCAGACTGTTCCTGTGGCATACAAGTATGGAGCAAAGTTTCATCCTGCCGCAGATCTGCCGCAGACTGTTCCTGTGGCATACTAGTATGCAGCAAGTCTGCAGCAAAATTTCATCCTGCCGCAGATCTGCCGCAGACTGTTCCTGTGGCATACTAGTATGCGGCAAGTCTGGAGCAAAGATTCACCCTGCCGCAGATCTGCCGCAGACTGTTCCTGTGGCATACTAGTATGCGGCAAGTCTGCAGCAAAATTTCATCCTGCCGCAGATCTGCCGCAGACTGTTCCTGTGGCATACTAGTATGCGGCAAGTCTGGAGCAAAGTTTCATCCTGCCGCAGATCTGCCGCAGACTGTTCCTGTGGCATACTAGTATGCGGCAAGTCTGCAGCAACATTTCATCCTGCCGCAGATCTGCCGCAGACTGTTCCTGTGGCATACTGGTATGCGGCAAGTCTGCAGCAAAATTTCTTTCTGCCGCATACTTCGGCATACTCTTTGCCGCAGACTAAAAGTCTGCGGCAGGTCTGCGGCAGATCTGCGGCAGGTCTGCGGCAGGTCTGCGGCATACTTTTCACTTTCCTATGGGATGGTATCCCTATGGTGGAGGATATTTCAGTGGTAGCTCTATGGTGGATGATGACTTTATGGTATATCTATGGTGGTTATGTGACTCTATGGTGGCTCTAAAGTGAATGGTAGATCTATGGTAGCTCTATGGTGGCTGTATGGTGTATGGTATTTCTACGGTATGTTATATGGTAGAATATATTTCTATGGTATTTCTGTTGAATGGTATCCCTATGGTGGAGGATATTTCAGTGGTAGCTCTATGGTGGATGATGACTTTATGGTATATCTATGGTGGTTATGTGACTCTATGGTGGCTCTAAAGTGAATGGTAGATCTATGGTAGCTCTATGGTGGCTGTATGGTGTATGGTATTTCTATGATATATTATATGGTAGACTATATTTCTATGGTATTTCTGTTGAATGGTATCCCTATGGTGGAGGATATTTCAGTGGTAGCTCTATGGTGGATGATGACTTTATGGTATATCTATGGTGGTTATGTGACTCTATGGTGGCTCTAAAGTGAATGGTAGATCTATGGTAACTCTATGGTGGCTGTATGGTGTATGGTATTTCTACGGTATGTTATATGGTAGAATATATTTCTATGGTATTTCTGTTGAATGGTATCCCTATGGTGGAGGATATTTCAGTGGTAGCTCTATGGTGGATGATGACTTTATGGTATATTAATGGTGGTTAGTGACTCTATGGTGGCTCTAAAGTGAATGGTAGATCTATGGTAGCTCTATGGTGGCTGTATGGTGCCCGGCCCCCCAACTCAGGGGTCGGAATGACCGCATGCGTGTTGCCAAAATGTCCGGTAAAGGGGTACTTTTCGTGCGACAAAGTCCAGCCCGAGAATTGTAAAAAAAGGGGTGTATTTTACTTTTCACCCGGAGATCTCTTTAAAAAGGGGGTGTTTTTTTCTTTTTTTCTCTCATCTCTTTGGACTCCTGAGAAATTATTCCGAATTTAGGGGGGTACATTGAGCATTTTTCCTGATTTAGGGGGGTCTCCAAGGCAGGAAAAGCCCGCGAAAAGCCCGCGAAAGGGGGGTTCGAAAATGTTGGCAGTCCTCAGATAGGGGGTGCTTTCAAAAAGAGGGAACGAGCATATGCGTACCCTAAATAACACTGAGTGGGGGGGGGGGGGGCCGGGGTATGGTGTATAGTATTTCTATGGTATGATATATGGTAGAGTATATTATATAATATTTCCGTTGAATGGTATATCCCTGTGGTGTAAGATATTTTAGCAGTAGCTCTATGGTGGATGATGACTTTATGATATATTTCTAGTGGTTAGTGACTCCATGGTGGCTCTAACGTGGCACTTTTTACATAAAAAGGGCCCCTTTACTTTAAAAAGTGCCCCTTTTCCTTCGATAAGTTCCGGTTTTCCTTTGCAATAAGTGTCCATTTTCCATTCTCATAAGTGCCCTTTTTCCATCTCTAATAAGTGCCCCTTTTCAGATACGAGAAGTGCCCCTTTTCACTTTTGATAAGTGCCCCATTCACCTCTGATAATTTCCCTATTCAAATCTGAGAGGGGCCTTTCCCCTTTTAATAACTACCCCTTGTTTAACTCGGATAAGCGCACCTTATATTTTCACATGTGCCCCCTTTCCTTTCTAACAAGTGCCCCCATTTAAAAGAGAGCCCCTTCCCTTTATCATAAATGCCCCCTTTTCATCTATGAAAACAGTTACTTTTCATTCTTAAGTCCCTCTTCATTCTCATAGTCCCGTTCCATCTCTAGTAAATGACCCTATTAAATTCTGAGAGGTACTCGTTTTATTTTGACAAGTGTCCCTTTTCCTCCTGATAAGTGCTCTTTTCATCTTCAATGACTGCCCCTTTTATTTTGCCCCATTTAAAAGAGAGCCCCTTCCCTTTATCATAAATGCCCCCTTCCCTTCCTAATAAATGCTCTTTTTCCTTCTTTTAAGTGCCCCATCCCCTTCCCATAATTACCCCCTTTTCATCTCTCATAAGTGCCCCGTTTATCTTGACATGTGCCTCTTTTCTTTTTAATAATAGCCTGCACTTTCCCCTTCTCATAAATCCCCCCCCCCTTCCCCTCGTATTAAATGCCCCTATTAAAAACTGATCGGTGCCCCTTTTCGTACAACAAATGAACATTTCCCCTTATTATTAGTGCCCCTTTTTCATTCTCATAAGTGTCCCTTTTCTTTTCACCTCAGATAATTACCCTTTAACAATAATACGTACGTGCCCCATTTTCACCTTCTGATAATTACCCGTTGTAATTTGACATGTGCTCCTTTTTTTTCTAATAAGTGTCACCCTTTTCGATAAGTGTCCCTTTTTCCTCTCATCACGTGCCCGTAATTTCCAGCTACTAAGTGGAATATCACCCAAAGCACACCCGCATTTCTAGATGTTATAATTATGGTACTTATCAAAGGTCTTTTCAGTCTTCTGTTATGATAATGTAATAAACCCATCAGGATTGGGTTTTTCTTCTTTATAATTGATGTAATTTTTCGCACTGCCACCTCACAAATCTTATTTATAAAGATAAAACAAATATTAAAATCATCCCTGATAATCTAATCACAATATAGGGGGTATATACAAATTTTTTTTTTTAAATATATATTTTCGCTTTGAGATTTCCCTTTGTAGGTGCCCTATTTATTTTCTCCAGAAAGTGCCCTTTTTGTTGGTGCCCCCCCCCCCCCCCCCCCCCCCCCCCCCCACTTTGGAAGTCGCTCCACTGCCTCTGTTTGCACTCAATTAGTCTCAATCAATTAAAGAAATCATTAAATAAAAAATTCTAAACCAAATTGTAACAAGTAATGTATATCAGCAGAAAGTAGATAACAAGGGCTGTTTGCTGCCACCTTGTGCCCAAGATTTGAATAACTCTTCTAGCCGTTGGTCTCCAATTTCTACTCTCTGAAAATGATTCGCAAAACTCCAAAATATGTGAGGAAGAGGAAGGTGTTCAAAGGAGATCAATACCAGATATTACAGAAGAGTAACATGAATGCTGGAGAGGTGCCAGAAGAACTAACAGCTAATTCAGAGATCGAGGAAGCTTTCCCTGAATAAGTGTTTGGACAGACCTATTTTTGGCCCTGGTCCCACATGTGAAAATCCGCGTCATTAGTGGCCCACAACTTGCAGCTGCTTTGCAAAAGAAAGGCTCACGTGTGTCTGGGAGGTATGTACTTACTATCAAACAATATTTTTAGTTTGCAAACTGTTACTTTGAGATTGTATTGCATGCTCAAGGGGTGAATGGCTCAAAAAGCCAAATCAAATGATTAAGAATAGAGTAAAGGAGGGGGTAATCGACCATCACCAGTTTTCGGCCGATCCGTTGGATGCATGGTAAAATCCCTTTAAAATCCATCGCATAACAGCATATCATATATCCCACACATACCATACCATGCCAGAGTCACTGAAGAACCACATTTGCAATGGAAAATATATCCTAAAATATCACATTTTAACGATGTAATCGGCGGTCCCGCTCCCCGAATCTGAAAAATTAAGTATCTTACCCGTGTAAGGAATATGGGTACCATAAAATGAGCTTTATTTCAAGTATTTTTCAGATTTAGAGTCCGATTTTGTGTGAGTCGCAAGCTCAAAAGTATCTCATCGCATGTATTTAATCAATGCAGCCGGATACCGCAGCGCACACACGATATCTCTGTCTAATTCAGATTCCAATTTCTGATCACCACAGAGGTAGTTTTCGGCACGGGAAGCTCCGGCTTGGGATACCTGCTCCGGCCGCTAGTGCTATAGATCAGTGGGGAAACGCATGGCGCGCTTGCTTGCTTCCTATTGACTTTGTACATGCGGCCGAAAACTGCCTCGCTAGGCCGAAAACTACCTCCGAAACAGTGAAAATTGAAATGAATGTTGTCATGGCAATTCATGATTTTTTTTCTGGGGTTCTTTCTTTGTTTAAATAATAATAGTATTTGCTTCATGATTTGAACAAGAAATGATAATAAATAGGAAGTAAAGAGTCCAAAAAATAGGATTTTGTCTTAAGTGGCCGAAAAACCCCTCCTTTACTCTATGGTGAATCGAAGTGGGGGCATCGGAATTGTCGTGAAATCTGTGAAAATGTGTATTTGTGTAATATACTACATGTATGTCATAACTAGCACTTTGTTATTATTTGGGGATTGTGCTTTTCAAAATATTTTCCCTGTTCCATAAAGTGTTTTGGATATCTTTTACAGGGCATCTCATTCCTCTGGAGAATTTGTCAAAGAGGAATGGGTTGAACTGCGCCATGGTCCTTGGTTGCTTCATTTGCAAGAAGGAGAGGACATTCTCTTCATCAGAAAATGAATGCGAAGGACGTGGGAAGTCTGCAGAAATAAACCGCAGAGCTACTCTGACAGCAACGGAGGTTGGTTTGGCACGGGATAGCTTGTGCGACTTGCTGACCATCCTCGGAGCAGCCCCACTAGTCGAAGCCCCTAGCTACAACAGGCACATAGCCACTTTATCTTCCTTATCCCAAGAGGTTAGTCACCAGCCTTGTGTTTTCTTCATTACATTATCTTAGCTGTACGTACATTTAATGCAAACATATTTTTATTTCTTAGTTATGGTCGATAGACAGTATAATACATGTACATCAATATCCCTTCTTGTCAAATCAAGGGATGAAAATTAATCAAATCTAAATATTTGTAATAGGGTCTAATAAGTAAGGGGCCTGAGGGAACTTGAAATTTACTTGTTATTTATTACAAACTCTTTTTATTTTTTGCAGACCAGTAAGGATCAGAAGAAGAAGGTGGCAGCATGCCTACGTCAAAGGGCCATGGACAAGGATCTGACCATCAGGGAAAATGATCATGTAGACGTGGCAGTGCCCTACGATGGAACATGGCATAGACGAGGTTACACATCGAATCATGGGGTGGGGGTAGTGATACCGATCGATACAGGGGAGATTGTTTGACAGAGGGCCTATCAAGATCATGTAAACAGTTTGAGTATAGAAAGGGTTGGGTCTTCAGTGTTCTCAGCCAGAGGGACCTTAATCGCCTTCAGAGACTCCAAAAATGAGCAGCAAGGCTTGTATTTTCTGCTCCTCTTCGAACTCACATACAACCTCTTTGACTTGAACTTCATTGTACATGTTTATACAATGTTTTAGAACATTGCAACTCAGTGCCTTAGTTTTTATTGTACATGTTTATATATATTTTAACTTGCCTTTCATTTTAGTCATGTTTACATACACACTATATATGACATTTTAGTTATTTAGAGGAACTAGGGTGATATATATGTGGGTATTTATCACACCTTAGTAGAATAAGTCCAAGTAATATGTGTTGCAATTATGAACTTGCCTTTCATTTGAGTTTTTATTGTACATGTTTATACAATGTTTTAGAACAATCCTGTGCTGCAACTCAGTGCCTTAGTTGTTATTGTACATGTTTATATATTTTTAACTTGCCTTTCATTTTAGTCATGTTTACGTACACACTGTATATGACATTTTAGTTGTTTCTTTTTAACTTGCCGATTATTTAGAGGAACTAGGGTGATATATATGTGGGTATTTATTACATCTTAGTAGAATAAGTCCAAGTAATATGTGTTGCCATTACGAACTTGCCTTTCATTTTAGTTTGTAGTGTACATGTTTATGTGATATATTTTTTACTTGCCTTTTATTTTAGTTTTTAGCATATGTACATGCATACAACTTTTGATATAAACCAAATACATCCTGCCACTTTCATTCAATTCATTTTTTTAATAAGCATCATGTGTGTATTGTAAGTTAACATTTAAGTTTACATTTCTCAAAAATTCAATATATTATAGTCACCATTCAGTGTACTATAGAACGCACTACAGCCACCATTCTGCTAACCATAGATCAAGATCCAAACTACCATTCTGAATATACCATTTCAAAATGCTACAATTAAGCGTAACATTTTGTTGCGTATTTTGAATGGTAGTGAATGGTAGATGAATGGTGGCTCTATGGTAGATGAATGGTGGCTCTATGGTAGATGAATGGTGGCTCTATGGTAGATAAATGATGGCTCTATGGTAGATGAATGGTGGCTCTATGGTAGATGAATGGTGGCTCTATGGTAGATGAATGGTGGCTCTATGGTAGATGAATGGTGGCTCTATGGTAGATGAGTGGTGACTCTATGGTAGATGAGTGGTGACTCTACGGTAGATGAATGGTGGCTCTATGGTAGATGAATGGTGGCTCTATGGTAGATGAATGGTGGCTCTATGGTAGATGAATGGTGGCTCTATGGTAGATGAATGGTGGCTCTATGGTCGATGAATGGTGGCTCTATGGTAGATGAATGGTGGCTCTATGGTAGATGAATGGTGGCTTTATGGTAGATGAATGGTGGCTCTATGGTAGATGAATGGTGGCTCTATGGTAGATGAATGGTGGCTCTATGGTAGATGAATGGTGGCTCTATGGTCGATGAATGGTGGCTCTATGGTAGATGAATGGTGGCATTATGGTAGATGAATGGTGGCTTTATGGTAGATGAATGGTGGCTCTATGGTAGATGAATGATGGCTCTGTGGTAGATGAATGGTGGCTCTGTGGTAGATGAATGGTGGCTCTGTGGTAGATGAATGGTGGTTCTATGGTAGATGAATGATGACTCTATGGTGGCTCTATGGTATATGAATGGTGGCTCTATGGTAGAATATGTAGGTGTGGCCTAATTTGAATAAATGAATAAATTTGTCCCAATTATTTTAATTAGTTCTATGGTAAATGAATGGTAGATCTATGGTAGATTTGCTATGGTGTTTGTATGGTAATCTATGGTAGATTTGCTATGGTGTTTGTATGGTGTACCATAGAGATTTTTTTTGTAAGGGTATATAGCGCTTAATACAAATGTCTCTAAGCGCTTTATAAATATACTATTACCCCGGTCATTGGATACAGTGCATGCCCGCACACAATGTATGCATAATCTCCACTCCCTGGGGAGCATTCCAGCCAGCCAATATGTTGAAAAGAGTTGCTTATGATCCAAAGCAATAGCAATTAAGTCCCCGAATCAGTCACAAACCTTTACCAGAAATAAATGAGTAAATAAAAAACAAATAAATATTTCCTTTTATCTTTTGACATACATATTTTAGAATAATATCAATTTCATCCTTTTAATACAGTCAGACAGAACCTTGGTTTTTATTGTTTCGAGCTTGAACTGTACTCCTGATAATGAATTATAACCTGTTTTTTCTCCCTACCTTATTTTCAAGATCCCAAACTCTCACAGAACCCCTGATATCTAATCATCATTTTACAATTATTGCAATCCTTTACCTTATCAAATATGTATTTGTAATGTTGCATTATCTTCTCCCCAGAAAGGGCCTTATAGATTTAACATATCTGAAATGAACGCTTGTTAGACATTTTTACCCTGTGCAAGATGGACAACAATTGATCCTTTGACTGCTGCATCATCTCAGTACCGTAGATCCCATTCTCATTGGCAAAGGGTGACAAAACAAAAAGTCATTCTTTCGGTTTCCGGATGAATAAAAGTTCCACTGGAGATAGTGAGGCCTTTGTAGCCATGCGTTTAACACAGTAATGATATCTCTTGTTGCCTTCCAGATGTTGATGAATGTGTAGAGGATACCCTGAATGACTGTCATCCCCTGGCTACCTGCACAGACACCATAGGAAGCTACATCTGTACCTGTCAGACTGGACTCATCTCCCCTGAAGGAGCCAGAGGCAGATCATGTAATGGTGTGTATTTCAATAACAATTCAAGGAAAATAAAAATGAATTCATGTATAACAGGCAACAAAAGATATTATATACCTCACTTAAGAAATCCAGCCATCTGATTGGTCGAATTGCATTCATAAACTTCAACTGTTCCTGTAAAATTCTCGGTAACCATGCTTAAAACATTTCAATATTTTTGATAACCATGGTTATTAAAAATAGTTGGTCAGCCTCCATGGTTACCCCATAGGTTTACATGTTAAAAAATGGTTTGAGCGATGGAGGATGCCGTATGTGTGCGAAGGATTGGTCGGTAATTTCAATACAATTGAATCTCGATCGATCTTACCGACAATTTTATCTTGCATTGTTGACATGAAGACGAAAATAAACTTCCAAAAACAAAAAAACAACATCTGCCGATAGATCTTGATCTAAGTTCGTGCCAATATGCATTGCAAAAGTAAAAGAAGAGTCCGTATATGGAGCTTTTGCGAAGCATTCATCACACGCGAAGCCGGTTTCAATCCATTTTAATGTATATATTGGAGAAAACTGCCAAGCATGTTAACGGCGGGCCATAGCCGAGTGGTCTAAGCGTTGGTTTTCGGTACACCTCTTGTTGTACGCAAGAGTTCGAATCCCGTCTTCGACAAAAATGATAAATATTTTTAATTTGTCATTTTTTAGTCTATTTTTTTTCGGCATATAAAAGTATTAATGACTGCTTTAATATTCGAGAAATAGTTGTTTTCATACGCTCTCGGGAAGGTTACAATTGGGCTATTCCCTTGAGCGTAATAAAACAACTATTTCTCTCAAAGCAGTCATTAATACTATAAAATATACCAACCAAACTGAACATGGTAGTTTAGTCACAGCACTAGAATGGAGAGTACATGGTTCTGGGCCCTGTTTCATAAGACTTGATATCAATAACAAGTTACAAGCTACTATTATAGGCTACTGAAATCATGGCATCTGATTGGCTGAGAGCAAATTTGTCATAGAAATTTAGCATTTGTTATAGATAAAAAGTTTTATGAAACATGCAGGCCCCTGGTCTAGAAACTATCAAGAGCTCTGAAGAAGAAGAAAACAAATTATTGCTTTTTACTGAGAAAATCCAGAAAAGGCTTCTGTGAACCAAAAAGTGATTAATTCTCTGATTGTCTGAAGTGTTGTCAATTTGCACTGGTCTTTCGCTTGTCTATGAAAGTTTGTGTATATCAAAGATTATTTAAGGGTTCCTAGCTATTGTACAAGAGATGCAGAAGCTATGAGAAATGTCTTTCCATAAAAGACCACGTTGAAGTACATAAATAATAGACAACAGCTTTATATCACAAAGCTTTATGTTTTGTTTCAAATCAGCAATAACCATCAGCATCATCACAATTATTTTTTGTTCTTTAATATTGTACATCAGATCTTGATGAGTGTTCACTAGGTATCAGTACTTGTGATGCAGTGATGGAAGATTGTTTTAACACCTACGGAGCCTTCACATGTAGCTGTGCTGATGGCTATGCACTCAGCAGTGGACAATGCCAAGGTATACATTGGTATTGCTCTCTACTTCCCCATTAGGCTGAATTATGAACATATGATTTGAGTGATGAGAACTTATTTTCATTGAAACAGGGTATATGAAGAACAGATGAATCTTTGAGAGAGCCTTCAGATTATATATATCTGCTATGTATAGTCATCTTGAATACATAAGTACAAAGTTTTGTTTAACATGATTTCAAACACATTTAATACCTCCCTTACTAAAGGTACAGCAACACAATGCTCAACTCAGAATGAACCTAGAGAATCCTCAAAGTTGAAAGAATCATACTTTTGAAGCAATATTTTTTACAGAAGGCCACTTGTTTACATGCAGGTGCCAAAGTGTTTCAGAACATCAAGTATTCTTGATTATGATAATGCTACGAGACCAATCAAAGAATAATACTTCCTCAGTGATTCATTACTGTATTTATTCATTCCTTATTTTCATTTCTTTGATAGATGTTAATGAATGTCTTGATGACCCTTGTGATAGCCAGGTGAACACCCGATGTGAGAACCTACCTGGATCATACCAGTGCGTCTGCAGGACAGGTTACTATGTCGTCAACTCTCAATGCTTGCGTAAGTATATGCATAGATATCATTCAAAAAGTTTTTGATTAGTATTTATTTCCTATTAGTATTTCTATTCCCCCACAAATCATGAATATAACACATCCTGAAATAGGAATGATTAAATTTGGTCATATGACCAAATAAGTTTTATTTTCTATCTATGAGAGCTTTATATACATGTACTGTACTGCATTCATTTGAACTGTACTCATGCATGTATCTGATTCTTAGACAGGACAATTGTGATAACCAACATAGTGAAAGAGGATTGTAATTGTTAAACATTCGTGCTAGATACAAGAGCCTATTACAAATTATGATGGAATATGATGCAAATGTACATTGACTGCCTTTTAGTAAATTGTGTTTAAAACGATGTCATACTTTACTGCTCGTTTAAGTGTGGTAATTCATTTCTTCCATTTTACCCCCAATCCATCCATCCATGTTCCACCTATCTGTTCACCAATCTGCTCACCAATCTATTTATCCGCTTCATCAATTAATTTAGTCCTTTCTTCATCCATCTTCTATCTTTGGTTTATCCATCCATCAATCCATCTAACTATTCATCTGTCAAAACAAACCACCGATCGGTTCACCTCATAGACAACTAATGGAATCCTTTTGATGAGAACTTTCCCTATTATATATTATGTATATTTTGATCACAGCTGCCATGTCAATGCTTCTCTCTGCGACCTTCACTGATATTGCTGGATTGGAGGTGCTCGGACAGTACTTTGTTTACAATGATTTTGCTTTGTACATACCCCAGCTTGAAATAGATGTGAGTATAATTATATGTTTTTAAGTCTGATCATTAACAAAGATGTAATATTATACAGATATTGACTGGCAGGGGAGGGGGGGGGGTGATATTATATATAGATATTAGATAGCTTAGACAGATATCGAGATGTGATTGTTTCAGAGCTCGTCACATGATATCGATTGCGAGGATCTATTTTCTTTTCTCCCTTGAATTTTTTTTTCTCCCTCAAAATGTTTTTTTTTTGAGAAATTTGTTTTTCTCTAATTTTATTTTCTCGAAAAGTTTTTTTGATAATTTTTTTCTCTCAATTCTCCCCCCCCATCTTTTTTTTCTCCCTAATTCCCCTCCCCCCCCCCCCCCCATTTTTTTCGTCAATTTTTTTTCATCTCACTTTTCTGACTAAAATGTCTTGTTTCAAAAAAGGAAGGAAGATAAAAATATAGTGAAATGTCTACAATTTTCTTGGATATAGTCATTTGGAATCCACAAGGTGAATAGCACACTGATTTTGTGTTTTGATTATCCTTCTTGTAAGACAAATGTTAATACTCTCCATTCATGTAAATTGTATATCTCCTGGGAGGCGTTTCACAAAACTTTACATCAGTGACAAATGACAGTTTTTGTTATGAGCTACTGAAATCCTTGCTTCTGATTGGTTATCAACAGATTTGTCACTGATTTTTGTCATTTGTCATTGAAACAAGGCTTTGTGAAACGGGTCCCTGATGAGAGCCAGAAGGGTATTAACTTACATCCTTTACCTCAGAGTACTAGTAGATGTTCTTCCTGCCCTCAACAGATGTTTCCTGTCCTGTAATACAATGTTTGTTTCTGTAATGATCCTGACTGTCACTAATTTCCTCTGAAAATACTTTGTCCTCTAGGTGGACACCCTCCTCCAAAGCGCCGGTCTGACCAACTACACGGCTGTCTCCGTCTCCACCTCTCGTCTCCAGACATTGGGAGTTGAGGTCGAGTTCATCCTGGACTTCCTTGCGACATCTACGACCACGAAAGATGAGATTCTAGTGGCTTTCCTGGCAGGGCTTCAAGGGAGAGATGATATTATCCTGCCAGATAATGTCATTATCAGGAGTACTGCGTTTGTTGGACAGCCAGGTTAGTCCATAACAGAATTTGTTATTTGGTACCGGATTTTTTTTCAGGCTGCAAAGGCCATTTTTGCAAACAATAGACTTTTGGAGTAATCAGGATTTTGATGTTGAGCAACATTACCGTAGTAAATTAATCTATGAAACTTTAACAATACATCCAGGGGGGTGTTTCACAAAGATCCCAAGTTGAACTTATCTCTAAGTTGGACTTAACATTTATGGAAAGCCATTAGCATCTTTAAAAATATTTTGTAAAAGTTATTTTAAAAGGCATGAAAAGTTGATTTTGTTCATTCATATTTTCCATTATCTAGGAGATTTCATGTTCTTGATGTGGAATTTATAAAAAGTCTAAAATACTTGAATTTTCGCTTTTGAATATATTTTATTTTAAGGCTACAAATGGCTCTCCATAATTTTTAAGTCCAACTTAGAGTTAAGTTCAACTTAGGATCTTTGTGAAACACCCCCCAGATATTATATGAAAACTCTATTTTTTCCTCCTTGGAAATCATGATGGTAACTTTTGGTCAATTTATAGAGATAAGCATTATTAGGTCAATAAATTGACAGTACTTTTGAACATTACCATTGAACTTTGAAATGGAAATTATTTCAATGAAGTTATATCATTTTTTTTACACAGATACAAATCTTAGTTGGTGTATTTCACATACTCTCTTTTCTTAAGTTAATTCATTTAAATACTGCACATGTATGTGTAGGCAAATTGAGGCTTGGTTGAATAAGAAGAATGAAATTTATGGGGAAATATGATTCATCTTAAAAATTGTACAATGCTACATGGTCTGTTGTCCCCATTATCCATTAATAAATTACAAGAGTGAAATATTGATGAATTTGTACAAAGTTGAAGGCTTTTCTAAGTGATGGATTTTCACAGATATTTTGTGACTTCTGAAAATGATGGATTCTGACAGATTTGGTGACTTCAGAAAGTTATGGATTCTAAAAGATTTGATGAAACCTGATAAATTTGAAGACTTTTTTTCTTTCTTCTTTTCTTGAATACAGTGATTAATCCATGTGTGGAGGAGACAGACAACTGCACAACAAACTCAGACTGTATCTTCCTTGGTACCTCTGGAAACTATACTTGTCAATGTCAAGATGGATTCATGGGAGATGGATTCACAACCTGTACAGGTACTGGATGAACAATTGATTTTTAATACACCAGGGGCAAACTACTCACGAGTTATGATTGATTCAAATCAATCGCAACAGTGCCATAGTTTACTTAAGATATGGGAGATTGTAAACTTGCAATTGATTGAGGACTAGAGATCCAAACAGATCAATGGCAAGTCTCTATGAGTCAGAGCCCTGGTATACTATATGGCAGTACATTGTGGAGCATGTACATGAGATGTTAACTTTTAAAATGACACCAAGTTTAAGAATATATATCTCGAATTTCATTGCTAGAGACAGATTTTTAATCAATTTTTATTTTATTTTAATGAAAAGAGTTTCAATGAAAACATTGTTCCTTCATATCAGTGTTCACATTTTATCAATATTCTTGAAGGAGAAATTCAAGTTTTAGCTTTTTAAGTAGCTAAGACCTTCATTTGCAAAGAAAGAATTACTCAGTTTTGGGCAAAACTTGTTTATATTCATATGAAAGATGATGGATGGCATACTCTGAGGAAAAGTAAAAATAAGATAAATAAAAACCTGACTTTGGGTATTACAGTAATCACTTGGCAGTCAAGGTCTTCTTTAATAATCCAATCATTTTTTAGGCAAAAAGATGTCATATATTTGAAAGATGTTCATGCGTGGGTATATAGTCGTCCAAGAAGTAGACAACTTGCCGATCACTACATAACACTGAGATAATGGGTATAACACTCCTGTGCGTACGTCCGTGTGCCGCCTTCTATATGCCCACACTTGAGTAACTGTAATATGACTATTAAAATAATTTGAAGTTACAGTACTTTCTTCCCCGATGTTTGGTAATCCAATAAACTTTCCTGCTTCAATTTTCCTTATGTTATTTTTCTGCTTTTCTGATCATATCCACATCTGTTTGAGATGTATCGTATTTATCAACATTACTTTCTTCTACACAGACATCAATGAATGCCTGAATGACACGTCATGCACAAATGAAGGAGAGAGGTGTGTTAACACTGCCGGAAGCTATTCTTGTGACTGCATGATAGATAGAGGTTACATTGCTAATGATGGAGTATGCACATGTAAGTCTCTAGTAGTTTGTAGGCTGATCCTGTCTGTAGTCCCAGGTAGTCAAAATACAGTCTGTGTGAAACAGGTGCATTATAATTTTGCTCACAAAACTACCACCCCTGTAAAATTTCCAAATAGTCTATCAGAAGATGTAATGAGCAATAAGCTGCTACGATTTGTTGAGTGCATATTTTGTCTAAAATTCAGTTCCATGGTAACTGAAGCACACCTTAAAGAAGTTTAGACTAAAAGTTAACAGCCCAAATTAGAAACTGACTGGTTGGCAAAGGGAAAATAAGATATGGAGATTGATGATCTCAGTGAAGACAAGTAAACAATGATTTATAGAAGTTGGGTGGGACAAAGGAGGCGTGATAGCTCAGTGGTAGATACATGTAGCAGTGGTTGCATAACTTGGATGTCCCCTTGTTCGAAACCAAGTCGATGTGCTAGTGCCCTTTGGTAAGGCATTAATCCTCATTACTCAGTCCCTCGGAGAGGACTTAACGCCGTTGGTCCCCTGGTTGCTTACTGACAAGCACACCCATGCTTTCTTAGCAGTCTGGTAAAACAAACACACCAAATGACATTGGACCAAATGACCATTTACCTTTGCAGAATTACTTATCTAAGGTAGATATTAAGTCTATCAACCTCTTTTATTCCCAACACAGTATATGAAGTATACCGTGGCCAGCTCACTGTCAATTTTATCAGCGGTCTCCCAGCTATTTTCACTTCAGACCTCACTGACTCCTCTAGCCAGGCTTACTCGAGTCTAGCTTTCTTAGTCAGCAATGCGGTAAGTTTATGTACAGAATATGTACAGTGTATCATTTGATGATTTCTGCAATGTATCTTTCGAGTTAGTCAGCTCATTAATATACATTTTTGTGGTTTTGTTTTCCAATTGTTTTTGTACAAATAAATCTTGCAGGAAAGTATGTTTAACCTGTTACTTACTTGAACCAGGAGACTCCTGTATTAAGCCTGTGGCAATGAGGAAATTCAGTAGTGGATTAATATTCAGATTGCTCTTTGTATGCATGTAAATAATCTTGCATGATAGTGTCAGAAGTACTCTCTTTTTTTCTCTCATTTTTATGACGGCTCTTTTTGGATATTCGATAGTAAAAAATAATTAGATTACTTTGTGGCAATTTGTTTATGTTTATACCTCACTGTTAGTTTACCAATGCTGTTTAAGAACTAAATCACCCATTGCTGGCATGTATCTTAAATTTTGGCTTGCCGTATAGAGGTTTGTGGATAAATAGATGTTCATGTGCATGGTATAGAAAAAAAAGAGAGATAAAAGAATGTGTTTTTATGTAACCATTTCAGATACGATATCTCTTCCTACTGGAGCCAAACCTGCAAGACTTCTTCCAGTCTTGCACGGTGTCTGGTTTCACCAACGGCAGTGTGGTGGCGACATACTATGTTTCCTTCACCCAGTCGGTCAATATTTCAAGCAGCTCCCTCACAGCTCTCCTTGTGAACACCCTTGAGACTGGTGTCATTCTTACTACAGGCATTGCCTCTCAAGGGAATATCAATGTAGATATTAACTCTGTGGAATTCACCAGTAAGTAGACATTTCACTGTTAAATTCTTCCGAGTATTGTACTACCGGTACTGCATTTACAGTGTACATGTAAATAGTTGGTATTTAATTCAATACTTCAGGCAGAAATATTTGAATTTTACTCAGTTAGGAAACATTAGAATTCAATTGCATTGTTTGGCTTTCATACATACCTGTATTTAACCTAAAGTTAAAATCAGACAAAGCCAATTGTTTTGAAAACCTGGAAGTGCATCCGTTATTCTTGTCAAAGAAATACTGTAATTTGATGATATTGTTTGACTTTTTCAGAAATTACCCAAGAGTGCACAAACACTTTCTGTTTCAATGGAGGAACATGTTCTTTGCAGAATGGATTGAAAGTCTGCCAGTGAGTATAAGCTCATTTTTATTCTTTTCATATAAAGTTACAGGGCAATTCCACGGTAACGGAAGGACACTCAGACAAGATTTTTGAACTTCAGGTTCATACTAAAAGAACTGTTTTATTAGTATAAGATGTGAAACAGTACAGATATAATACCTATACAAGTGCCTTTAATTCTCCCCCAAAAAATTGTCATTATAGTTAAGTAGTTTAAGAATGTGCATATTAATTATCTCGGTAACGGAAGGACATAAAAATGGACATGGTTTTTCCAGTTAATTAGTGTTTATCCAAACTTTGTGAAGTTGATGAAGCTTTCCACTTGACTGAAACACATTTTGTTCCCCATAGTTTAATACATACTAATAAAACATTTCTTTTAGTATGAACCTGAAGTTCAAAAATCTTGTCTGAGTGTCCTTCCGTTACCGTGGAATTGCCCTACATGTGTTTACCCATCTCCCTACTTGTATTCAGATTTTAAAGTGCACAGTGGACTTAAAGGTATAATACAAAGTTTTGGTATGGGGTCATGAATTTGGTTCAAATGTTCAGTGATCGTTGTCGCGGTTGAGTCTAAAGTTATGAAATTGTAAATAATAATCTCGTTATGTTGTATAGCTCCCTCTCAAGGTCAAGATATTAATAAAGCTATAAAACAATGTTTCTTGACTAAAATCGACCGATTAGCTATTCCCGTTTGGATTTTCATGGTCGCAGCTACCATTGTATGGCCATAGGCGCTATACACCAGTTTACAGTTGTATCAGTGCGCATGCGCAGACAGTTGACCTCGGGTCATTGGCCCTGAATTCAGGGCCAATAACCTCTGACCTCTGGTATTTATGCGTAAATTAAGATTGCGCCCATGCAAATAATGATGTGCGCGCACAACGCAGCGCGTAGGCAGTGATATCATCAAAATTTGCATGGGCGCAATCTTAATTTACGCATAAATACATGACCTCTAGGTCATTGGCTTTGTTTAAAATGGCGCACACAACTGTAAACTGGTGTATTTGAAAATTGTTTTAGGGGCTGAATTTTCTAGTGCTTAGAATCACTATCCAGCTAATTTTCAAAATTTCCCAAAACTTTGTATTACCTTTAAACCAAGTACATAGATCCCACAGACTTATTGTCCTTGTGCTTATGAACCAAAGACTAATGAGCTACACATAGTTTAGCAGCTTCTCTGATGTCCAGATAGTTCAGAAAAAAACTTCACCAGAATCATATTATCAACTAAGGGTCAGTAGGGCACTGATTCCCAATTGATACATGTTTGTTGACATACATGCTCAACTGTAGAGTTAATGCTAGGATGCCTTTCTGGCTCTGAGCAGATGATGCAGGTGATATACTGATTAAAGGCTCATTGAATATTGTTTGCTGAGAGCTATAAGGGCACTTCATGATCCTATACTACATTCAGCTACTGCCTACTTGCATCTAAACAACAATTATAGATATGTGTTTCATGCACAAGTGATACTACAGGTCACACAATCATGACTAAAACCTTGTATAATGCTTTGTTCATGAAGGTGCCCTAGTGGTTATGAGGGAGATACTTGTGAGAGGGCTCCTAGCACTCGGCCTCCTACTATAGCTACTACTCTGGAGGGGAGTACCATGGCAACGGAAAACATCACTGAGATGACCAACACCACAACATCATCCCAGACAAGTAAGTTATGAGGGGAGTGCATAATCATTGAGCTTGTGGGGGGATTAGAGGAATTAAGAATGACACACTACTGGATTTATTCAAAGGAGACACGATGGCTCAATGGTAGAGCAGTGGTCTTGTAACTGGGAGGTCCTGAGTTCAAAGCCCAGTTGATGCGTTAGTGCCCTTTGGTTAGGCATTAATCTTTATTACCAAGTCCCTCAAAGAGAACTTAAAGCTGTTAACCTCCTGGACATTTACTTACAAGCATACACATGCTTTGTTTTTGGTCAGGTGAAACAAACCAACTTACCAACCAACCAACCAATCAATCTTGATAGGAACCGTTTATGCATTTTTTGTCTTTATTTTTGCCGTTTAACTTCAGACTCCGCGAGCTCTCTCGCCTTCTTCAGCGTAGGGTCTGCTAACTGCGCTTTCCTAATATCATCAGGAGAAACTTCTGGGATAGGAGACATTACCTTCAGTGGAGTCTGTTTCCGTTTACTAACCTTAACCTGGGATCTCGTCTCAACTGCCATCCCTACCTCAGATAAATTCTTACCTTGATCATCATGGCCTGAAGTAGACGACCCCCAGTTCAGATTCGGAGCATTGGGTGGGAGAACATTTTGGATGTTCCCTAGAATCACATCAAACACTGGTGATTTCATACACAAAGCTACAACACAGCCTACATAAAAAGGACTGTCAACATGTACCTTAGCAGTAGGATACCAACGCACACTGCCATCGATGAGAATACACTGCCTGTGTTTTCCTGTCATCTGATCCTTGGCGGCTAGGCTCCTACGAATCACTACACAAGAACAACCTGTGTCTCTAAGAACTGAAACTGTTTGAGAATTAACAATTCCATCCTTAACTGGCATGAGTGCACGCAACTTACCTGTACAAGCCGCACACATTTCCAGTACTTTCTTCCTCCTCTGTTTCCTTGACGGTCTAGTCCGCTCCATCCCGGCGGCAGACATCGTGACAAACATCCCAACACTCTCGACCTGTGTTGTATCTTTGTCAACCCCTGAATCTTGGGAAGAAGAACATGTTGGACATTCAAAAGATAAGAGTCTGTTCACCTCATCAACTTTTTCATGATTTGTTTGAGACTTGTCCTTACCTGATGACTTCTTAGGATTATGGGATTTTAATCCCATAGCTACAAAACTTCCAACCTTTTGAGGTTTTGACTTAGAAGTTACTGTACAATTTCTTGCAAGATGACCCATTTGGTCACACAAATAACACGGCCCAATCGCCTTCCGATTGGTGGGCTTCTCACTGTGAAAGGGCTTTTCTCTGTGAAAAGCTTCACACTTTTTCTCTGACCTGTTGGATGTCATTACTTTGTTGTCCTGTCTTGGACCCTTGAAATGACCACCATGTGCTGAGATATAAATCAGAGCAGCGTCAGTCATCTCCCTAGTAGTCTTGAGCGTACGCTCTCTCAAATAGATAGCAAGCCCTGGACTCATCTGTTCAAGAAACTGCTGTCTAATAATCAAATCTTTCAACCCTTGATAAGATTTGTCTGTCTCCGTAAGATCCAACCATCTTTCGAAGTAGTGTTCTAACCTAGCAACAAATTGACCAGCATACTCTCCCGTCTCTGGCGTTGCTTTGTAGAACTTCTTCCGGAAGTCATCTGCTGACATCTGGTATCTGCGAAGGAGGGCGTCCTTAAGCTTGGAGTAATTCTCAGCTTCATCTGGTGCCAACCTACTGTAGACTTCCAACGCCTTTCCCTGTAGAAGTGCACCTAAATTAATGGCCCAACAATCTGTTTGCCATCTCTGACTACTAGCGTATCTCTCGAAACGCTCTAAATACGCATCCATGTTGTCTCTACTTTCATCAAAGTGAGGTAACTTTGGGATTCTTGTCAAACTATGGTGTTCGCGACTGGTATCTCCTGACTGAGATTCATTTCCCCTTTTGGCCTGTTCTAAGGATATCTGTTTATCTAAAATATTCCCCTCTAGTTGCTTCAAAGCAAATTCTTGTTTCTTATCTTCCCTTACAGCTGCTCTTTCATCACGTGCCTGTTGTTCTCTTTCTTTAATGAACTCCAACAAGGTCTCACCAACTAAACCTAGTTCCTTACCTAAGTTAATCAACTTTTCATCAATGACCTCCATACTGATAACCCAACCTAACAATAAAGCGGGACTATGGTATTGATAGGTGGTGAACCTATCTGGGTAACTAACCCCTTCCCAAATTCGCTCTAAATGCGCAAATTGCTAAATTGTCACTTACCAGAGAGAATCAAGAACACGTTCTGCCGATTTGAATACTTGCCACCGACTCCTGTTCTGTATTACAGAATCGCAAAATATTCCTAGTTCATATAAAGATAACAATGAGACACAAAAGTGAAAAGGTCAATAATGTACATGAGATAGTTAACGCTCTAAAATGTATGCGGTTTCCTTTTACATGTTTTATAATATACAATCAGTTCAAAACACTAAAAGAAAACCTAATATTCCTGCGAGAGGTCCCGGGTTCGACTCCCGGAAGAGCCCCCAAAATGTCACAACTGGGTAAACTCAGGTGACTTTAATTCGTGATCTAGTTAACTCTCTTATCGTCTCACAGGGAAATTTACACAATAAACAACGAATTCAAATTCTGTTAAAGTGTATCAAAGGATATCATCTTCTTCTTATCTTTATTACATTACTTCTTATCACAATAGAAATGCATATAAAGATATAAAATATATATTGAACCCAACCCTGAGGTTGTATTCTAAGCTGTCACAAAATCACACCTTTGTACAGAGTATCGTCACTGAAAATGGTCGTAAGTTTATCGTACGTCTGGAAATATAAATAAAATAACCCACTTTAGTGATGCAATCACTCAAGATGTGATAATAAAATATTGTTCATGGGAACAAAGAAACCATAGTTGTTACTGTTGCTGGAACTTGTCCCGTGTAACGAAGGGGTTGCTCCATCTGTAATGGCACCTTCATCTCTCCTTAGTCGTTACAGGTAGAGATCCACCCATTGTGGCATGAACTTGGATACCGGACTTGCTCTGTACGTCCTAGCCGGAACACCATCTAAAATTAACATTAACCCAGGCTATTAATAGTCTACGGAATAATACTAAATTATTCATCATCTACTTAATATCTTTTAACAAGACTATAACCATCATCAGGCAATACAATAACATGCATTACAGAAAAGGCTTCTATCATAATGATTTACATTGCATTACAAATATCCTTTCAACATCCAAAAGAGCCTGAATTACTGAGTGCAAATCCTGCGAACATGTACTTTCAGTTATTATTCAGAAATGAACAATATAATGTATAAAGAGTTACATTATTACTTTAGAGAAATGATTTGCAGTCTTCATTATTCATCCCTAATGCAAAGGTTCACTTGTGACCTTGACTTCTCAATGACAAATGAACACACCCAATGTATCATTATAAAAAGGAATACAAATATGGATTAAACTTGGATTAAACTTACAGTTTGACTGGTTGACTGAAATGCAGAAAATCGGGGCAGGCCTCAATGTCGGTTCTGGTGATCGTGACTCTCTATGGAAATTGGACTTGCAGCACAAAATGCTATGAAACAACTTTCATTTACCTCCAACCCATAGGTCCTATGAAACAACTTTCATCCACCTCCAACCCATAGGTCCTGCCTGTATGACTTGTGTGCAGATAGTGACACTACACTGCAACGTAAGGCAACCCACCCACTATAGCTATGCATCACCTGTTTGAGCTACAATGTATGTAGAGTGCAGTGGAGCCTAACTACGCAATGCATTCAACCCAATGCTGTAATCTACATAACAATTAAGCGGGTAGCATTGAGGGGAAAGGTTGAATCCTAACACCTACCTGCATATACTTTGCATATGTTCCTTTATTTCTTGACCAGACATGCATTTTGTAGAAAAATTGTACATATCACACTAAATTTTATATTTTCTTATTACCTTTTATCATTGAAACCTAGGTGTCATTGAGTCTCATGATGTAAATGCCATTAGCGTACAGTATGTTGATGAGATACTGAATTATTTAGTTCATAGCAATATTTCTTTTTTAGAATGCAATTGCATAATCTTCTGTAAGGGATTCTCGTAAGTGTATGGTTGTGCCTAAACATTGTGAGGTACATATTATTTATTTAATTGTATGTCATTTTGTTTTACTCCTTTCTTTTTGAATCAGATATCAATGAATGCCAAGATGGAAGTAACACATGTGATACAGCATCTCAGATATGCATTAATACAGTGGGAGGTTTCATGTGTCAATGCATGACCGGATTCGTACAAAATGGATCAATTTGTCAAGGTAACATACATGTGTTTTATTTCTATTATTTATTGCAAGAGTATTTTGTTGTGCAGTTTCCTCAATACAATAATAGAAGATTTTTCTTTTTAGGATAGTTTCAAACTATTTTGCTCAATCTCTGCACATATCCTTCTTTCAAAAAATTTGAGTTTGTTTGTCTTTTTTCTATTTTTATATACTCCTTGTTTTCCTAATAAATAAAGAAATTCACCATCCAGTGAAACGCTTTTTTATTACACTGTGCTTGAGCATTCAAGATGTTTTTAGAAATGTTTATAGGTGTTTTACTTGACTAACCAATTAAGAAGAAATTTTCCTCATTATTCTTTAATAATTATGGGAGAACTTAATAACTTCTACATGTTTTTGTTTCCTTTTAGACATCGATGAGTGTGCTGACAGCAGTTTATGTGGAACAAATGCAATGTGTATCAATTCTTTTGGCAGCTACATGTGTAGTTGTGTGAGTGGTTATGATGGAGATGGGATCACCTGTCTTGGTGAGTTTGATATGGAATTCAAGTCATTTACTTTCTCATTATGATATGATAATAATCTATGAAGAACAAAACTAACATGAACAGGATTCCTTGGGTCCTTGGAAATCCTTGGAAATTCTTGATTTTTCAAAGTTGTCCTGGAAAAACCCAAATGTGATTTTATGGCTGGAAACCTGTTTTATAAAGTAGCTGTTATTATTGAGGTAGCAGTCAAAATCAATAGTAGACACTTATAACAATAAACTATTATTTAGTATGGCTTTGATTTTATGTTTCCACCCCTCTAACAAACACCAGTGGTGATTTGATAAAGAAATCATATTTCTCAAATGTACACATTTTAATGGATGATTCCTTTATTACTTCAGTCATAAAAAGGTGATCCATTTGTATCTAGAGAAAATAAAGATAATAATAATAACATTCCTTTCTTGTATAGAACATATCACATTATCACGTCCCTATGCACTTCCAAAGTGCTCTGGAAATTATTACCCTAGCTTTAGCTCCGTCACCTGTTATCAGCGCACAGTGCATGTCAAGGAATATTTCTACTCGGTACCTATTTACCACACCTGGTCTGAGTGTGGCAAATGTAGATTAATGTCTTGCCAAAGGACATTAGTGCCGCGGCGGGACTCGAACCACAGACCTTGTGATCCGCAGTCCGGTGACATATGCACTCGACCACAACATTTTCATTTCAGTACTTATATTGCTTATTCAAGATTAGTTTTTCAATTGATCCCCACTTTCTTATTACATTCTAGCTTACCCATTGATAGATTAATACTTTTGTCATGTTTGCATAATGAATCTTGCAACAAATTGTAATGTTGTTTTGCCCTTTTCATTCTGTTCTATTCGAGATCTCTACACTTCAGATGGTGCTGGCTCATCATTAAGCAGTGTAACTACAGCTGTTCCTCTAGAAACTTCTACATTTTCTATGGCAAGTCAGGTCTTGACTACAGATAAGTCAGTCACCTCACAAATTCAAACCACCAATAACTTACCATTTGTAACATCAAACCCTGGGGAATATACCTCACAGATGAGTACTTCCACAGAGCTCTCAACTGGGACTGTTATTCTTTCGTCTACCACGATTGATGTAACTTCTGAGAATTCTGTAACTGACCCTGAATCAACTGTCCAATTTACTGAGGATACTACCACAAGTGTTCAAGGTTCAACCACAACAGTTGGTACAGGAGGTATCTCAGCAACTGCAACAACCACTCAGTCTTCTATGGAAATGAGTACTGGTGCAGATACGACAGAGATATCGACTTCTGATGTAACATCACAATCTCCTACTACTTCAGGATTCACAACCTCAGGTTTGAGAACTGGTGCAGAATCAACAGAGCCAGGGACAAGGACTACTGAGGAGGAATCAACTAAAGCAGGAACAACTGAAGGATTCACCTCAGATGTAACATCTACTGCTTTACCAACATCAGTGATCACCACCAATGGTCTGACTACCAAGGAGGAGACAACTGAATCAGGAACAACTGAAGGATTCACTTCAGATGTTACATCTACTGGGCCGTCAACTTCAGATATCACCACCAATGTTCTGACTACTGAGGGGGAAACAACTGAATCACAAACAACTGAGAGATTCACCTCAGATGTTACATCTACTGCTTCCTTAACATCAGATATCACCACAGACATTCCCTCAACTGGGCCGTCAACATCATACATGTATATCACCACCAATGGTCTAACTACTGAGAAGCACACAACTGAATCGGGAACAACTGAAAGATTCACTTCAGATGTTACATCAACTGGGCCGTCAACATCAGATATCACCACCAATAGTCTAACTACTGAGGCGGAGACAACTAACTCGGGAACAACAGAAGAATTCACCTCAGATGTTACATCTACTGCTCTACCAACATCAGATATCACAACCAATGGTCTATCTAATGAGGAGGAGACAACTGAATCAGGAACAACTGAAGGATTCACTTCAGATGTTACATCTACTGGGCCGTCAACTTCAGATATCACCACCAATGTTCTGACTACTGAGGGGGAAACAATTGAATCAGGAACAACTGAAGGATTCACTTCAGATGTTACATCTACTGGGCCGTCAACTTCAGATATCACCACCAATGTTCTGACTACTGAGGGGGAAACAACTGAATCACAAACAACTGAGAGATTCACCTCAGATGTTACATCTACTGCTTCCTTAACATCAGATATCACCACAGACATTCCCTCAACTGGGCCGTCAACATCATATATCACCACCAATGGTCTAACTACTGAGAAGCACACAACTGAATCGGGAACAACTGAAAGATTCACTTCAGATGTTACATCAACTGGGCCGTCAATTTCAGATATCACCACCAATGTTCTGACTACTGAGGGGGAAACAACTGAATCACAAACAACTGAGAGATTCACCTCAGATGTTACATCTACTGCTTCCTTAACATCAGATATCACCACAGACATTCCCTCAACTGGGCCGTCAACATCATATATCACCACCAATGTTCTGACTACTGAGAAGCACACAACTGAATCGGGAACAACTGAAGGATTCACTTCAGATGTTACATCTACTGGGCCGTCAACTTCAGATATCACCACCAATGGTCTAACTACTGAGAAGCACACAACTGAATCACAAACAACTGAGAGATTCACCTCAGATGTTACATCTACTGCTTCCTTAACATCAGATATCACCACAGACATTCCCTCAACTGGGCCGTCAACATCATATATCACCACCAATGGTCTAACTACTGAGAAGCACACAACTGAATCGGGAACAACTGAAAGATTCACTTCAGATGTTACATCAACTGGGCCGTCAATTTCAGATATCACCACCAATGTTCTGACTACTGAGGGGGAAACAACTGAATCACAAACAACTGAGAGATTCACCTCAGATGTTACATCTACTGCTTCCTTAACATCAGATATCACCACAGACATTCCCTCAACTGGGCCGTCAACATCATATATCACCACCAATGGTCTAACTACTGAGAAGCACACAACTGAATCGGGAACAACTGAAAGATTCACTTCAGATGTTACATCAACTGGGCCGTCAACATCAGATATCACCACCAATGGTCTAACTACTGAGAAGCACACAACTGAATCGGGAACAACTGAAGGATTCACTTCAGATGTTACATCTACTGGGCCGTCAACATCATATATCACCACCAATGGTCTAACTACTGAGAAGCACACAACTGAATCGGGAACAACTGAAGGATTCACTTCAGATGTTACATCAACTGGGCCGTCAACATCATATATCACCACCAATGGTCTAACTACTGAGAAGCACACAACTGAATCGGGAACAACTGAAGGATTCACTTCAGATGTTACATCTACTGGGCCGTCAACATCATATATCACCACCAATGGTCTAACTACTGAGAAGCACACAACTGAATCGGGAACAACTGAAGGATTCACTTCAGATGTTACATCAACTGGGCCGTCAACATCATATATCACCACCAATGGTCTAACTACTGAGAAGCACACAACTGAATCGGGAACAACTGAAGGATTCACTTCAGATGTTACATCTACTGGGCCGTCAACATCATATATCACCACCAATGGTCTAACTACTGAGAAGCACACAACTGAATCGGGAACAACTGAAGGATTCACTTCAGATGTTACATCAACTGGGCCGTCAACATCATATATCACCACCAATGGTCTAACTACTGAGAAGCACACAACTGAATCGGGAACAACTGAAAGATTCACTTCAGATGTTACATCAACTGGGCCGTCAACATCAGATATCACCACCAATGGTCTAACTACTGAGAAGCACACAACTGAATCGGGAACAACTGAAGGATTCACTTCAGATGTTACATCTACTGGGCCGTCAACATCATATATCACCACCAATGGTCTAACTACTGAGAAGCACACAACTGAATCGGGAACAACTGAAGGATTCACTTCAGATGTTACATCAACTGGGCCGTCAACATCAGATATCACCACCAATGGTCTAACTACTGAGAAGCACACAACTGAATCGGGAACAACTGAAGGATTCACTTCAGATGTTACATCAACTGGGCCGTCAACATCATATATCACCACCAATGGTCTAACTACTGAGAAGCACACAACTGAATCGGGAACAACTGAAGGATTCACTTCAGATGTTACATCTACTGGGCCGTCAACTTCAGATATCACCACCAATGGTCTAACTACTGAGAAGCACACAACTGAATCACAAACAACTGAGAGATTCACCTCAGATGTTACATCTACTGCTTCCTTAACATCAGATATCACCACAGACATTCCCTCAACTGGGCCGTCAACATCATATATCACCACTAATGGTCTAACTACTGAGAAGCACACAACTGAATCGGGAACAACAGAAAGATTCACTTCAGATGTTACATCAACTGGGCCGTCAACATCAGATATCACCACCAATAGTCTAACTACTGAGGCGGAGACAACTAACTCGGGAACAACAGAAGAATTCACCTCAGATGTTACATCTACTGCTCTACCAACATCAGATATCACAACCAATGGTCTATCTAATGAGGAGGAGACATCTGAATCAGGAACAACAGAAGATTTCACCTCAGATTTTACATCAACTCTGTCGTCAACATCAGATATCACTACTAATCGTCTGACTACTGAGGAGGAGAGGACTGAGGGAATAACCTCAGATATGACATCTACCGCTCTACCAACATCAGATATCATTACCAATGGTATGACTACGAAGGGGTAACAACAATCTCGCAAACATAGCGATTTTGTACTCTTATATATAAGAGCAGAAATTTGTAAAGAAATCATGATCAGTACAGGTCAAAAGTTGATATCTACTTTAGATAGGAGTATTTGTTTCCCATTTATAGAAAAGTATGGCATGATTGACAAAATTGAAGTAATCAGTGGGGTTGTTTTTGAGTGTGTATATTGTTGACTTGAGGTTCAATTGGTTTGAGAGTAAGTTAGCATCTGCTAAAGATATCAATATCACATTCAGTAGAATAAAAACAAAAAAATATTGAACACTTTGAAGTAATTATGAATTGATAAAAATTATGATAATTATAATATTGATGTTAACAACAATACAAAGTATTCATAATCAGTGTTTATGGGCATTAGTATTGATTTACAGAGAATTAAGAATAAGTCAACATCTTCTCTAGATTAACAAAAAAATAATGTGGGATTCAATGCTTTTTATATATCCATGTTGTCTTTGATATATTTTAAGAATCTAGATGTTTTGTCATATTAAGTAGTATCAAGAAAATTTTCCATTTGAAATGAATATACTTTTTTCAGTTATCTAACTTTGCGTTTATACCAGATGAAAATGAGTGTGCATTGGTATCATTAGTTGCTTCCAGGAGGGTAACAACACCACCCCTGCTCCAAAACCTTGATGGTGGTTAAGGTTCTGAATTGTTTCAAGATGTTGTAATTTTAGCCCATAGCTTATGGAACTAGTTGTTTTGTGTAATAAGCTTATGGGACTGAGACAATTCAGTAGTTAACAGGTTAAATCTCTTGCATTTAATTATCATCTTTTCTATGTGTTTATACGAGATGAGGATGAGTGTGCCCTTGGTATTAGTGGTTGCCCCCAGGGGTGTAACAATACCACCCCAGCTCAGAACCCAGATGGTTTCAGTTGCTACTGCTATGAAGGCTTCATCGCTGACCTGCAAGGCAACTGTGTCCGTAAGTCAATTCAATTCAATTCAATTCGCATTTATTTCATTCTCGATTAAAATCATATTGATACAAGTACCAAAGAGTTCGCTAAACTTCTGGCCATATGTTGCACAAAGAATCACAATTGATTACTAGTCACATTACTTTGAACCAGTCAGGCATCATAATAATCTTGATTTATGTTAATGACACAAACTTAATTCTAACAGAATAGAAGAAGAAAATGGACTGGAACACAGAATATCCAGCAGACAAAATAAATAATAGCACTCCAACAATTTCGATAGAAAATGAATGATTGCCAACCAAGTAAGGATGTGCAGTTCATTTATCCTTATTTTTACAATATTTAATTCTAGAAAAATCTTGTTTTCAGGGGTGCTCCTTCTCATGACCCCTCTTCAAGCTCAGTCACCCGTCTTTCAGGCTAATTAGGTGATAATGTATAATAAGATTGGTCTCCCGTTTCATTTTCAGCGGAAACAAGCTGCATAAGTACTGTATGTAGCAATGCAGACTGTGTTAATCTCAATGGAATGGAGATGTGTGTTTGCTACAATGGCTACAAATTCAACAGCTCCGACATCACATCTTGTATAGGTAAGCACTATTCTGTTATTACTATTCGTTACTTTGTATTGCCTGTGTCTTGGATAGAGATAATTGAACTCAATCACTCTGACCCTTGACCCTTGGGTCCCTCCCCCCAGTATAACTGATCGGGATGTACAGGTGAAGCCCTATACATGGGTCACTCTACTCTTGGCGAGGAGTGCAGTGGGTTCTGAACGTGCATCAGGATTACTTTCCTACACTTGAGATCTCTTTTTGACATTGTGTATGAGGAACATCAATCACATTGTTTTTCACTGTTTCCTAGTGTGCATCTACATGTATGAATCAGGGAGAGGGCTCATTTCACAGACAACACTAGCTCGGAGTCATCAATCCAAGCTGGGAGGTGTTTCACAAAGCCTTTTTTCAATGAAAAATGACAGAAGTCAGTGACAAATCTGCTGATAACCAATCAGAATCAAGCATTTCAGTAGCTTATAACAAAGCTGTCATTTATCACTGATGACAAGTTTTGTGAAATATCCCCCTGATTTCTAATCATGATCTGTGGATTGACATGAAGACACTTTACTAATTGAGCCAATTCCCTTTAAAATCTCAATTCAACTAAATTACCATTCTCCTTCCTTTCTAGATATTGATGAGTGCACTGATGTAGAATACAGCAACATGTGCAATCAGGACTGTACCAATACCATCGGAGGGTACAACTGCTCTTGTTTTGAGGGGTATTCCCTTATGACTGATGGCCGCACATGCAATGGTAAGATTTGCAAATCATTGACCTTTGACCTTGTAAACTATGACAGGCATACATTCGTAAGAATTATGCGTAAAGAGATGCGTAATAAAGAATACAGTTTTTTGTATACCTTGTACATTCATGTCACGTACATCATTGAGGTTCTGTATCATACCCTTAATCCATTTCCATGAAGTACCGAAGCTGTGACATCATAAACATCTATTCTTAGAATTTCTCAATTTTTTCATTTTCCGAAAGAGCATAATAAATAATGTCCAAATGTGGAAAACCAGTTAAAAAGGTTAAGTATTGGCTGAGATATCACCATCTGAATGAATAGATTTCCTATAGGAAACTGTGTTATATTGCTCTGGTTCATAAAGTTTTGAGCCAGAGCATATAACACTGAGCAGGAACAGGATGACTCCTGGGACCCGCTTCACAAAGCCTTTTTCCAATGACAAATGACTAAATTCAATGACAAATCTGCTGATAACCAATCAGATGAAAGGATTTTACTAGCTTATAATCAAAACTGTAATTTTTCACTGATGCCAAGTTTTGTGAAATGGGGCCCTGTACTAAAGCCTACGGGAAGAAAAGAAATCAGGAATCAATGGGTTAATATAAGCTCTGAGTTCAAGATTTTGAAGATAAACAGAAGTGTGTACCTTTAAAGTTTGAGTCATCAAACAGAATAGATTTTCCTACCTGCATATACTTTGTATATGTTCCTTTATTTCTTGACCAGACATGCATTTTGTAGAAAAATTGTACATATCACACTAAATTTTATATTTTCTTATTACCTTTTATCATTGAAACCTAGGTGTCATTGAGTCTCGTGATGTAAATGCCATTAGCGTACAGTATGTTGATGAGATACTGAATTATTTAGTTCATAGCAATATTTCTTTTTTAGAATGCAATTGCATAATCTTCTGTAAGAGATTCTCGTAAGTGTATGGTTGTGCCTAAACATTGTGAGGTACATATTATTTATTTAATTGTATGTCATTTTGTTTTACTCCTTTCTTTTTGAATCAGATATCAATGAATGCCTAGATGAAAGTAACACATGTGATACAGCATCTCAGATATGCATTAATACAGTGGGAGGTTTCATGTGTCAATGCATGACCGGATTCGTACAAAATGGATCAATTTGTCAAGGTAACATACATGTGTTTTATTTCTATTATTTATTTGCAAGAGTATTTTGTTGTGCAGTTTCCTCAATACAATAATAGAAGATTTTTCTTTTTAGGATAGTTTCAAACTATTTTGCTCAATCTCTGCACATATCCTTCTTTCAAAAAATTTGAGTTTGTTTGTCTTTTTTCTATTTTTATATACTCCTTGTTTTCCTAATAAATAAAGAAATTCACAATCCAGTGAAACGCTTTTTTATTACACTGTGCTTGAGCATTCAAGATGTTTTTAGAAATGTTTATAGGTGTTTTACTTGACTAACCAATTAAGAAGAAATTTTCCTCATTATTCTTTAATAATTATGGGAGAACTTAATAACTTCTACATGTTTTTGTTTCCTTTTAGACATCGATGAGTGTGCTGACAGCAGTTTATGTGGAACAAATGCAATGTGTATCAATTCTTTTGGCAGCTACATGTGTAGTTGTGTGAGTGGTTATGATGGAGATGGGATCACCTGTCTTGGTGAGTTTGATATGGAATTCAAGTCATTTACTTTCTCATTATGATATGATAATAATCTATGAAGAACAAAACTAACATGAACAGGATTCCTTGGGTCCTTGGAAATCCTTGGAAATTCTTGATTTTTCAAAGTTGTCCTGGAGAAACCCAAATGTGATTTTATGGCTGGAAACCTGTTTTATAAAGTAGCTGTTATTATTGAGGTAGCAGTCAAAATCAATAGTAGACACTTATAACAATAAACTATTATTTAGTATGGCTTTGATTTTATGTTTCCACCCCTCTAACAAACACCTGTGGTGATTTGATAAAGAAATCATATTTCTCAAATGTACACATTTTAATGGATGATTCCTTTATTACTTCAGTCATAAAAAGGTGATCCATTTGTATCTAGAGAAAATAAAGATAATAATAATAACATTCCTTTCTTGTATAGAACATATCACATTATCACGTCCCTATGCACTTCCAAAGTGCTCTGGAAATTATTACCCTAGCTTTAGCTCCGTCACCTGTTATCAGCGCACAGTGCATGTCAAGGAATATTTCTACTCGGTACCTATTTACCACACCTGGTCTGAGTGTGGCAAATGTAGATTAATGTCTTGCCAAAGGACATTAGTGCCGCGGCGGGACTCGAACCACAGACCTTGTGATCCGCAGTCCGGTGACATATGCACTCGACCACAACATTTTCATTTCAGTACTTATATTGCTTATTCAAGATTAGTTTTTCAATTGATCCCCACTTTCTTATTACATTCTAGCTTACCCATTGATGGATTAATACTTTTGTCATGTTTGCATAATGAATCTTGCAACAAATTGTAATGTTGTTTTGCCCTTTTCATTCTGTTCTATTTGAGATCTCTACACTTCAGATGGTGCTGGCTCATCATTAAGCAGTGTAACTACAGCTGTTCCTCTAGAAACTTCTACATTTTCTATGGCAAGTCAGGTCTTGACTACAGATAAGTCAGTCACCTCACAAATTCAAACCACCAATAACTTACCATTTGTAACATCAACCCCTGGGGAATATACCTCACAGATGAGTACTTCCACAGAGCTCTCAACTGGGACTGTTATTCTTTCGTCTACCACGATTGATGTAACTTCTGAGAATTCTGTAACTGACCCTGAATCAACTGTCCAATTTACTGAGGATACTACCACAAGTGTTCAAGGTTCAACCACAACAGTTGGTACAGGAGGTATCTCAGCAACTGCAACAACCACTCAGTCTTCTATGGAAATGAGTACTGGTGCAGATACGACAGAGATATCGACTTCTGATGTAACATCACAATCTCCTACTACTTCAGGATTCACAACCTCAGGTTTGAGAACTGGTGCAGAATCAACAGAGCCAGGGACAAGGACTACTGAGGAGGAATCAACTAAAGCAGGAACAACTGAAGGATTCACCTCAGATGTAACATCTACTGCTTTACCAACATCAGTGATCACCACCAATGGTCTGACTACCGAGGAGGAGACAACTGAATCAGGAACAACTGAAGGATTCACTTCAGATGTTACATCTACTGGGCCGTCAACTTCAGATATCACCACCAATGTTCTGACTACTGAGGGGGAAACAACTGAATCACAAACAACTGAGAGATTCACCTCAGATGTTACATCTACTGCTTCCTTAACATCAGATATCACCACAGACATTCCCTCAACTGGGCCGTCAACATCATACATGTATATCACCACCAATGGTCTAACTACTGAGAAGCACACAACTGAATCGGGAACAACTGAAAGATTCACTTCAGATGTTACATCAACTGGGCCGTCAACATCAGATATCACCACCAATAGTCTAACTACTGAGGCGGAGACAACTAACTCGGGAACAACAGAAGAATTCACCTCAGATGTTACATCTACTGCTCTACCAACATCAGATATCACAACCAATGGTCTATCTAATGAGGAGGAGACAACTGAATCAGGATCAACTGAAGGATTCACTTCAGATGTTACATCTACTGGGCCGTCAACTTCAGATATCACCACCAATGTTCTGACTACTGAGGGGGAAACAATTGAATCAGGAACAACTGAAGGATTCACTTCAGATGTTACATCTACTGGGCCGTCAACTTCAGATATCACCACCAATGTTCTGACTACTGAGGGGGAAACAACTGAATCACAAACAACTGAGAGATTCACCTCAGATGTTACATCTACTGCTTCCTTAACATCAGATATCACCACAGACATTCCCTCAACTGGGCCGTCAACATCATATATCACCACCAATGGTCTAACTACTGAGAAGCACACAACTGAATCGGGAACAACTGAAAGATTCACTTCAGATGTTACATCAACTGGGCCGTCAATTTCAGATATCACCACCAATGTTCTGACTACTGAGGGGGAAACAACTGAATCACAAACAACTGAGAGATTCACCTCAGATGTTACATCTACTGCTTCCTTAACATCAGATATCACCACAGACATTCCCTCAACTGGGCCGTCAACATCATATATCACCACCAATGTTCTGACTACTGAGAAGCACACAACTGAATCGGGAACAACTGAAGGATTCACTTCAGATGTTACATCTACTGGGCCGTCAACTTCAGATATCACCACCAATGGTCTAACTACTGAGAAGCACACAACTGAATCACAAACAACTGAGAGATTCACCTCAGATGTTACATCTACTGCTTCCTTAACATCAGATATCACCACAGACATTCCCTCAACTGGGCCGTCAACATCATATATCACCACCAATGGTCTAACTACTGAGAAGCACACAACTGAATCGGGAACAACTGAAAGATTCACTTCAGATGTTACATCAACTGGGCCGTCAACATCATATATCACCACCAATGGTCTAACTACTGAGAAGCACACAACTGAATCGGGAACAACTGAAAGATTCACTTCAGATGTTACATCAACTGGGCCGTCAACATCAGATATCACCACCAATGGTCTAACTACTGAGAAGCACACAACTGAATCGGGAACAACTGAAGGATTCACTTCAGATGTTACATCTACTGGGCCGTCAACATCATATATCACCACCAATGGTCTAACTACTGAGAAGCACACAACTGAATCGGGAACAACTGAAGGATTCACTTCAGATGTTACATCAACTGGGCCGTCAACATCATATATCACCACCAATGGTCTAACTACTGAGAAGCACACAACTGAATCGGGAACAACTGAAAGATTCACTTCAGATGTTACATCAACTGGGCCGTCAACATCAGATATCACCACCAATGGTCTAACTACTGAGAAGCACACAACTGAATCGGGAACAACTGAAGGATTCACTTCAGATGTTACATCTACTGGGCCGTCAACATCATATATCACCACCAATGGTAAGATAAGATAAGATAAGATTTTATTCTTCTTTCTTTCAAATGACATACAGAGCATAACATTGGATCATAACACATTTACAAAGCAAAATAACAAATTATGATAATGATAAAAAACATAGCTAACTAAAAGAAAGACGAGGAGACCCTGGTAAAAGCAGAGCTTGTAATTATTAGGGTCCCCTCTGAGCCGGATAAAACATGATGAATAGATATTTGTGACTACCTAAGAATACAATAGGGAAAAGGGGGTATAACAAAACAAGAAGTGTACACACACAACAACAACAACAACAAAAAGAGAGACTAGACTAGACAAGACGGGAGTAAAGAGAAAATATGAGAAATAATAGAAGAATACAGCACATCGACAATAGGCACAGCACACAACGGGCACAAGACAACAGGGGGAGGGAATAAGAGGTTGACAATCTGAAAATATTCAGTTAGACACATATTAATATCAAGAAGAAAATTTACATTTATAGTAATACATAATATATCTTGGCACCATAATAACTACAAAAATGAACTACTCTATGAGTCACAGTATTTATCGAGAAGATAAACCTTAAGTTTACACTTAAATGAAGAGATACTAACAGATTGCTTAACGCTAGAGCCTAGAGAGTTCCAAAATTTAGGTCCAGTAAAAACCAAAGTATTAAAAGTTAACTTTGTCCTTACTTGGGGTAAGTGAAACGCAGAGGCATTTCGTGTAGAATGGTCATGAACTTGACTATTTTTCTTAAAAATGCTGACTAGAGCCTGTGGAAGGACACCAGAATCGAAGTTGTACATTAAAGAACCCAGTTGAAGGTGATAAATATCTTGCACCTTTAAAATTCTATGCGTATAAAAAAGCGGATTAGTGTGCGTACGAAAGCTAACGTTACAAATAATTCTTAAGACCCTCTTTTGAATCAAATATAACTTTTCAAGGTTAGTTTCAAGAGAGTTACCCCAAGCAAGAACACCATAATTAAGATAGGGGAGGATTAATGTTGAGTACATTAATAAAAGGATGCCTTTAGGTAAAATTGATTTCAATTTATGAATTACGCCACTGTTTCTTGACAATGTCTTATAGAGATGATTTACATGAATTTTCCAACTCATTTGCTCATCAATGTGCAAACCAAGGAATTTTGTTGATGATACCCTATCTATCAATACATTATTAAATGATACATCTCCTGGAAGCACTTTGATTGTATTACTAAAAAACATATAATTTGTCTTTTGCAGATTTAAAGACAATTTATTTGCTTGAATCCACAAAGTAACTTTACTTAGTTCGAAATTAACCGTTTCTAACAGAGTTTGTGAATTTTTGTGTGAATAGTACAAGCTGGAATCATCAGCAAATAAAATGAATGACAAAATATCAGATGAGAAATGAAAGTCATTAATATATACAATAAACAAGAGCGGACCAAGGAGAGATCCCTGAGGAACGCCGCATGTGACATTCTGTAACCCTGAATCAAAACCGTTTAAAGAAACAAATTGTTTCCTGTCAGCTAAGTAGCTCTTAAACCAGTCCAGAGCTGTGCCCCTGACACCATAATGCGATAATTTCCCTAGCAAAATTTCATGATCTGTAGTATCAAATGCCTTGGAATAATCAAGGAATATACCGATTGTGTGCATCTTTTTGTCTATTGCTTGTGAAATCTTATCTATAAAGTGCAGCAAGGCATGAGAGGTAGTATGTTTCTCTCGGAACCCAAACTGAAAATTTGAGAATATTTTACTTTTGTTGAAAAATTCTAAAGTTCTAACATAAATCACTTTCTCAAGGATCTTTGAGAAGGAGGTTAGAAGTGAAATAGGACGGTAATTTGAAAAAGATTGAGGATCACCCTTTTTAAAAACGGGTACGACTTTTGCAATTTTCATGTTTTCGGGGACTATTCCATTTAACATTGATGAATTAAAAACATGAATAAGGGGTTGAATAATCGCTAAGATAACCTGTTTAATTATGTCATTATTGACACCATCGTAACCAGGACTTTTCCCAGCCTTAAGCGAATTCACAATAGTAAGCAACTCTTCCCTAACTAATGGGAAAAGGAATAAGCTTTTCTTGTTAGATTCTTTCAGGAAATCGTTAAAAGATTTTTGACAGGAAGGGACCGCCCGTGACAGATTAGGACCAATACTGCAAAAATAATCATTGAATTTTTCCACAATAATATTCTTATCTTCCACTAAACGACCATCAATTTCAAAATTCTTTACATCAGAATTTTTTTTCTTTGACTTGAACACATTTCTTATCACTTTCCAAGTTCCTTTGATATCGTTTGAAGTTGCTTGAAACTGAGCAAAATAATATGTTTTCTTTGCTGCACGCAAGACTGAAGTAAGGGTGTTTTTATAATCAACATATCGTTTACGTGATGATTCTCTTCCACTAACTTTATAAGAATAATACAACTTATTCTTCTTATTGATAGACTTCAACAAGGAAGCACTGACCCATGGCATGCGTGGAATTTTCTTACGATTTCTAGTATTACATTTGGAAATCGGAACAATTTTATCATAGAGTAGCAAAAACTTATTAAAGAAATTGTTGAATGAAATATTAACATCCTTTTCAAGTAAAACTGCACTCCAGTCAGTGGCCGTTAGTGCTTCTCGAAACTTCTCAATGTTAGTAGGATTGTTTTTACGAATATATTTACATTCATGTTTATGAGCAGTATTACGAAAATTCACTCTAGTGAAGATAGGGAAATGATCTGAAAGATCTGATATTATAATACCTGAAGGTGGAAAAGGTTGCAAATTACAAAATATGTTATCAATAAGGGTAGATGAACTATCAGTTACCCTTGTGGGTTTTGTAATTAATGGCATTAAAGAAAATGACAACATCATATTCAAAAAAGCATTATAATGGTCATTTTCATCACATTGAAGAAGGTTTATATTATAATCTCCCATTAAAAATATTGACTTATTGACAAATAGTGGGTTCAACAATATACTCTGCAATTCATTCACAGTAAGATCTATATTACTCTGGGGAGGTCTGTATATAACTCCAAAGATAACATTCTTTTTGCCTGGAATAAAACACTCTACAAAAATAGACTCCAACTGATCAGTCATCACATTTAAGTCATGCCTTACTTGGAAATCCATACCAACTGGAATGTATAAAGCAACACCACCGCCTCTTTTATCACGTCTGTGATTAGACACCAAACTATATCCAGAAATAGAATATAAATTAACATCACTCTCACTCGAAAACCAAGTCTCCGAGACCCCAATTATTGTAGAGCTATCATTGAGGTTTCTGATAAGAAACTACTGAGAAGCACACAACTGAATCGGGAACAACTGAAGGATTCACTTCAGATGTTACATCAACTGGGCCGTCAACATCAGATATCACCACCAATGGTCTAACTACTGAGAAGCACACAACTGAATCGGGAACAACTGAAGGATTCACTTCAGATGTTACATCAACTGGGCCGTCAACATCATATATCACCACCAATGGTCTAACTACTGAGAAGCACACAACTGAATCGGGAACAACTGAAGGATTCACTTCAGATGTTACATCTACTGGGCCGTCAACTTCAGATATCACCACCAATGGTCTAACTACTGAGAAGCACACAACTGAATCACAAACAACTGAGAGATTCACCTCAGATGTTACATCTACTGCTTCCTTAACATCAGATATCACCACAGACATTCCCTCAACTGGGCCGTCAACATCATATATCACCACTAATGGTCTAACTACTGAGAAGCACACAACTGAATCGGGAACAACAGAAAGATTCACTTCAGATGTTACATCAACTGGGCCGTCAACATCAGATATCACCACCAATAGTCTAACTACTGAGGCGGAGACAACTAACTCGGGAACAACAGAAGAATTCACCTCAGATGTTACATCTACTGCTCTACCAACATCAGATATCACAACCAATGGTCTATCTAATGAGGAGGAGACATCTGAATCAGGAACAACAGAAGATTTCACCTCAGATTTTACATCAACTCTGTCGTCAACATCAGATATCACTACTAATCGTCTGACTACTGAGGAGGAGAGGACTGAGGGAATAACCTCAGATATGACATCTACCGCTCTACCAACATCAGATATCATTACCAATGGTATGACTACGAAGGGGAAACAACAATCTCGCAAACATAGCGATTTTGTACTCTTATATATAAGAGCAGAAATTTGTAAAGAAATCATGATCAGTACAGGTCAAAAGTTGATATCTACTTTAGATAGGAGTATTTGTTTCCCATTTATAGAAAAGTATGGCATGATTGACAAAATTGAAGTAATCAGTGGGGTTGTTTTTGAGTGTGTATATTGTTGACTTGAGGTTCAATTGGTTTGAGAGTAAGTTAGCATCTGCTAAAGATATCAATATCACATTCAGTAGAATAAAAACAAAAAAATATTGAACACTTTGAAGTAATTATGAATTGATAAAAATTATGATAATTATAATATTGATGTTAACAACAATACAAAGTATTCATAATCAGTGTTTATGGGCATTAGTATTGATTTACAGAGAATTAAGAATAAGTCAACATCTTCTCTAGATTAACAAAAAAATAATGTGGGATTCAATGCTTTTTATATATTCATGTTGTCTTTGATATATTTTAAGAATCTAGATGTTTTGTCATATTAAGTAGTATCAAGAAAATTTTCCATTTGAAATGAATATACTTTTTTCAGTTATCTAACTTTGCGTTTATACCAGATGAAAATGAGTGTGCATTGGTATCATTAGTTGCTTCCAGGAGGGTAACAACACCACCCCTGCTCCAAAACCTTGATGGTGGTTAAGGTTCTGAATTGTTTCAAGATGTTGTAATTTTAGCCCATAGCTTATGGAACTAGTTGTTTTGTGTAATAAGCTTATGGGACTGAGACAATTCAGTAGTTAACAGGTTAAATCTCTTGCATTTAATTATCATCTTTTCTATGTGTTTATACGAGATGAGGATGAGTGTGCCCTTGGTATTAGTGGTTGCCCCCAGGGGTGTAACAATACCACCCCAGCTCAGAACCCAGATGGTTTCAGTTGCTACTGCTATGAAGGCTTCATCGCTGACCTGCAAGGCAACTGTGTCCGTAAGTCAATTCAATTCAATTCAATTCGCATTTATTTCATTCTCGATTAAAAATCATATTGATACAAGTACCAAAGAGTTCGCTAAACTTCTGGCCATATGTTGCACAAAGAATCACAATTGATTACTAGTCACATTACTTTGAACCAGTCAGGCATCATAATAATCTTGATTTATGTTAATGACACAAACTTAATTCTAACAGAATAGAAGAAGAAAATGGACTGGAACACAGAATATCCAGCAGACAAAATAAATAATAGCACTCCAACAATTTCGATAGAAAATGAATGATTGCCAACCAAGTAAGGATGTGCAGTTCATTTATCCTTGTTTTTACAATATTTAATTCTAGAAAAATCTTGTTTTCAGGGGTGCTCCTTCTCATGACCCCTCTTCAAGCTCAGTCACCTGTCTTTCAGGCTAATTAGGTGATAATGTATAATAAGATTGGTCTCCCGTTTCATTTTCAGCGGAAACAAGCTGCATAAGTACTGTATGTAGCAATGCAGACTGTGTTAATCTCAATGGAATGGAGATGTGTGTTTGCTACAATGGCTACAAATTCAACAGCTCCGACATCACATCTTGTATAGGTAAGCACTATTCCGTTATTACTAATCGTTACTTTGTATTGCCTGTGTCTTGGATAGAGATAATTGAACTTAATCACTCTGACCCTTGACCCTTGGGTCCCCCCCCCCCCAGTATAACTGATGGGGATGTACAGGTGAAGCCCTATACATGGGTCACTCTACTCTTGGCGAGGAGTGCAGTGGGTTCTGAACGTGCATCAGGATTACTTTACTTTTTGACATCGTGTATGAGAGACATCAATCACATTGTTTTACATTGTTTCCTAGTGTGCATCTACATGTATGAATCAGGGAAAGGGCTCATTTCACAGACAACACTAGCTCGGAGTCATCAATCCAAGCTGGGGGGTGTTTCACAAAGCCTTTTTTCAATGAAAAATGACAGAAGTCAGTGACAAATCTGTTGATAACCAATCAGAATCAAGCATTTCAGTAGCTTATAACAAAGCTGTCATTTATTACTGATGACAAGTTTTGTGAAACACCCCCCTGATTTCTAATCATGATCTGTGGATTGACATGAAGACACTTTACTAATTGAGCCAATTCCCTTTAAAATCTCAATTCAACTAAATTACCATTCTCCTTCCTTTCTAGATATTGATGAGTGCACTGATGTAGAATACAGCAACATGTGCAATCAGGACTGTACCAATACCATCGGAGGGTACAACTGCTCTTGTTTTGAGGGGTATTCCCTTATGACTGATGGCCGCACATGCAATGGTAAGATTTGCAAATCATTGACCTTTGACCTTGTAAACTATGACAGGCATACATTCGTAAGAATTATGCGTAAAGAGATGCGTAATAAAGAATACAGTTTTTTGTATACCTTGTACATTCATGTCACGTACATCATTGAGGTTCTGTATCCAGGGGCGTACGCAGGGGGGGTGTTTTGGGGGTTCAAACCCCCCCCCCCCCCTTTGGTATTTTAATGTATGTAAACCCCCCTAAAAAAACCTAAAACCCCCCCCTTTGGCTTTTTTTTTTTTTTTTTTTTTTTTTAAAAAAAAAAAAAAAAAAAAAAAAAAAAATTATACCCACGGCTAACCTAAATAAGGTGACCTTACCCCCCCCATACGTAAAAAAATGTCAAATTTTGAAATTTTGAGACCAAAAAAAAAAAAAAAAAAAGTGTCCGCTTACCCCCCCCCCCCCCCCCACTGAGCGACTTTTCTGCCGGCTGAGTCGTTGCGATTTTTTTGGGGCCTCCAAAAAAAAAAAAAAAAAAAGTGTCCGCTTACCCCCCCCCCCCCCCCCCCCCCCCCCCCCCCCACTGAGCGACTTTTCTGCCGGCTGAGTCGTTGCGATTTTTTTGGGGCCTCCAAAAAAAAAAAAAAAAAGTGTCCGCTTACCCCCCCCCCCCCCCCCCCCCCCCCCCCCCCCCCCCACTGAGCGACTTTTCGGCCGGCGCGATTTTCAAATTTTCGGGAGCAAAATATTTTAAAACCCCCCCCTTGAAAAAATCCTGCGTACGCCCCTGTCTGTATCATACCCTTAATCCATTTCCATGAAGTACCGAAGCTGTGACATCATAAAAATCTATTCTTAGAATTTCTCAATTTTTTCATTTTCCGAAAGAGCATAATAAATAATGTCCAAATGTGGAAAACCAGTTAAAAAGGTTAAGTATTGGCTGAGATATCACCATCTGAATGAATAGATTTCCTATAGGAAACTGTGTTATATTGCTCTGGTTCATAAAGTTTTGAGCCAGAGCATATAACACTGAGCAGGAACAGGATGACTCCTGGGACCCGCTTCACAAAGCCTTTTTCCAATGACAAATGACTAAATTCAATGACAAATCTGCTGATAACCAATCAGATGAAAGGATTTTACTAGCTTATAATCAAAACTGTAATTTTTCACTGATGCCAAGTTTTGTGAAATGGGGCCCTGTACTAAAGCCTATGGGAAGAAAAGAAATCAGGAATCAATGGGTTGATATAAGCTCTGAGTTCAAGATTTTGAAGATAAACAGAAGTGTGTACCTTTAAAGTTTGAGTCATCAAACAGAATAGATTTTCCTACCTGCATATACTTTGTATATGTTCCTTTATTTCTTGACCAGACATGCATTTTGTAGAAAAATTGTACATATCACACTAAATTTTATATTTTCTTATTACCTTTTATCATTGAAACCTAGGTGTCATTGAGTCTCATGATGTAAATGCCATTAGCGTACAGTATGTTGATGAGATACTGAATTATTTAGTTCATAGCAATATTTCTTTTTTAGAATGCAATTGCATAATCTTCTGTAAGAGATTCTCGTAAGTGTATGGTTGTGCCTAAACATTGTGAGGTACATATTATTTATTTAATTGTATGTCATTTTGTTTTACTCCTTTCTTTTTTGAATCAGATATCAATGAATGCCAAGATGGAAGTAACACATGTGATACAGCATCTCAGATATGCATTAATACAGTGGGAGGTTTCATGTGTCAATGCATGACCGGATTCGTACAAAATGGATCAATTTGTCAAGGTAACATACATGTGTTTTATTTCTATTATTTATTGCAAGAGTATTTTGTTGTGCAGTTTCCTCAATACAATAATAGAAGATTTTTCTTTTTAGGATAGTTTCAAACTATTTTGCTCAATCTCTGCACATATCCTTCTTTCAAAAAATTTGAGTTTGTTTGTCTTTTTTCTATTTTTATATACTCCTTGTTTTCCTAATAAATAAAGAAATTCACAATCCAGTGAAACGCTTTTTTATTACACTGTGCTTGAGCATTCAAGATGTTTTTAGAAATGTTTATAGGTGTTTTACTTGACTAACCAATTAAGAAGAAATTTTCCTCATTATTCTTTAATAATTATGGGAGAACTTAATAACTTCTACATGTTTTTGTTTCCTTTTAGACATCGATGAGTGTGCTGACAGCAGTTTATGTGGAACAAATGCAATGTGTATCAATTCTTTTGGCAGCTACATGTGTAGTTGTGTGAGTGGTTATGATGGAGATGGGATCACCTGTCTTGGTGAGTTTGATATGGAATTCAAGTCATTTACTTTCTCATTATGATATGATAATAATCTATGAAGAACAAAACTAACATGAACAGGATTCCTTGGGTCCTTGGAAATCCTTGGAAATTCTTGATTTTTCAAAGTTGTCCTGGAAAAACCCAAATGTGATTTTATGGCTGGAAACCTGTTTTATAAAGTAGCTGTTATTATTGAGGTAGCAGTCAAAATCAATAGTAGACACTTATAACAATAAACTATTATTTAGTATGGCTTTGATTTTATGTTTCCACCCCTCTAACAAACACCAGTGGTGATTTGATAAAGAAATCATATTTCTCAAATGTACACATTTTAATGGATGATTCCTTTATTACTTCAGTCATAAAAAGGTGATCCATTTGTATCTAGAGAAAATAAAGATAATAATAATAACATTCCTTTCTTGTATAGAACATATCACATTATCACGTCCCTATGCACTTCCAAAGTGCTCTGGAAATTATTACCCTAGCTTTAGCTCCGTCACCTGTTATCAGCGCACAGTGCATGTCAAGGAATATTTGTACTCGGTACCTATTTACCACACCTGGTCTGAGTGTGGCAAATGTAGATTAATGTCTTGCCAAAGGACATTAGTGCCGCGGCGGGACTCGAACCACAGACCTTGTGATCCGCAGTCCGGTGACATATGCACTCGACCACAACATTTTCATTTCAGTACTTATATTGCTTATTCAAGATTAGTTTTTCAATTGATCCCCACTTTCTTATTACATTCTAGCTTACCCATTGATAGATTAATACTTTTGTCATGTTTGCATAATGAATCTTGCAACAAATTGTAATGTTGTTTTGCCCTTTTCATTCTGTTCTATTCGAGATCTCTACACTTCAGATGGTGCTGGCTCATCATTAAGCAGTGTAACTACAGCTGTTCCTCTAGAAACTTCTACATTTTCTATGGCAAGTCAGGTCTTGACTACAGATAAGTCAGTCACCTCACAAATTCAAACCACCAATAACTTACCACTTGTAACATCAACCCCTGGGGAATATACCTCACAGATGAGTACTTCCACAGAGCTCTCAACTGGGACTGTTATTCTTTCGTCTACCACGATTGATGTAACTTCTGAGAATTCTGTAACTGACCCTGAATCAACTGTCCAATTTACTGAGGATACTACCACAAGTGTTCAAGGTTCAACCACAACAGTTGGTACAGGAGGTATCTCAGCAACTGCAACAACCACTCAGTCTTCTATGGAAATGAGTACTGGTGCAGATACGACAGAGATATCGACTTCTGATGTAACATCACGATCTCCTACTACTTCAGGATTCACAACCTCAGGTTTGAGAACTGGTGCAGAATCAACAGAGCCAGGGACAAGGACTACTGAGGAGGAATCAACTAAAGCAGGAACAACTGAAGGATTCACCTCAGATGTAACATCTACTGCTTTACCAACATCAGATATCACCACCAATGGTCTGACTACCGAGGAGGAGACAACTGAATCAGGAACAACTGAAGGATTCACTTCAGATGTTACATCTACTGGGCCGTCAACTTCAGATATCACCACCAATGTTCTGACTACTGAGGGGGAAACAACTGAATCACAAACAACTGAGAGATTCACCTCAGATGTTACATCTACTGCTTCCTTAACATCAGATATCACCACAGACATTCCCTCAACTGGGCCGTCAACATCATATATCACCACCAATGGTCTAACTACTGAGAAGCACACAACTGAATCGGGAACAACTGAAAGATTCACTTCAGATGTTACATCAACTGGGCCGTCAACATCAGATATCACCACCAATAGTCTAACTACTGAGGAGGAGACAACTAACTCGGGAACAACAGAAGAATTCACCTCAGATGTTACATCTACTGCTCTACCAACATCAGATATCACAACCAATGGTCTATCTAATGAGGAGGAGACATCTGAATCAGGAACAACAGAAGATTTCACCTCAGATTTTACATCAACTCTGTCGTCAACATCAGATATCACTACTAATCGTCTGACTACTGAGGAGGAGAGGACTGAGGGAATAACCTCAGATATGACATCTACCGCTCTACCAACATCAGATATCATTACCAATGGTATGACTACGAAGGGGAAACAACAATCTCGCAAACATAGCGATTTTGTACTCTTATATATAAGAGCAGAAATTTGTAAAGAAATCATGATCAGTACAGGTCAAAAGTTGATATCTACTTTAGATAGGAGTATTTGTTTCCCATTTATAGAAAAGTATGGCATGATTGACAAAATTGAAGTAATCAGTGGGGTTGTTTTTGAGTGTGTATATTGTTGACTTGAGGTTCAATTGGTTTGAGAGTAAGTTAGCATCTGCTAAAGATATCAATATCACATTCAGTAGAATAAAAACAAAAAAATATTGAACACTTTGAAGTAATTATGAATTGATAAAAATTATGATAATTATAATATTGATGTTAACAACAATACAAAGTATTCATAATCAGTGTTTATGGGCATTAGTATTGATTTACAGAGAATTAAGAATAAGTCAACATCTTCTCTAGATTAACAAAAAAATAATGTGGGATTCAATGCTTTTTATATATCCATGTTGTCTTTGATATATTTTAAGAATCTAGATGTTTTGTCATATTAAGTAGTATCAAGAAAATCAGTTATCTAACTTTGCGTTTATACCAGATGAAAATGAGTGTGCATTGGTGTCATTAGTTGCTTCCAGGAGGGTAACAACACCACCCCTGCTCCAAAACCTTGATGGTGGTTAAGGTTCTGAATTGTTTCAAGATGTTGTAATTTTAGCCCATAGCTTATGGAACTAGTTGTTTTGTGTAATAAGCTTATGGGACTGAGACAATTCAGTAGTTAACAGCTTAAATCTCTTGCATTTAATTATCATCTTTTCTATGTGTTCATACTAGATGAGGATGAGTGTGCCCTTGGTATTAGTGGTTGCCCCCAGGGGTGTAACAATACCACCCCTGCTCAGAACCCAGATGGTTTCAGTTGCTACTGCTATGAAGGCTTCATCGCTGACCTGCAAGGCAACTGTGTCCGTAAGTCAATTCAATTCAATTCAATTCGCATTTATTTCATTCTCGATTAAAAATCATATTGATACAAGTACCAAAGAGTTCGCTAAACTTCTGGCCATATGTTGCACAAAGAATCACAATTGATTACTAGTCACATTACTTTGAACCAGTCAGGCATCATAATAATCTTGATTTATGTTAATGACACAAACTTAATTCTAACAGAATAGAAGAAGAAAATGGACTGGAACACAGAATATCCAGCAGACAAAATAAATAATAGCACTCCAACAATTTCGATAGAAAATGAATGATTGCCAACCAAGTAAGGATGTGCAGTTCATTTATCCTTGTTTTTACAATATTTAATTCTAGAAAAATCTTGTTTTCAGGGGTGCTCCTTCTCATGACCCCTCTTCAAGCTCAGTCACCCGTCTTTCAGGCTAATTAGGTGATAATGTATAATAAGATTGGTCTCCCGTTTCATTTTCAGCGGAAACAAGCTGCATAAGTACTGTATGTAGCAATGCAGACTGTGTTAATCTCAATGGAATGGAGATGTGTGTTTGCTACAATGGCTACAAATTCAACAGCTCCGACATCACATCTTGTATAGGTAAGCACTATTCTGTTATTACTATTCGTTACTTTGTATTGCCTGTGTCTTGGATAGAGATAATTGAACTTAATCACTCTGACCCTTGACCCTTGGGTCCCTCCCCCCAGTATAACTGATGGGGATGTACAGGTGAACCACTATACATGGGTCACTCTACTCTTGGCGAGGAGTGCAGTGGGTTCTGAACGTGCATCAGGATTAGTTTACTTTTTGACATCGTGTATGAGAGACATCAATCACATTGTTTTACATTGTTTCCTAGTGTGCATCTACATGTATGAATCAGGGAGAGGGCTCATTTCACAGACAACACTAGCTCGGAGTCATCAATCCAAGCTGGGAGGTGTTTCACAAAGCCTTTTTTCAATGAAAAATGACAGAAGTCAGTGACAAATCTGCTGATAACCAATCAGAATCAAGCATTTCAGTAGCTTATAACAAAGCTGTCATTTATCACTGATGACAAGTTTTGTGAAACATCCCCCTGATTTCTAATCATGATCTGTGGATTGACATGAAGACACTTTACTAATTGAGCCAATTCCCTTTAAAATCTCAATTCAACTAAATTACCATTCTCCTTCTTTTCTAGATATTGATGAGTGCACTGATGTAGAATACAGCAACATGTGCAATCAGGACTGTACCAATACCATCGGAGGGTACAACTGCTCTTGTTTTGAGGGGTATTCCCTTATGACTGATGGCCGCACATGCAATGGTAAGATTTGCAAATCATTGACCTTTGACCTTGTAAACTATGACAGGCATACATTCGTAAGAATTATGCGTAAAGAGATGCGTAATAAAGAATACAGTTTTTTGTATACCTTGTACATTCATGTCACGTACATCATTGAGGTTCTGTATCATACCCTTATTCCATTTCCATGAAGTACCGAAGCTGTGACATCATAAAAATCTATTCTTAGAATTTCTCAATTTTTTCATTTTCCGAAAGAGCATAATAAATAATGTCCAAATGTTGAAAACCAGTTAAAAAGGTTAAGTATTGGCTGAGATATCACCATCTGAATGAATAGATTTCCTATAGGAAACTGTGTTATATTGCTCTGGTTCATAAAGTTTTGAGCCAGAGCATATAACACTGAGCAGGAACAGGATGACTCCTGGGACCCGCTTCACAAAGCCTTTTTCCAATGACAAATGACTAAATTCAATGACAAATCTGCTGATAACCAATCAGATGAAAGGATTTTACTAGCTTATAATCAAAACTGTAATTTTTCACTGATGCCAAGTTTTGTGAAATGGGGCCCTGTACTAAAGCCTATGGGAAGAAAAGAAATCAGGAATCAATGGGTTAATATAAGCTCTGAGTTCAAGATTTTGAAGATAAACAGAAGTGTGTACCTTTAAAGTTTGAGTCATCAAACAGAATAGATTTTCCTACCTGCATATACTTTGTATATGTTCCTTTATTTCTTGACCAGACATGCATTTTGTAGAAAAATTGTACATATCACACTAAATTTTATATTTTCTTATTACCTTTTATCATTGAAACCTAGGTGTCATTGAGTCTCATGATGTAAATGCCATTAGCGTACAGTATGTTGATGAGATACTGAATTATTTAGTTCATAGCAATATTTCTTTTTTAGAATGCAATTGCATAATCTTCTGTAAGAGATTCTCGTAAGTGTATGGTTGTGCCTAAACATTGTGAGGTACATATTATTTATTTAATTGTATGTCATTTTGTTTTACTCCTTTCTTTTTTTAATCAGATATCAATGAATGCCTAGAAGGAAGTAACACATGTGATACAGCATCTCAGATATGCATTAATACAGTGGGAGGTTTCATGTGTCAATGCATGACCGGATTCGTACAAAATGGATCAATTTGTCAAGGTAACATACATGTGTTTTATTTCTATTATTTATTGCAAGAGTATTTTGTTGTGCAGTTTCCTCAATACAATAATAGAAGATTTTTCTTTTTAGGATAGTTTCAAACTATTTTGCTCAATCTCTGCACATATCCTTCTTTCAAAAAATTTGAGTTTGTTTGTTATTCACTCTGTCCTTTTTTCTATTTTTATATACTCCTTGTTTTCCTAATAAATAAAGAAATTCACAATCCAGTGAAATGCTTTTTATTACATTGTGCTTGAGCATTCAAGATGTTTTTAGAAATGTTTATAGGTGTTTTACTTGACTAACGAATTAAGAAGAAATTTTCCTCATTATTCTTTAATAATTATGGGAGAACTTATACATGTTTTTGTTTTCTTTTAGACATCGATGAGTGTGCTGACAGCAGTTTATGTGGAACAAATGCAATGTGTATCAATTCTTTTGGCAGCTACATGTGTAGTTGTGTGAGTGGTTATGATGGAGATGGGATCACCTGTCTTGGTGAGTTTGATATGGAATTCAAGTCATTTACTTTCTCATTATGATATGATAATAATCTATGAAGAACAAAACTAACATGAACAGGATTCCTTGGGTCCTTGGAAATCCTTGGAAATTCTTGATTTTTCAAAGTTGTCCTGGAAAAACCCAAATGTGATTTTATGGCTGGAAACCTGTTTTATAAAATCAAGGCGTAATTCTTATTTTCTGCATAATTCTTCTTCAGATGAATAGTGTTTTAAAATAACAAAAAGGTACAACATTGTTATTAACATCAGATTTTGGGGCATTTTTTGTTAAAGAATCTATTTAATTGTTGTAAAAACCTATACATTTCTTTCCTTAGCTCGTCATGTGTAGTGCATAATGTAACGAATATTCTTTTTTTCACTTCCATACCTTGATCTGTAGTTAATTCATGTAAGCTATTAACTGTTCTTCTCTTCCAGATGTTGATGAGTGTTCAAATGGGAATGATTGTCATGAGTTTGCACAGTGTGTCAATACAGAGGGATCCTATAACTGTTTTTGCTTGAGTGGTTACACCGGAAATGGAACATTCTGTGAAAGTGAGTATTTTATCTTTAAGAAATTCAATTCAGTGAAATGTAAAAAAATAACAATGGTTACACCGGAAATGGAACATTCTGTGAAAGTGAGTATTTTAACTTTAAGAAATTCAATTCAGTGAAATGTAAAAGAATCATCCTCTAATATCTCATTATTATATTTAGGTGATAATTGTTGTTAAAGTGTTATCAAAATTCCTTTACATTACTATGTATCTTATTTGATTAAAGATGAAAATTGTTTCTTTTATTTGAATAGGACCACTCTTATGTTAAATTGAATTGGATGTATTACTGTAAATATACTCATACTATTGCATATGTCACTTTATTATGTCATTGCACTCAGTATCATCCATTTTGAAAGCATTAAGAATTGATTTCATTGTGCAAGTAATCTTATTTTATTTTGCATTTGCTCATTATTTTTGATATCCTGAAAAGGGGCAAATGTGATTTACTTGGATCAAAATTCTTTCTTCCAACAGACATCGATGAATGTGTGAACGACACCACCTGCATATCACCAGCGGTCTGTGTTGACACCTCTGGAAGTTTCATCTGTGAATGCCCCAGTGGATATGACCCTACTGGAACCAGCTGTATCAGTAAGTTAGGAATATGGTTCAGACTATTTACTCCTCATACCCCCCCCCCCCCCAAGGCCCCATCTGGCATTCAGTATTACATCCAGAGCTGCAGATCTTGTTCAGTGCCTCTATACCCTTTGATGCATATTGTCCATAGAATTTAAATGAATTTGTTAGATAATTGGGTATTTCATTACCCAATCGATCATTACAGGAAAAAAAATCAAATAAGCCGTCATGGGGTTGTTGTATTTAGGAACTCAGAGACATAAAACTAGATACAATGAATTTAGTAGTTGAGATGATTTAATCTATTCCAAGATGTCCGATCATAATATTGTCATCATGTGTACATAAAGGGGATTGAGCCCTCGACGTTGACTGTTAGCACAGTCTTACAAACACAACATATTTCCCTCTTTTAAAGAGATGAATAATGTTATATAACTAAGTCCAGATATGAGTTCAAAAGTTTATGAGTCCAGAAAATAAAACTTGTTTATTAACAACAAGCCTGAAATTTTATTAACCTATATTGAGCAATTGTTTCATATGAGTCCAAAACTTAAATGTTCCAGTTTTTTAATTTCTATGCTCAATACTTGTCGGCTCTAAGGATTTAAGATCTGTAATCTCGTAGATATCCAGGTCGTCTCCTTAGACGCTGAGAACGACGAACAGTTCGCGGTTCTGCTCGCTGTTGCTCTTGATCTTCAGTGCTTGTAGGGAATGGAAAGGTGTCTTCCCAATCGCTTTCATTCATGTTGCCTGGCTTGCTCGCGATAAGGCGTCTGGTGTTCCATCGCGTTCCGTCATCTAGTACAAATGCATTCGAGCCGAGCTTCTTCACGATCTGTTTGGGTTTCGATACCCCCGAAGCTAGCTTGTGCTTGCGATTTGGACGCTTTACACGAACCCAGTCACCGATAGCGAATTTCGGTGTGATTGCTCGTCTGCGTTTGTCAGTGTACGCTTTCATGCTTTGCTGTTTCCTCTCAATCTCTCTCGCTTCAGCCTGTGTGCTTGCAGGCTCTGAAACCGGTGGTTTCAGGATGTTGAATGGCATACGGAGGTTCCGTCCCAACATCAACTCTGCTGGAGTCTTTCCGGTTAGCGAATGAGGTGTTGAGCGATACGTGCGTAGTAGGGTCTGGATGGCCTTATCGAAGGTCATTCCATCTGCGAGATTCGCTTTCAAGCTCTCCTTGATTACCCGGTTGAAACGCTCTACGCCGCCATTGCTTTGAGGGTTGTAGCGAGTTGTGAGGCGATGTTGAATTCCATTAACGGCTAGGAATTCTTCGAACTGTTCAGACGTGAACTGTGGTCCATTGTCCGTGGTGATAGATTCTGGAAGACCCCACTTGGTAAACATCTTCTCCAAGATGCTAATGACTGATGTCGTAGTGACTGAGCTTGTTGCTGCTATCTCAGGCCACTTGCTATGGAGGTCGTGTACAACTAACAAAAATCGCTGACTTTGGGGAGCGGCTTGGACTTCCCCAAAGATGTCGACTTGAAGTTGCTGCCATGGCTTCTTCGGCCATGGGGTCGGCTGCAGTGGTGCTGGCCGCGGTTGAGTTTTCTCGCTGAGAGTACACGCTTCACAAGATCTGACGAGATCTTCTACGCGTCGATCGATCGCTGGCCACCAGATTGCTTCGCGACATCGTTGCTTCATCTTCACCACACCTGGATGACTTTCATGTGCGGTTTGTAACACACGATGTTGAAGCGATTTCGGGATTACCGCTCGGGTGCCACGGGCGATACACGTGTCGTCGAAGATAGCTAGCTCATTGCGAACACGATGATATGGAACGAGGTCTTCGGAAATCTCTCTAGGCCATGCTGTTTGGAGATAATGACAGACCTTCTGTAGAGTTGCATCTGCGGCTGACTCTGTTTTCAGCTGCTCACGCGTCACAAGCTTTGCGGTCACGTGAGAGATCACCATAAGAACGTAGTCTTCGACGTCGTCTTCGATGTCGCTTCTTGCATGGCTATCGCGATTGCTATTCGCGTTCGGTGTGCGGCTAAGCATATCTGCTACTCGGTTGCGTGAACCCGCGAGATATTCGACCTTGAAATCATATTGGTGCAGTCGATCTGACCATCTGTAGATGCGGAGTGGGCGGTGTCCAGATCCTGAAGTGCTCAACAAGGTTGTTAAGGCTTGATGGTCAGTATGAAGTGTGAACTTGCGACCGTAGAGGTACATATGCCAGTGTTCGCAGGCATAGATGCATGCGAGAGCTTCGCGTTCTCCTGTAGAATACTTTCGCTCTGTGTCCGACAACGCTCGAGATGCGAATGCGACCGGACGTACACTGCCGTCGATCGTTTGCGATAACACTGCTCCGATGGCGAACGCTGACGCGTCTGTAGTCACGTACGTTTCAGCACTTGGAGTGAAGTGAGCGAGAACTGGCGGCTCTGCGATTCTTCCTTTGAGCGTGTTGAATGCGGTCTCTTGTGCGTTGTGCCATTCCCAAAGCGCGTCCTTCCGGAGAAGCTTCTGCAGAGGTTCTGCGATTTCTGCGTATTGTGGCACAAATTTGCGGTAGAAGTTCGTTGTTCCCAAGAATGAGGCTAGCTCCTTCACATTCGTTGGGGCTGGGAGTGTTCGGATAGCAACGTTGTCGAGTGTAGGCGTCAGACCATCTGCAGTGACATGATATCCCATCCTCGTCGCCAGATGTTGTATTTAGGAACTCAGAGACATAAAACTAGATACAATGAATTTAGTAGTTGAGATGATTTAATCTATTCCAAGATGTCCGATCATATTGTCATCATGTGTACATAAAGGGGATTGAGCCCTCGACGTTGACTGTTAGCACAGTCTTACAAACACAACAGGGGTCACAGCTGTTTCACAGAATTTGTTTTAGGATGGCTGATAAGATATTTCTCACATTTCTTGTTCACATTTCTTGTAAATGTAGCTTTATTTACATGTATATATCGAAATTAAATATTTTTGTCACAGTTAATATTCAATAAACATACTTGTACAAACGATGTTTAATCTTTTCAAACATTTTCTGATTATTCTTCTACAAATTCCAATATAAAGGCCACAATTTCTTGTAACTTTAAACTTGTATATCTATCACTAGTTTTCCTTGTGTACATTAGAATAAGATTACAGTAATTATTTAATTCTCTAATTTCTTTCTACCCAGACATCAACGAGTGCACCCTGTCTCAGAATGACACTCGTCGTCATGAGTGTGATACCAATGCTGCTTGTATAGATCTCCCTGGGAGTTATAACTGCTCCTGCTTAGCTGGTTACCAAGGCAACGGACTCCAGTGTGAAGGTGAGTGAATGGAAGTTGTGAGACCACTGATTTATCAGAAGTTGCGGTGATATTTGATTATTGTACACAGCATTATTGTCTGTTAAGTAGCGTACATAGCTCAGTGTAGTGATACATTAAGATGTGTTTGGCATAAAAATGGCATACAATCTGCCTATGATATTTGATTATTGTACACAGCATTATTGTCTATTAAGTAGCGTACGTAGCTCAGTGTAGTGATACATTAAGATGTGTTCGGCATACAAAAATGCATGAGATCTGTTGCAAAGAGACAGAGCTATAATTTAGCTGTGGAGCTTGCATATACATACCTCTAATACATGTACCTTGATTAATTTAAATAATACCAAATCTGGAAATCAGACGTGCTTTATGTGTTTAGATAATCCAACATCACCAACAACTAATGACCATGGATTGAAAATTTACTACTTAATTCTTCCCATAGACGTTACACAAGGCCCGCTTAATTTGCTGCATGCACTGTTTCAAAGTTAAATGGTTGTGTTAAAAAGTACTGTCTCTTTATTGACCTGGGTTTGTCTTTATATTTTGCATCAAATTTCTCCACTTCCAGATATCAACGAGTGTAACACACCAGATGCATGCGTCACCAACTCCCAGTGTACTAACATGAACGGGTCCTACATGTGCACATGTGATGCTGGTTACCGTGGTGATGGTCGCATCCAGTGCAATGATATCAACGAGTGTGATGAGAATCGTATCATCTGTGATGAGAACGCCAGCTGTAACAACATGGTTGGTAGCTACACCTGCACATGTAATGATGGATTCACGTCTAATGGAACTGGGTGCACGAGTAAGTACAAATCCCAGAACTAGTCTCTCAACTAAATAATAATAATAATTTAGCTTTTATATAGCGCTTAATACAAATGTCTCTAAGCGCTTTACAAATATACTATTATCCCGGTCATTGGATACAGTGCATGCTCGCACACAATGTATGCATAATCTCCACTCCCTGGGGAGCATTCCAGCCAGCCAATGTTGAAAAGAGTTGCTTATGATCCAAATCAATAGCAAGTCCCCGAATCAGTCACAAACCTTTACCAGACATAAATGAGTGAATAAAAAACAAATAAATATTTCCTTTTATCTTTTGACATACATATTTTAGAATAATATCAATTTCATCCTTTTAATACAGTCAGACAGAACCTTGGTTTTTCTTGTCTTGAGCTTGAACTGTACTCCTGATAATGAATTATAACCTGTTTTTTCTCCCTACCTTATTTTCAAGATCCCAAACTCTCACAGAACCCCTGATATCTAATCGTCATTTTACAATTATTGTAATCCTTTACCTTATCAAATATGTATTTGTAATGTTGCATTATCTTCTCCCCAGAAAGGGCCTTATAGATTTAACATATCTGAAATGAATGCTTGTTAGACATTTTTACCCTCTGCAAGATGGACAACAATTGATCCTTTGACTGCTGCATTATCTCAGTAGATCCCGTTCTCATTGGCAATGGGTGACAAAACAAAAAGTCATTCTTTCGGTTTCCGGATGAATGAAAGTTCCACTGGAGATATTGAGGCCTTTCTAGCCATGCGTTTAACACAGTAATGATATCTCATGTTGCCTTCCAGATGTTGATGAATGTGTAGAGGATACCCTGAATGACTGTCATCCCCTGGCTACCTGCACAGACACCATAGGAAGCTACATCTGTACCTGTCAGACTGGACTCATCTCCCCTGAAGGAGCTAGAGGCAGATCATGTAATGGTGTGTATTTCAATAACAATTCAAGGAAAATAAAAATGAATTCATGTATAACAGGCAACAAAAGATATTATATACCTCACTTAAGAAATCCAGCCATCTGATTGGTCGAATTGCATTCATAAACTTCAACTGTTCCTGTAAAATTCTCGGTAACCATGCTTAAAACATTTCAATATTTTTAATAACCATGGTTATTAAAAATAGTTGGTCAGCCTCCATGGTTACCCCATAGGTTTACATGTTAAAAAATGGTTTGAGCGATGGAGGATGCCGTATGTGTGCGAAGGATTGGTCGGTAATTTCAATACAATTGAATCTCGATCGATCTTACCGACAATTTTATCTTGCATTGTTGACATGAAGACGAAAATAAACTTCCAAAAACAAAAAAACAACATCTGCCGATAGATCTTGATCTAAGTTCATGCCAATATGCATTGCAAAAGTAAAAGAAGAGTCCGTATATGGAGCTTTTGCGAAGCATTCATCACACGCGAAGCCGGTTTCAATCCATTTTAATGTATATATTGGAGAAAACTGCCAAGCATGTTAACGGCGGGCCATAGCCGAGTGGTCTAAGTGTTGGTTTTCGGTACACCTCTTGTTGTACGCAAGAGTTCGAATCCCGTCTTCGACAAAAATGATAAATATTTTTAATTTGTCATTTTTTAGTCTATTTTTTTTCGGCATATAAAAGTATTAATGACTGCTTTAATATTCGAGAAATAGTTGTTTTCATACGCTCTCGGGAAGGTTACAATTGGGCTATTCCCCTCGGCAAGCCTCGGGGAATAGCACAATTCTAACCTTCCCTTGAGCGTAATAAAACAACTATTTCTCTCAAAGCAGTCATTAATACTATAAAATATACCAACCAAACTGAACATGGTAGTTTAGTCACAGCACTAGAATGGAGAGTACATGGTTCTGGGCCCTGTTTCATAAGACTTGATATCAATAACAAGTTACAAGCTACTGTTATAGGCTACTGAAATCATGGCATCTGATTGACTGAGAGCAAATTTGTCATAGAAATTTAGCATTTGTTATAGATAAAAAGTTTTATGAAACATGCAGGCCCCTGGTCTAGAAACTATCAAGAGCTCTGAAGAAGAAGAAAACAAATTATTGCTTTTTACTGAGAAAATCCAGAAAAGGCTTCTGTGAACCAAAAAGTGATTAATTCTCTGATTGTCTGAAGTGTTGTCAATTTGCACTGGTCTTTCGCTTGTCTATGAAAGTTTGTGTATATCAAAGATTATTTAAGGGTTCCTAGCTATTGTACAAGAGATGCAGAAGCTATGAGAAATGTCTTTCCATAAAAGACCACGTTGAAGTACATAAATAATAGACAACAGCTTTATATCACAAAGCTTTATGTTTTGTTTCAAATCAGCAATAACCATCAGCATCATCACAATTATTTTTTGTTCTTTAATATTGTACATCAGATCTTGATGAGTGTTCACTAGGTATCAGTACTTGTGATGCAGTGATGGAAGATTGTTTTAACACCTACGGAGCCTTCACATGTAGCTGTGCTGATGGCTATGCACTCAGCAGTGGACAATGCCAAGGTATACATTGGTATTGCTCTCTACTTCCCCATTAGGCTGAATTATGAACATATGATTTGAGTGATGAGAACTTATTTTCATTGAAACAGGGTATATGAAGAACAGATGAATCTTTGAGAGAGCCTTCAGATTATATATATCTGCTATGTATAGTCATCTTGAATACATAAGTACAAAGTTTTGTTTAACATGATTTCAAACACATTTAATACCTCCCTTACTAAAGGTACAGCAACACAATGCTCAACTCAGAATGAACCTAGAGAATCCTCAAAGTTGAAAGAATCATACTTTTGAAGCAATATTTTTTACAGAAGGCCACTTGTTTACATGCAGGTGCCAAAGTGTTTCAGAACATCAAGTATTCTTGATTATGATAATGCTACGAGACCAATCAAAGAATAATACTTCCTCAGTGATTCATTACTGTATTTATTCATTCCTTATTTTCATTTCTTTGATAGATGTTAATGAATGTCTTGATGACCCTTGTGATAGCCAGGTGAACACCCGATGTGAGAACCTACCTGGATCATACCAGTGCGTCTGCAGGACAGGTTACTATGTCGTCAACTCTCAATGCTTGCGTAAGTATATGCATAGATATCATTCAAAAAGTTTTTGATTAGTATTTATTTCCTATTAGTATTTCTATTCCCCCACAAATCATGAATATAACACATCCTGAAATAGGAATGATTAAATTTGGTCATATGACCAAATAAGTTTTATTTTCTATCTATGAGAGCTTTATATACATGTACTGTACTGCATTCATTTGAACTGTACTCATGCATGTATCTGATTCTTAGACAGGACAATTGTGATAACCAACATAGTGAAAGAGGATTGTAATTGTTAAACATTCGTGCTAGATACAAGAGCCTATTACAAATTATGATGGAATATGATGCAAATGTACATTGACTGCCTTTTAGTAAATTGTGTTTAAAACGATGTCATACTTTACTGCTCGTTTAAGTGTGGTAATTCATTTCTTCCATTTTACCCCCAATCCATCCATCCATGTTCCACCTATCTGTTCACCAATCTGCTCACCAATCTATTTATCCGCTTCATCAATTAATTTAGTCCTTTCTTCATCCATCTTCTATCTTTGGTTTATCCATCCATCAATCCATCTAACTATTCATCTGTCAAAACAAACCACCGATCGGTTCACCTCATAGACAACTAATGGAATCCTTTTGATGAGAACTTTCCCTATTATATATTATGTATATTTTGATCACAGCTGCCATGTCAATGCTTCTCTCTGCGACCTTCACTGATATTGCTGGATTGGAGGTGCTCGGACAGTACTTTGTTTACAATGATTTTGCTTTGTACATACCCCAGCTTGAAATAGATGTGAGTATAATTATATGTTTTTAAGTCTGATCATTAACAAAGATGTAATATTATACAGATATTGACTGGCAGGGGAGGGGGGGGGGTGATATTATATATAGATATTAGATAGCTTAGACAGATATCGAGATGTGATTGTTTCAGAGCTCGTCACATGATATCGATTGCGAGGATCTATTTTCTTTTCTCCCTTGAATTTTTTTTTCTCCCTCAAAATGTTTTTTTTTTGAGAAATTTGTTTTTCTCTAATTTTATTTTCTCGAAAAGTTTTTTTGATAATTTTTTTCTCTCAATTCTCCCCCCCCATCTTTTTTTTCTCCCTAATTCCCCTCCCCCCCCCCCATTTTTTTCGTCAATTTTTTTTCATCTCACTTTTCTGACTAAAATGTCTTGTTTCAAAAAAGGAAGGAAGATAAAAATATAGTGAAATGTCTACAATTTTCTTGGATATAGTCATTTGGAATCCACAAGGTGAATAGCACACTGATTTTGTGTTTTGATTATCCTTCTTGTAAGACAAATGTTAATACTCTCCATTCATGTAAATTGTATATCTCCTGGGAGGCGTTTCACAAAACTTTACATCAGTGACAAATGACAGTTTTTGTTATGAGCTACTGAAATCCTTGCTTCTGATTGGTTATCAACAGATTTGTCACTGATTTTTGTCATTTGTCATTGAAACAAGGCTTTGTGAAACGGGTCCCTGATGAGAGCCAGAAGGGTATTAACTTACATCCTTTACCTCAGAGTACTAGTAGATGTTCTTCCTGCCCTCAACAGATGTTTCCTGTCCTGTAATACAATGTTTGTTTCTGTAATGATCCTGACTGTCACTAATTTCCTCTGAAAATACTTTGTCCTCTAGGTGGACACCCTCCTCCAAAGCGCCGGTCTGACCAACTACACGGCTGTCTCCGTCTCCACCTCTCGTCTCCAGACATTGGGAGTTGAGGTCGAGTTCATCCTGGACTTCCTTGCGACATCTACGACCACGAAAGATGAGATTCTAGTGGCTTTCCTGGCAGGGCTTCAAGGGAGAGATGATATTATCCTGCCAGATAATGTCATTATCAGGAGTACTGCGTTTGTTGGACAGCCAGGTTAGTCCATAACAGAATTTGTTATTTGGTACCGGATTTTTTTTCAGGCTGCAAAGGCCATTTTTGCAAACAATAGACTTTTGGAGTAATCAGGATTTTGATGTTGAGCAACATTACCGTAGTAAATTAATCTATGAAACTTTAACAATACATCCAGGGGGGTGTTTCACAAAGATCCCAAGTTGAACTTATCTCTAAGTTGGACTTAACATTTATGGAAAGCCATTAGCATCTTTAAAAATATTTTGTAAAAGTTATTTTAAAAGGCATGAAAAGTTGATTTTGTTCATTCATATTTTCCATTATCTAGGAGATTTCATGTTCTTGATGTGGAATTTATAAAAAGTCTAAAATACTTGAATTTTCGCTTTTGAATATATTTTATTTTAAGGCTACAAATGGCTCTCCATAATTTTTAAGTCCAACTTAGAGTTAAGTTCAACTTAGGATCTTTGTGAAACACCCCCCAGATATTATATGAAAACTCTATTTTTTCCTCCTTGGAAATCATGATGGTAACTTTTGGTCAATTTATAGAGATAAGCATTATTAGGTCAATAAATTGACAGTACTTTTGAACATTACCATTGAACTTTGAAATGGAAATTATTTCAATGAAGTTATATCATTTTTTTTACACAGATACAAATCTTAGTTGGTGTATTTCACATACTCTCTTTTCTTAAGTTAATTCATTTAAATACTGCACATGTATGTGTAGGCAAATTGAGGCTTGGTTGAATAAGAAGAATGAAATTTATGGGGAAATATGATTCATCTTAAAAATTGTACAATGCTACATGGTCTGTTGTCCCCATTATCCATTAATAAATTACAAGAGTGAAATATTGATGAATTTGTACAAAGTTGAAGGCTTTTCTAAGTGATGGATTTTCACAGATATTTTGTGACTTCTGAAAATGATGGATTCTGACAGATTTGGTGACTTCAGAAAGTTATGGATTCTAAAAGATTTGATGAAACCTGATAAATTTGAAGACTTTTTTTCTTTCTTCTTTTCTTGAATACAGTGATTAATCCATGTGTGGAGGAGACAGACAACTGCACAACAAACTCAGACTGTATCTTCCTTGGTACCTCTGGAAACTATACTTGTCAATGTCAAGATGGATTCATGGGAGATGGATTCACAACCTGTACAGGTACTGGATGAACAATTGATTTTTAATACACCAGGGGCAAACTACTCACGAGTTATGATTGATTCAAATCAATCGCAACAGTGCCATAGTTTACTTAAGATATGGGAGATTGTAAACTTGCAATTGATTGAGGACTAGAGATCCAAACAGATCAATGGCAAGTCTCTATGAGTCAGAGCCCTGGTATACTATATGGCAGTACATTGTGGAGCATGTACATGAGATGTTAACTTTTAAAATGACACCAAGTTTAAGAATATATATCTCGAATTTCATTGCTAGAGACAGATTTTTAATCAATTTTTATTTTATTTTAATGAAAAGAGTTTCAATGAAAACATTGTTCCTTCATATCAGTGTTCACATTTTATCAATATTCTTGAAGGAGAAATTCAAGTTTTAGCTTTTTAAGTAGCTAAGACCTTCATTTGCAAAGAAAGAATTACTCAGTTTTGGGCAAAACTTGTTTATATTCATATGAAAGATGATGGATGGCATACTCTGAGGAAAAGTAAAAATAAGATAAATAAAAACCTGACTTTGGGTATTACAGTAATCACTTGGCAGTCAAGGTCTTCTTTAATAATCCAATCATTTTTTAGGCAAAAAGATGTCATATATTTGAAAGATGTTCATGCGTGGGTATATAGTCGTCCAAGAAGTAGACAACTTGCCGATCACTACATAACACTGAGATAATGGGTATAACACTCCTGTGCGTACGTCCGTGTGCCGCCTTCTATATGCCCACACTTGAGTAACTGTAATATGACTATTAAAATAATTTGAAGTTACAGTACTTTCTTCCCCGATGTTTGGTAATCCAATAAACTTTCCTGCTTCAATTTTCCTTATGTTATTTTTCTGCTTTTCTGATCATATCCACATCTGTTTGAGATGTATCGTATTTATCAACATTACTTTCTTCTACACAGACATCAATGAATGCCTGAATGACACGTCATGCACAAATGAAGGAGAGAGGTGTGTTAACACTGCCGGAAGCTATTCTTGTGACTGCATGATAGATAGAGGTTACATTGCTAATGATGGAGTATGCACATGTAAGTCTCTAGTAGTTTGTAGGCTGATCCTGTCTGTAGTCCCAGGTAGTCAAAATACAGTCTGTGTGAAACAGGTGCATTATAATTTTGCTCACAAAACTACCACCCCTGTAAAATTTCCAAATAGTCTATCAGAAGATGTAATGAGCAATAAGCTGCTACGATTTGTTGAGTGCATATTTTGTCTAAAATTCAGTTCCATGGTAACTGAAGCACACCTTAAAGAAGTTTAGACTAAAAGTTAACAGCCCAAATTAGAAACTGACTGGTTGGCAAAGGGAAAATAAGATATGGAGATTGATGATCTCAGTGAAGACAAGTAAACAATGATTTATAGAAGTTGGGTGGGACAAAGGAGGCGTGATAGCTCAGTGGTAGATACATGTAGCAGTGGTTGCATAACTTGGATGTCCCCTTGTTCGAAACCAAGTCGATGTGCTAGTGCCCTTTGGTAAGGCATTAATCCTCATTACTCAGTCCCTCGGAGAGGACTTAACGCCGTTGGTCCCCTGGTTGCTTACTGACAAGCACACCCATGCTTTCTTAGCAGTCTGGTAAAACAAACACACCAAATGACATTGCACCAAATGACCATTTACCTTTGCAGAATTACTTATCTAAGGTAGATATTAAGTCTATCAACCTCTTTTATTCCCAACACAGTATATGAAGTATACCGTGGCCAGCTCACTGTCAATTTTATCAGCGGTCTCCCAGCTATTTTCACTTCAGACCTCACTGACTCCTCTAGCCAGGCTTACTCGAGTCTAGCTTTCTTAGTCAGCAATGCGGTAAGTTTATGTACAGAATATGTACAGTGTATCATTTGATGATTTCTGCAATGTATCTTTCGAGTTAGTCAGCTCATTAATATACATTTTTGTGGTTTTGTTTTCCAATTGTTTTTGTACAAATAAATCTTGCAGGAAAGTATGTTTAACCTGTTACTTACTTGAACCAGGAGACTCCTGTATTAAGCCTGTGGCAATGAGGAAATTCAGTAGTGGATTAATATTCAGATTGCTCTTTGTATGCATGTAAATAATCTTGCATGATAGTGTCAGAAGTACTCTCTTTTTTTCTCTCATTTTTATGACGGCTCTTTTTGGATATTCGATAGTAAAAAATAATTAGATTACTTTGTGGCAATTTGTTTATGTTTATACCTCACTGTTAGTTTACCAATGCTGTTTAAGAACTAAATCACCCATTGCTGGCATGTATCTTAAATTTTGGCTTGCCGTATAGAGGTTTGTGGATAAATAGATGTTCATGTGCATGGTATAGAAAAAAAAGAGAGATAAAAGAATGTGTTTTTATGTAACCATTTCAGATACGATATCTCTTCCTACTGGAGCCAAACCTGCAAGACTTCTTCCAGTCTTGCACGGTGTCTGGTTTCACCAACGGCAGTGTGGTGGCGACATACTATGTTTCCTTCACCCAGTCGGTCAATATTTCAAGCAGCTCCCTCACAGCTCTCCTTGTGAACACCCTTGAGACTGGTGTCATTCTTACTACAGGCATTGCCTCTCAAGGGAATATCAATGTAGATATTAACTCTGTGGAATTCACCAGTAAGTAGACATTTCACTGTTAAATTCTTCCGAGTATTGTACTACCGGTACTGCATTTACAGTGTACATGTAAATAGTTGGTATTTAATTCAATACTTCAGGCAGAAATATTTGAATTTTACTCAGTTAGGAAACATTAGAATTCAATTGCATTGTTTGGCTTTCATACATACCTGTATTTAACCTAAAGTTAAAATCAGACAAAGCCAATTGTTTTGAAAACCTGGAAGTGCATCCGTTATTCTTGTCAAAGAAATACTGTAATTTGATGATATTGTTTGACTTTTTCAGAAATTACCCAAGAGTGCACAAACACTTTCTGTTTCAATGGAGGAACATGTTCTTTGCAGAATGGATTGAAAGTCTGCCAGTGAGTATAAGCTCATTTTTATTCTTTTCATATAAAGTTACATGTGTTTACCCATCTCCCTACTTGTATTCAGATTTTAAAGTGCACAGTGGACTTAAAGGTATAATACAAAGTTTTGGTATGGGGTCATGAATTTGGTTCAAATGTTCAGTGATCGTTGTCGCGGTTGAGTCTAAAGTTATGAAATTGTAAATAATAATCTCGTTATGTTGTATAGCTCCCTCTCAAGGTCAAGATATTAATAAAGCTATAAAACAATGTTTCTTGACTAAAATCGACCGATTAGCTATTCCCGTTTGGATTTTCATGGTCGCAGCTACCATTGTATGGCCATAGGCGCTATACACCAGTTTACAGTTGTATCAGTGCGCATGCGCAGACAGTTGACCTCGGGTCATTGGCCCTGAATTCAGGGCCAATAACCTCTGACCTCTGGTATTTATGCGTAAATTAAGATTGCGCCCATGCAAATAATGATGTGCGCGCACAACGCAGCGCGTAGGCAGTGATATCATCAAAATTTGCATGGGCGCAATCTTAATTTACGCATAAATACATGACCTCTAGGTCATTGGCTTTGTTTAAAATGGCGCACACAACTGTAAACTGGTGTATTTGAAAATTGTTTTAGGGGCTGAATTTTCTAGTGCTTAGAATCACTATCCAGCTAATTTTCAAAATTTCCCAAAACTTTGTATTACCTTTAAACCAAGTACATAGATCCCACAGACTTATTGTCCTTGTGCTTATGAACCAAAGACTAATGAGCTACACATAGTTTAGCAGCTTCTCTGATGTCCAGATAGTTCAGAAAAAAACTTCACCAGAATCATATTATCAACTAAGGGTCAGTAGGGCACTGATTCCCAATTGATACATGTTTGTTGACATACATGCTCAACTGTAGAGTTAATGCTAGGATGCCTTTCTGGCTCTGAGCAGATGATGCAGGTGATATACTGATTAAAGGCTCATTGAATATTGTTTGCTGAGAGCTATAAGGGCACTTCATGATCCTATACTACATTCAGCTACTGCCTACTTGCATCTAAACAACAATTATAGATATGTGTTTCATGCACAAGTGATACTACAGGTCACACAATCATGACTAAAACCTTGTATAATGCTTTGTTCATGAAGGTGCCCTAGTGGTTATGAGGGAGATACTTGTGAGAGGGCTCCTAGCACTCGGCCTCCTACTATAGCTACTACTCTGGAGGGGAGTACCATGGCAACGGAAAACATCACTGAGATGACCAACACCACAACATCATCCCAGACAAGTAAGTTATGAGGGGAGCGCATAATCATTGAGCTTGTGGGGGGATTAGAGGAATTAAGAATGACACACTACTGGATTTATTCAAAGGAGACACGATGGCTCAATGGTAGAGCAGTGGTCTTGTAACTGGGAGGTCCTGAGTTCAAAGCCCAGTTGATGCGTTAGTGCCCTTTGGTTAGGCATTAATCTTTATTACCAAGTCCCTCAAAGAGAACTTAAAGCTGTTAACCTCCTGGACATTTACTTACAAGCATACACATGCTTTGTTTTTGGTCAGGTGAAACAAACCAACTTACCAACCAACCAACCAATCAATCTTGATAGGAACCGTTTATGCATTTTTTGTCTTTATTTTTGCCGTTTAACTTCAGACTCCGCGAGCTCTCTCGCCTTCTTCAGCGTAGGGTCTGCTAACTGCGCTTTCCTAATATCATCAGGAGAAACTTCTGGGATAGGAGACATTACCTTCAGTGGAGTCTGTTTCCGTTTACTAACCTTAACCTGGGATCTCGTCTCAACTGCCATCCCTACCTCAGATAAATTCTTACCTTGATCATCATGGCCTGAAGTAGACGACCCCCAGTTCAGATTCGGAGCATTGGGTGGGAGAACATTTTGGATGTTCCCTAGAATCACATCAAACACTGGTGATTTCATACACAAAGCTACAACACAGCCTACATAAAAAGGACTGTCAACATGTACCTTAGCAGTAGGATACCAACGCACACTGCCATCGATGAGAATACACTGCCTGTGTTTTCCTGTCATCTGATCCTTGGCGGCTAGGCTCCTACGAATCACTACACAAGAACAACCTGTGTCTCTAAGAACTGAAACTGTTTGAGAATTAACAATTCCATCCTTAACTGGCATGAGTGCACGCAACTTACCTGTACAAGCCGCACACATTTCCAGTACTTTCTTCCTCCTCTGTTTCCTTGACGGTCTAGTCCGCTCCATCCCGGCGGCAGACATCGTGACAAACATCCCAACACTCTCGACCTGTGTTGTATCTTTGTCAACCCCTGAATCTTGGGAAGAAGAACATGTTGGACATTCAAAAGATAAGAGTCTGTTCACCTCATCAACTTTTTCATGATTTGTTTGAGACTTGTCCTTACCTGATGACTTCTTAGGATTATGGGATTTTAATCCCATAGCTACAAAACTTCCAACCTTTTGAGGTTTTGACTTAGAAGTTACTGTACAATTTCTTGCAAGATGACCCATTTGGTCACACAAATAACACGGCCCAATCGCCTTCCGATTGGTGGGCTTCTCACTGTGAAAGGGCTTTTCTCTGTGAAAAGCTTCACTCTTTTTCTCTGACCTGTTGGATGTCATTACTTTGTTGTCCTGTCTTGGACCCTTGAAATGACCACCATGTGCTGAGATATAAATCTGAGCAGCGTCAGTCATCTCCCTAGTAGTCTTGAGCGTACGCTCTCTCAAATAGATAGCAAGCCCTGGACTCATCTGTTCAAGAAACTGCTGTCTAATAATCAAATCTTTCAACCCTTGATAAGATTTGTCTGTCTCCGTAAGATCCAACCATCTTTCGAAGTAGTGTTCTAACCTAGCAACAAATTGACCAGCATACTCTCCCGTCTCTGGCGTTGCTTTGTAGAACTTCTTCCGGAAGTCATCTGCTGACATCTGGTATCTGCGAAGGAGGGCGTCCTTAAGCTTGGAGTAATTCTCAGCTTCATCTGGTGCCAACCTACTGTAGACTTCCAACGCCTTTCCCTGTAGAAGTGCACCTAAATTAATGGCCCAACAATCTGTTTGCCATCTCTGACTACTAGCGTATCTCTCGAAACGCTCTAAATACGCATCCATGTTGTCTCTACTTTCATCAAAGTGAGGTAACTTTGGGATTCTTGTCAAACTATGGTGTTCGCGACTGGTATCTCCTGACTGAGATTCATTTCCCCTTTTGGCCTGTTCTAAGGATATCTGTTTATCTAAAATATTCCCCTCTAGTTGCTTCAAAGCAAATTCTTGTTTCTTATCTTCCCTTACAGCTGCTCTTTCATCACGTGCCTGTTGTTCTCTTTCTTTAATGAACTCCAACAAGGTCTCACCAACTAAACCTAGTTCCTTACCTAAGTTAATCAACTTTTCATCAATGACCTCCATACTGATAACCCAACCTAACAATAAAGCGGGACTATGGTATTGATAGGTGGTGAACCTATCTGGGTAACTAACCCCTTCCCAAATTCGCTCTAAATGCGCAAATTGCTAAATTGTCACTTACCAGAGAGAATCAAGAACACGTTCTGCCGATTTGAATACTTGCCACCGACTCCTGTTCTGTATTACAGAATCGCAAAATATTCCTAGTTCATATAAAGATAACAATGAGACACAAAAGTGAAAAGGTCAATAATGTACATGAGATAGTTAACGCTCTAAAATGTATGCGGTTTCCTTTTACATGTTTTATAATATACAATCAGTTCAAAACACTAAAAGAAAACCTAATATTCCTGCGAGAGGTCCCGGGTTCGACTCCCGGAAGAGCCCCCAAAATGTCACAACTGGGTAAACTCAGGTGACTTTAATTCGTGATCTAGTTAACTCTCTTATCGTCTCACAGGGAAATTTACACAATAAACAACGAATTCAAATTCTGTTAAAGTGTATCAAAGGATATCATCTTCTTCTTATCTTTATTACATTACTTCTTATCACAATAGAAATGCATATAAAGATATAAAATATATATTGAACCCAACCCTGAGGTTGTATTCTAAGCTGTCACAAAATCACACCTTTGTACAGAGTATCGTCACTGAAAATGGTCGTAAGTTTATCGTACGTCTGGAAATATAAATAAAATAACCCACTTTAGTGATGCAATCACTCAAGATGTGATAATAAAATATTGTTCATGGGAACAAAGAAACCATAGTTGTTACTGTTGCTGGAACTTGTCCCGTGTAACGAAGGGGTTGCTCCATCTGTAATGGCACCTTCATCTCTCCTTAGTCGTTACAGGTAGAGATCCACCCATTGTGGCATGAACTTGGATACCGGACTTGCTCTGTACGTCCTAGCCGGAACACCATCTAAAATTAACATTAACCCAGGCTATTAATAGTCTACGGAATAATACTAAATTATTCATCATCTACTTAATATCTTTTAACAAGACTATAACCATCATCAGGCAATACAATAACATGCATTACAGAAAAGGCTTCTATCATAATGATTTACATTGCATTACAAATATCCTTTCAACATCCAAAAGAGCCTGAATTACTGAGTGCAAATCCTGCGAACATGTACTTTCAGTTATTATTCAGAAATGAACAATATAATGTATAAAGAGTTACATTATTACTTTAGAGAAATGATTTGCAGTCTTCATTATTCATCCCTAATGCAAAGGTTCACTTGTGACCTTGACTGTCTCAATGACAAATGAACACACCCAATGTATCATTATAAAAAGGAATACAAATATGGATTAAACTTGGATTAAACTTACAGTTTGACTGGTTGACTGAAATGCAGAAAATCGGGGCAGGCCTCAATGTCGGTTCTGGTGATCGTGACTCTCTATGGAAATTGGACTTGCAGCGCAAAATGCTATGAAACAACTTTCATTTACCTCCAACCCATAGGTCCTATGAAACAACTTTCATCCACCTCCAACCCATAGGTCCTGCCTGTATGACTTGTGTGCAGATAGTGACACTACACTGCAACGTAAGGCAACCCACCCACTATAGCTATGCATCACCTGTTTGAGCTACAATGTATGTAGAGTGCAGTGGAGCCTAACTACGCAATGCATTCAACCCAATGCTGTAATCTACATAACAATTAAGCGGGTAGCATTGAGGGGAAAGGTTGAATCCTAACACCTACCTGCATATACTTTGCATATGTTCCTTTATTTCTTGACCAGACATGCATTTTGTAGAAAAATTGTACATATCACACTAAATTTTATATTTTCTTATTACCTTTTATCATTGAAACCTAGGTGTCATTGAGTCTCATGATGTAAATGCCATTAGCGTACAGTATGTTGATGAGATACTGAATTATTTAGTTCATAGCAATATTTCTTTTTTAGAATGCAATTGCATAATCTTCTGTAAGGGATTCTCGTAAGTGTATGGTTGTGCCTAAACATTGTGAGGTACATATTATTTATTTAATTGTATGTCATTTTGTTTTACTCCTTTCTTTTTGAATCAGATATCAATGAATGCCAAGATGAAAGTAACACATGTGATACAGCATCTCAGATATGCATTAATACAGTGGGAGGTTTCATGTGTCAATGCATGACCGGATTCGTACAAAATGGATCAATTTGTCAAGGTAACATACATGTGTTTTATTTCTATTATTTATTGCAAGAGTATTTTGTTGTGCAGTTTCCTCAATACAATAATAGAAGATTTTTCTTTTTAGGATAGTTTCAAACTATTTTGCTCAATCTCTGCACATATCCTTCTTTCAAAAAATTTGAGTTTGTTTGTCTTTTTTCTATTTTTATATACTCCTTGTTTTCCTAATAAATAAAGAAATTCACAATCCAGTGAAACGCTTTTTTATTACACTGTGCTTGAGCATTCAAGATGTTTTTAGAAATGTTTATAGGTGTTTTACTTGACTAACCAATTAAGAAGAAATTTTCCTCATTATTCTTTAATAATTATGGGAGAACTTAATAACTTCTACATGTTTTTGTTTCCTTTTAGACATCGATGAGTGTGCTGACAGCAGTTTATGTGGAACAAATGCAATGTGTATCAATTCTTTTGGCAGCTACATGTGTAGTTGTGTGAGTGGTTATGATGGAGATGGGATCACCTGTCTTGGTGAGTTTGATATGGAATTCAAGTCATTTACTTTCTCATTATGATATGATAATAATCTATGAAGAACAAAACTAACATGAACAGGATTCCTTGGGTCCTTGGAAATTCTTGGAAATTCTTGATTTTTCAAAGTTGTCCTGGAAAAACCCAAATGTGATTTTATGGCTGGAAACCTGTTTTATAAAGTAGCTGTTATTATTGAGGTAGCAGTCAAAATCAATAGTAGACACTTATAACAATAAACTATTATTTAGTATGGCTTTGATTTTATGTTTCCACCCCTCTAACAAACACCAGTGGTGATTTGATAAAGAAATCATATTTCTCAAATGTACACATTTTAATGGATGATTGCTTTATTACTTCAGTCATAAAAAGGTGATCCATTTGTATCTAGAGAAAATAAAGATAATAATAATAACATTCCTTTCTTGTATAGAACATATCACATTATCACGTCCCTATGCACTTCCAAAGTGCTCTGGAAATTATTACCCTAGCTTTAGCTCCGTCACCTGTTATCAGCGCACAGTGCATGTCAAGGAATATTTCTACTCGGTACCTATTTACCACACCTGGTCTGAGTGTGGCAAATGTAGATTAATGTCTTGCCAAAGGACATTAGTGCCGCGGCGGGACTCGAACCACAGACCTTGTGATCCGCAGTCCGGTGACATATGCACTCGACCACAACATTTTCATTTCAGTACTTATATTGCTTATTCAAGATTAGTTTTTCAATTGATCCCCACTTTCTTATTACATTCTAGCTTACCCATTGATAGATTAATACTTTTGTCATGTTTGCATAATGAATCTTGCAACAAATTGTAATGTTGTTTTGCCCTTTTCATTCTGTTCTATTCGAGATCTCTACACTTCAGATGGTGCTGGCTCATCATTAAGCAGTGTAACTACAGCTGTTCCTCTAGAAACTTCTACATTTTCTATGGCAAGTCAGGTCTTGACTACAGATAAGTCAGTGACCTCACAAATTCAAACCACCAATAACTTACCATTTGTAACATCAACCCCTGGGGAATATACCTCACAGATGAGTACTTCCACAGAGCTCTCAACTGGGACTGTTATTCTTTCGTCTACCACGATTGATGTAACTTCTGAGAATTCTGTAACTGACCCTGAATCAACTGTCCAATTTACTGAGGATACTACCACAAGTGTTCAAGGTTCAACCACAACAGTTGGTACAGGAGGTATCTCAGCAACTGCAACAACCACTCAGTCTTCTATGGAAATGAGTACTGGTGCAGATACGACAGAGATATCGACTTCTGATGTAACATCACAATCTCCTACTACTTCAGGATTCACAACCTCAGGTTTGAGAACTGGTGCAGAATCAACAAAGCCAGGGACAAGGACTACTGAGGAGGAATCAACTAAAGCAGGAACAACTGAAGGATTCACCTCAGATGTAACATCTACTGCTTTACCAACATCAGATATCACCACCAATGGTCTGACTACCGAGGAGGAGACAACTGAATCAGGAACAACTGAAGGATTCACTTCAGATGTTACATCTACTGGGCCGTCAACTTCAGATATCACCACCAATGTTCTGACTACTGAGGGGGAAACAACTGAATCACAAACAACTGAGAGATTCACCTCAGATGTTACATCTACTGCTTCCTTAACATCAGATATCACCACAGACATTCCCTCAACTGGGCCGTCAACATCATATATCACCACCAATGGTCTAACTACTGAGAAGCACACAACTGAATCGGGAACAACTGAAAGATTCACTTCAGATGTTACATCAACTGGGCCGTCAACATCAGATATCACCACCAATAGTCTAACTACTGAGGAGGAGACAACTAACTCGGGAACAACAGAAGAATTCACCTCAGATGTTACATCTACTGCTCTACCAACATCAGATATCACAACCAATGGTCTATCTAATGAGGAGGAGACATCTGAATCAGGAACAACAGAAGATTTCACCTCAGATTTTACATCAACTCTGTCGTCAACATCAGATATCACTACTAATCGTCTGACTACTGAGGAGGAGAGGACTGAGGGAATAACCTCAGATATGACATCTACCGCTCTACCAACATCAGATATCATTACCAATGGTATGACTACGAAGGGGAAACAACAATCTCGCAAACATAGCGATTTTGTACTCTTATATATAAGAGCAGAAATTTGTAAAGAAATCATGATCAGTACAGGTCAAAAGTTGATATCTACTTTAGATAGGAGTATTTGTTTCCCATTTATAGAAAAGTATGGCATGATTGACAAAATTGAAGTAATCAGTGGGGTTGTTTTTGAGTGTGTATATTGTTGACTTGAGGTTCAATTGGTTTGAGAGTAAGTTAGCATCTGCTAAAGATATCAATATCACATTCAGTAGAATAAAAACAAAAAAATATTGAACACTTTGAAGTAATTATGAATTGATAAAAATTATGATAATTATAATATTGATGTTAACAACAATACAAAGTATTCATAATCAGTGTTTATGGGCATTAGTATTGATTTACAGAGAATTAAGAATAAGTCAACATCTTCTCTAGATTAACAAAAAAATAATGTGGGATTCAATGCTTTTTATATATCCATGTTGTCTTTGATATATTTTAAGAATCTAGATGTTTTGTCATATTAAGTAGTATCAAGAAAATTTTCCATTTGAAATGAATATACTTTTTTCAGTTATCTAACTTTGCGTTTATACCAGATGAAAATGAGTGTGCATTGGTATCATTAGTTGCTTCCAGGAGGGTAACAACACCACCCCTGCTCCAAAACCTTGATGGTGGTTAAGGTTCTGAATTGTTTCAAGATGTTGTAATTTTAGCCCATAGCTTATGGAACTAGTTGTTTTGTGTAATAAGCTTATGGGACTGAGACAATTCAGTAGTTAACAGGTTAAGTCTCTTGCATTTAATTATCATCTTTTCTATGTGTTTATACCAGATGAGGATGAGTGTGCACTTGGTATCAGTGGTTGCCCCCAGGGGTGTAACAATACCACCCCAGCTCAGAACCCAGATGGTTTCAGTTGCTACTGCTATGAAGGCTTCATCGCTGACCTGCAAGGCAACTGTGTCCGTAAGTCAATTCAATTCAATTCAATTCACATTTATTTCATTCTCGATTAAAAATCATATTGATACAAGTACCAAAGAGTTCGCTAAACTTCTGGCCATATGTTGCACAAAGAATCACAATTGATTACTAGTCACATTACTTTGAACCAGTCAGGCATCATAATAATCTTGATTTATGTTAATGACACAAACTTAATTCTAACAGAATAGAAGAAGAAAATGGACTGGAACACAGAATATCCAGCAGACAAAATAAATAATAGCACTCCAACAATTTCGATAGAAAATGAATGATTGCCAACCAAGTAAGGATGTGCAGTTCATTTATCCTTATTTTTACAATATTTAATTCTAGAAAAATCTTGTTTTCAGGGGTGCTCCTTCTCATGACCCCTCTTCAAGCTCAGTCACCCGTCTTTCAGGCTAATTAGGTAATAATGTATAATAAGATTGGTCTCCCGTTTCATTTTCAGCGGAAACAAGCTGCATAAGTACTGTATGTAGCAATGCAGACTGTGTTAATCTCAATGGAATGGAGATGTGTGTTTGCTACAATGGCTACAAATTCAACAGCTCCGACATCACATCTTGTATAGGTAAGCACTATTCCGTTATTACTATTCGTTACTTTGTATTGCCTGTGTCTTGGATAGAGATAAGTGAACTTAATCACTCTGACCCTTGACCCTTGGGTCCCTCCCCCCAGTATAACTGATGGGGATGTACAGGTGAACCACTATACATGGGTCACTCTACTCTTGGCGAGGAGTGCAGTGGTTTCTGAACGTGCATCAGGATTAGTTTACTTTTTGACATCGTGTATGAGAGACATCAATCACATTGTTTTTCACTGTTTCCTAGTGTGCATCTACATGTATGAATCAGGGAGAGGGCTCATTTCACAGACAACACTAGCTCGGAGTCATCAATCCAAGCTGGGAGGTGTTTCACAAAGCCTTTTTTCAATGAAAAATGACAGAAGTCAGTGACAAATCTGCTGATAACCAATCAGAATCAAGCATTTCAGTAGCTTATAACAAAGCTGTCATTTATCACTGATGACAAGTTTTGTGAAATATCCCCCTGATTTCTAATCATGATCTGTGGATTGACATGAAGACACTTTACTAATTGAGCCAATTCCCTTTAAAATCTCAATTCAACTAAATTACCATTCTCCTTCCTTTCTAGATATTGATGAGTGCACTGATGTAGAATACAGCAACATGTGCAATCAGGACTGTTCCAATACCATCGGAGGGTACAACTGCTCTTGTTTTGAGGGGTATTCCCTTATGACTGATGGCCGCACATGCAATGGTAAGATTTGCAAATCATTGACCTTTGACCTTGTAAACTATGACAGGCATACATTCGTAAGAACTATGCGTAAAGAGATGCGTAATAAAGAATACAGTTTTTTGTATACCTTGTACATTCATGTCACGTACATCATTGAGGTTCTGTATCATACCCTTAATCCATTTCCATGAAGTACCGAAGCTGTGACATCATAAAAATCTATTCTTAGAATTTCTCAATTTTTTCATTTTCCGAAAGAGCATAATAAATAATGTCCAAATGTGGAAAACCAGTTAAAAAGGTTAAGTATTGGCTGAGATATCACCATCTGAATGAATAGATTTCCTATAGGAAACTGTGTTATATTGCTCTGGTTCATAAAGTTTTGAGCCAGAGCATATAACACTGAGCAGGAACAGGATGACTCCTGGGACCCGCTCCACAAAGCCTTTTTCCAATGACAAATGACTAAATTCAATGACAAATCTGCTGATAACCAATCAGATGAAAGGATTTCACTAGCTTATAACAAAACTGTCATTTTTTCACTGATGCCAAGTTTTGTGAAATGGGGCCCTGTACTAATGCCTATGGGAAGAAAAGAAATCAGGAATCAATGGGTTGATATAAGCTCTGAGTTAAAGATTTTGAAGATAAACAGAAGTGTGTACCTTTAAAGTTTGAGTCATATCAAACAGAATAGATTTCCTACCTGCATGCACGTTGATATTCCTTTATTTCTTGACTGCATTTTGTATAAAAATTCACACTAAATTTTACCTTTTCTTACTGATTTTTATCATTGAAAATTAGGTAAAAATAAGTCCCATGAAGTAAATGTTATTGTCGTATGTTTATGAAATACTGAATGATTAAGTTCACAAGCAATATTTCTTTTTAAGAATGCAATTGAAAAATCTTCTGTAAGGGATTCTCATAAGTGTATGGTTGTGCCTAAACATTGTGAGGTACACATTATTTATTTAATTATATTTTTTTGTTTAAATTCCTTTCTTTTTGAATCAGATATCAATGAATGCCAAGATGGAAGTAACACATGTGATACAGCATCTCAGATATGCATTAATACAGTGGGAGGTTTCATGTGTCAATGCATGACCGGATTCGTACAAAATGGATCAATTTGTCAAGGTAATGTACATGTAATTTTGTATTTTATTGTGCAGATCTTCTTTTTAAAGTATTTTTTAAATATTTTTCTCACTCTCTGCACAAATGCTTTTTTCATAATCTTTGAGTTTGTTTTTCATTCACTTTAATTTCTGACCTTTTTTTTCTATTTTGATATACTTTTTCTTAGACTCTTTACTAATAAATAAATGAATTCATGATCTGGTGAAATACTTTTTATTATATTGGGCTTGAGCATACAAGATGGTTTTAGGTGTTTTACTTGACTTACCAATTCAGAACAAATTCTCGTCATTATTCACTAATTATGGGAGAACTTTATTAATTTCTACATGTTTCTGTTCTCTTTCAGACATCGATGAGTGTGCTGACAACAGTATATGTGGAACCAATGCGATGTGTATCGATTCTTTTGGCAGCTACATGTGTAGTTGTGTGAGTGGTTATGATGGAGATGGGATTACCTGTCTTGGTGAGTTTGATATAGAATTCAAGTCATATACTTTCCCATTATGATATGATAATAATCTATGAAAAACAAAACTAACATGAACAGGATTCCTTGGGTCCTTGGAAATCCTTGAAAATTCTTGATTTTTCAAAGTTGTCCTGGAAAGACCCAAAATGTGATTTTCTGGCTGGAAACCTGTTCTATAAAATCAAGGCGTAATTCTTATTTTCTGCATAATTCTTATTCAGATAAAGAGTGTTTTAAAATAACAAAAAGGTACAACATTGTTATTAAGGACTGATTTTTGAGCATTTCTTGTCAAAGAATCTATTTACTTGTTGTAAAAACCTATACATTTCTTTCCTTAGCTCGTCATGTGTAGTGCATAATGTAATGAATCTTCTTTTCTTCACTTCCATACCTTGATCTGTAGTTGATTCATGTAAGCTATTAACTGTTCTTCTCTTCCAGATGTTGATGAGTGTTCAAATGGGAATGATTGTCATGAGTTTGCACAGTGTGTCAATACAGAGGGATCCTATAACTGTTCTTGTTTGAATGGTTACACCGGAAATGGAACATTCTGTGAAAGTGAGTATTTCATTTTTAAGGAATTAATTCAGTGACAATTTTTGTCATGCATAAATAAACATACTTTTGGCATTAGAATCATTGTCTTATGTACCATCATTATCTGTACGTCATAGGTGATAGTGTAATAAAAGTGTTATCAAAATTCCTTTACATTACTATGTATCTTATCTGATTAAAGATGAAAATCGTTTCTTTTGGTTGAATAGGACCACTATTATGTTAAATGAAATTAGATGTATCACTGTAAATATACTCATACTATTGCATATGTTACTTTATTATGTCGTTGCACTCAGTATGATTTATTTTCAAAGCATTTTTTTCATTGTGCAAGTAATCTTATTTTTTAGCAGGCTTCCGGATGCACCATGTGAGAGAGAGAGAGGGAGGATTGAGGAGTCCTAAAAAGGACTTTTGGTAATCTTTCTTGAGGGTGTGTAATCCTGAAAAGGACTGTTGGTGTAGTCTTGAAAAAGCCTGTTGGTTATCTTTCTTAGCTTATAGTTCTAAGGAGAACTATAGCGCTTGGAGAGGATGGGTGGTAGGAGTGGCTTGACGTTTCGAACAGGTTGACTATCCGTCGTCAGGAATAATCTTATTTTGTTGTTCAAGTTAACTTCCTGATATTTTAAATATTTGCTCATTAATTTTGTTATCCTGAAAAGGGGCAATTGTGATTTACTTCTATCAAACTTATTTCCCCAACAGACATCGATGAATGTGTAAATGACACCACCTGCATATCACCAGCGGTCTGTGTTGACACCTCTGGAAGTTTCATCTGTGAATGCCCCAGTGGATATGACCCTACTGGAACCAGCTGTATCAGTAAGTTAGGAATATGGTTCAGACTATTTACTCCTCATACCCCCCCCCCCCCCAAGGCCCCATCTGGCATTCAGTATTACATCCAGAGCTGCAGATCTTGTTCAGTGCCTCTATACCCTTTGATGCATATTGTCCATAGAATTTAAATGAATTTGTTAGATAATTGGGTATATTTCATTACTCAATCATTACATGGAAAACAAATCAAACAAGCTGTCATAGGGTCACAGCTGTTTCAGAGAATTTGTTTTAGGATGGCTGATAAGATATTTTCTCAAATTTCTTGTTCACATTTCTTGTTCACATTTCTTGTAAATGTAGCTTTATTTACATGTATATATTGAAATTAAATATTTTTGTCACAGTTAATATTCAAGAAACATACTTGTACAAACAATGTTTAATCTTTTCAAACATTTTCTGATTATTCTTCTACAAATTTCAATATAAAGGCCACAATTTCTTGTAACTTTAAACTTGTATATCTATCACTAGTTTTCCTTGTGTACATTAGAATAAGATTACAGTAATTATTTAATTCTCTAATTTCTTTCTACCCAGACATCAACGAGTGCACCCTGTCTCAGAATGACACTCGTCGTCATGAGTGTGATACCAATGCTGCTTGTATAGATCTCCCTGGGAGTTATAACTGCTCCTGCTTAGCTGGTTACCAAGGCAACGGACTCCAGTGTGAAGGTGAGTGAATGGAAGTTGTGAGACCACTGATGTAGCAGAAGTTGCGGTGATATTTGATTATTGTACACAGCATTATTGTCTGTTAAGTAGCGTACATAGCTCAGTGTAGTGATACATTAAGATGTGTTTGGCATAAAAATGGCATACAATCTACCTATGATATTTGATTATTGTACACAGCATTATTGTCTATTAAGTAGCGTACGTAGCTCAGTGTAGTGATACATTAAGATGTGTTCGGCATACAAAAATGCATGAGATCTGTTGCAAAGAGACAGAGCTATAATTTAGCTGTGGAGCTTGCATATACATACCTCTAATACATGTACCTTGATTAATTTAAATAATACCAAATCTGGAAATCAGACGGGCTTTATGTGTTTAGATAATCCAACATCACCAACAACTAATGACCATGGATTGAAAATTTACTACTGGGTACTTATTTCTTCCCATAGACGTTACACAAGGCCCGCTTAATTTGCTGCATGCACTGTTTCAAAGTTAAATGGTTGTGTTAAAAAGTACTGTCTCTTTATTGACCTGGGTTTGTCTTTATATTTTGCATCAAATTTCTCCACTTTCAGATATCAACGAGTGTAACACACCAGATGCATGCGTCACCAACTCCCAGTGTACTAACATGAACGGGTCCTACATGTGCACATGTGATGCTGGTTACCGTGGTGATGGTCGCATCCAGTGCAATGATATCAACGAGTGTGATGAGAATCGTATCATCTGTGATGAGAACGCCAGCTGTAACAACATGGTTGGTAGCTACACCTGCACATGTAATGATGGATTCACGTCTAATGGAACTGGGTGCACGAGTAAGTACAAATCCCAGAACTAGTCTCTCAACTAAATAATAATAATAATTTAGCTTTTATATAGCGCTTAATACAAATGTCTCTAAGCGCTTTATAAATATACTATTACCCCGGTCATTGGATACAGTGCATGCCCGCACACAATGTATGCATAATCTCCACTCCCTGGGGAGCATTCCAGCCAGCCAATGTTGAAAAGAGTTGCTTATGATCCAAATCAATAGCAAGTCCCCGAATCATGATCAGTCACAAACCTTTACCAGACATAAATGAGTGAATAAAAAACAAATAAATATTTCCTTTTATCTTTTGACATACATATTTTAGAATAATATCAATTTCATCCTTTTAACCCTATTTAGCCCGGGCTATTTTGAAACTGCATAGCCCGGGGGGGGGGGGCTTCTCAGGCCCCCCCCTATGATCTCGGCCGTGAAACGCCCGATCGCCGCGAAAATTTGCATACATGTCAAGTGAAGTGTATAGAATACTATGGTAATTTCAATTTTTTTGAAAAATTCACTCATTTGCATATTTATGGTAATTTATGCAAATAAGGTCATTAAATTCACATTTTTGCCTCTAAATCAGACATTATTCATATTTAAGCATTCTTTCTCACTACATATATTTGTTAGACCATTTGGAATAATAATACAACACAAAAATTTGAAAAACCAGGGTTATTCCTTATGTTATCTATTGTTTTGATAATTTCTTATGTAATTTCTTTGTTTTTTTAACTTATGTATTTTATTGTTTTTGTTGTTTTATTTCATTTCCAACTATAATTCAACTATTTTGACCCAAAATAAACACCTAAAATCTAAACAAGACCAAATAACCAATGTTTTACCTCTTTATTTGAAAAATGAGATTTCCATATGTTTTGTACACAAATCACAAAAATGAGCGATTTTCGGGCTGACATGCGAAGACAAAAGGACACCTGACTTTGTAATGGTAGGTCCGATTTTCGAAAAATTTCTTTCAAAAGTTGCGCAAGACTCGAAAGAAAAAAGTCACAAAATTTCAGTGCAAGATTTTCTTGCGTTAAAAAATTATCGCGAAAAATGTCGAGGGGGGGGGCTTCTCAAGCCCCCCCCCGGGCTAAATAGGGTTAATACAGTCAGACAGAACCTTGGTTTTTCTTGTCTTGAGCTTGAACTGTACTCCTGATAATGAATTATAACCTGTTTTTTCTCCCTACCTTATTTTCAAGATCCCAAACTCTCACAGAACCCCTGATATCTAATCGTCATTTTACAATTATTGTAATCCTTTACCTTATCAAATATGTATTTGTAATGTTGCATTATCTTCTCCCCAGAAAGGGCCTTATAGATTTAACATATCTGAAATGAATGCTTGTTAGACATTTTTACCCTCTGCAAGATGGACAACAATTGATCCTTTGACTGCTGCATTATCTCAGTAGATCCCGTTCTCATTGGCAATGGGTGACAAAACAAAAAGTCATTCTTTCGGTTTCCGGATGAATGAAAGTTCCACTGGAGATATTGAGGCCTTTCTAGCCATGCGTTTAACACAGTAATGATATCTCATGTTGCCTTCCAGATGTTGATGAGTGTGTAGAGGATACCCTGAATGACTGTCATCCCCTGGCTACCTGCACAGACACCATAGGAAGCTACATCTGTACCTGTCAGACTGGACTCATCTCCCCTGAAGGAGCCAGAGGCAGATCATGTAATGGTGTGTATTTCAATAACAATTCAAGGAAAATAAAAATGAATTCATGTATAACAGGCAACAAAAGATAAAATATACCAACCAAACTGAACATGGTAGTTTAGTCACAGCACTAGAATGGAGAGTGCATGGTTCTGGTCTAGAAGCTATCAAGAGCTCTGAAGAAGAAAGCACAATTATTGCTTTTTACTGAGAAAATCCAGAGAAGGCTTCTGTGAACCAAAAAGTAATTAATTCTCTGATTGTCTGAAGTGTTGTCAATTTGCACTGGTCTTTCGCTTGTCTATGAAAGTTTGTTTATATCAAAGATTATTTAAGGGTTCTTATTGGACAGGAGATGCAGAAGCTATGAGAAATGTCTGTCCGTAAAAGACAACATTGAAGTACATAAATAATAGAAAACAGCTCTATATCACAAAGCTTTATGTTTTGTTTTAAATCAGCAATAACCATCAGCATCATCACAATTATTTTTTGTTCTTATCCTTTTACATCAGATCTTGATGAGTGTTCACTAGGTATCAGTACTTGTGATGCAGTGATGGAAGATTGTTTTAACACCTACGGAGCCTTCACGTGCAGCTGTGCTGATGGCTATGGACTCAGCAGTGGACAATGCCAAGGTATACATTGGTATTGCTGTCTACTTCCCCATTAAACTGAATTATGAACATATGGTTTGAGTGATGAGAACTTATTTTCATTGAAACAGGGTATATGAAGAACAGATGAATCTTTGAAAGAGCCTTCAGATTACATTTGTGTGCTATGTATAGTCATCTTGAATACATAAGTACAAAGTTTTGTTTAACATGATTTCAAACACATTTAATACCTCCCTTACTAAGGTACAGCAACACAATGCTCAACTCAGAATGAACCTAGAGAATCCTCAAAGTTGAAAGAATCATACTTTTGAAGCAATATTTTTTACAGAAGGCCACTTGTTTACATGCAGGTGCCAAAGTGTTTCAGAACATCAAGTATTCTTGATTATGATAATGCTACGAGACCAATCAAAGAATAATACTTCCTCAGTGATTCATTACTGTATTTATTCATTCCTTATTTTCATTTCTTTGATAGATGTTAATGAATGTCTTGATGACCCTTGTGATAGCCAGGTGAACACCCGATGTGAGAACCTACCTGGATCATACCAGTGCGTCTGCAGGACAGGTTACTATGTCGTCAACTCTCAATGCTTGCGTAAGTATATGCATAGATATCATTCAAAAAGTTTTTGATTAGTATTTATTTCCTATTAGTATTTCTATTCCCCCACAAATCATGAATATAACACATCCTGAAATAGGAATGATTAAATTTGGTCATATGACCAAATAAGTTTTATTTTCTATCTATGAGAGCTTTATATACATGTACTGTACTGCATTCATTTGAACTGTACTCATGCATGTATCTGATTCTTAGACAGGACAATTGTGATAACCAACATAGTGAAAGAGGATTGTAATTGTTAAACATTCGTGCTAGATACAAGAGCCTATTACAAATTATGATGGAATATGATGCAAATGTACATTGACTGCCTTTTAGTAAATTGTGTTTAAAACGATGTCATACTTTACTGCTCGTTTAAGTGTGGTAATTCATTTCTTCCATTTTACCCCCAATCCATCCATCCATGTTCCACATATCTGTTCACCAATCTGCTCACCAATCTATTTATCCGCTTCATCAATTAATTTAGTCCTTTCTTCATCCATCTTCTATCTTTGGTTTATCCATCCATCAATCCATCTAACTATTCATCTGTCAAAAAAAACCACCGATCGGTTCACCTCATAGACAACTAATGGAATCCTTTTGATGAGAACTTTCCCTATTATATATTATGTATATTTTGATCACAGCTGCCATGTCAATGCTTCTCTCTGCGACCTTCACTGATATTGCTGGATTGGAGGTGCTCGGACAGTACTTTGTTTACAATGATTTTGCTTTGTACATACCCCAGCTTGAAATAGATGTGAGTATAATTATATGTTTTTAAGTCTGATCATTAACAAAGATGTAATATTATACAGATATTGACTGGCAGGGGAGGGGGGGGGGGGGTGATATTATATATAGATATTAGATAGCTTAGACAGATATCGAGATGTGATTGGTTCAGAGCTCGTCACATGATATCGATTGCGAGGATCTATTTTCTTTTCTCCCTTGAATTTTTTTTTCTCCCTCAAAATGTTTTTTTTTTGAGAAATTTGTTTTTCTCTAATTTTATTTTCTCGAAAAGTTTTTTTGATAATTTTTTTCTCTCAATTCTCCCCCCCCCCCATCTTTTTTTTCTCCCTAATTCCCCTCCCCCCCCCCATTTTTTTCGTCAATTTTTTTTCATCTCACTTTTCTGACTAAAATGTCTTGTTTCAAAAAAGGAAGGAAGATAAAAATATAGTGAAATGTCTACAATTTTCTTGGATATAGTCATTTGGAATCCACAAGGTGAATAGCACACTGATTTTGTGTTTTGATTATCCTTCTTGTAAGACAAATGTTAATACTCTCCATTCATGTAAATTGTATATCTCCTGGGAGGCGTTTCACAAAACTTTACATCAGTGACAAATGACAGTTTTTGTTATGAGCTACTGAAATCCTTGCTTCTGATTGGTTATCAACAGATTTGTCACTGATTTTTGTCATTTGTCATTGAAACAAGGCTTTGTGAAACGGGTCCCTGATGAGAGCCAGAAGGGTATTAACTTACATCCTTTACCTCAGAGTACTAGTAGATGTTCTTCCTGCCCTCAACAGATGTTTCCTGTCCTGTAATACAATGTTTGTTTCTGTAATGATCCTGACTGTCACTAATTTCCTCTGAAAATACTTTGTCCTCTAGGTGGACACCCTCCTCCAAAGCGCCGGTCTGACCAACTACACGGCTGTCTCCGTCTCCACCTCTCGTCTCCAGACATTGGGAGTTGAGGTCGAGTTCATCCTGGACTTCCTTGCGACATCTACGACCACGAAAGATGAGATTCTAGTGGCTTTCCTGGCAGGGCTTCAAGGGAGAGATGATATTATCCTGCCAGATAATGTCATTATCAGGAGTACTGTGTTTGTTGGACAGCCAGGTTAGTCCATAACAGAATTTGTTATTTGGTACCGGATTTTTTTTCAGGCTGCAAAGGCCATTTTTGCAAACAATAGACTTTTGGAGTAATCAGGATTTTGATGTTGAGCAACATTACCGTAGTAAATTAATCTATGAAACTTTAACAATACATCCAGGGGGGTGTTTCACAAAGATCCCAAGTTGAACTTATCTCTAAGTTGGACTTAACATTTATGGAAAGCCATTAGCATCTTTAAAAATATTTTGTAAAAGTTATTTTAAAAGGCATGAAAAGTTGATTTTGTTCATTCATATTTTCCATTATCTAGGAGATTTCATGTTCTTGATGTGGAATTTATAAAAAGTCTAAAATACTTGAATTTTCGCTTTTGAATATATTTTATTTTAAGGCTACAAATGGCTCTCCATAATTTTTAAGTCCAACTTAGAGTTAAGTTCAACTTAGGATCTTTGTGAAACACCCCCCAGATATTATATGAAAACTCTATTTTTTCCTCCTTGGAAATCATGATGGTAACTTTTGGTCAATTTATAGAGATAAGCATTATTAGGTCAATAAATTGACAGTACTTTTGAACATTACCATTGAACTTTGAAATGGAAATTATTTCAATGAAGTTATATCATTTTTTTTACACAGATACAAATCTTAGTTGGTGTATTTCACATACTCTCTTTTCTTAAGTTAATTCATTTAAATACTGCACATGTATGTGTAGGCAAATTGAGGCTTGGTTGAATAAGAAGAATGAAATTTATGGGGAAATATGATTCATCTTAAAAATTGTACAATGCTACATGGTCTGTTGTCCCCATTATCCATTAATAAATTACAAGAGTGAAATATTGATGAATTTGTACAAAGTTGAAGGCTTTTCTAAGTGATGGATTTTCACAGATATTTTGTGACTTCTGAAAATGATGGATTCTGACAGATTTGGTGACTTCAGAAAGTTATGGATTCTAAAAGATTTGATGAAACCTGATAAATTTGAAGACTTTTTTTCTTTCTTCTTTTCTTGAATACAGTGATTAATCCATGTGTGGAGGAGACAGACAACTGCACAACAAACTCAGACTGTATCTTCCTTGGTACCTCTGGAAACTATACTTGTCAATGTCAAGATGGATTCATGGGAGATGGATTCACAACCTGTACAGGTACTGGATGAACAATTGATTTTTAATACACCAGGGGCAAACTACTCACGAGTTATGATTGATTCAAATCAATCGCAACAGTGCCATAGTTTACTTAAGATATGGGAGATTGTAAACTTGCAATTGATTGAGGACTAGAGATCCAAACAGATCAATGGCAAGTCTCTATCAGTCAGGGCCCTGGTATACTATATGGCAGTACATTGTGGAGCATGTACATGAGATGTTAACTTTTAAAATGACACCAAGTTTAAGAACATGTATCTCAAATTTAATTGCTAGAGACAGATTTTTAATCAATTTTTATTTTATTTTGATGAAAAGATTTTCAGTGAAAACATTGTTCCTTCATATCAGTGTTCACATTTTATCAATATTCTTGAAAAGAGAAATTCAAGTTTTAGCTTTTTAAGTAGCTAAGACCTTCATTTGCAAAGAAAGAATTACTCAGTTTTGGGCAAAACTTGTTTATATTCATATGAAAGATGATGGATGGCATACTCTGAGGAAAAGTAAAGATAAGATAAATAAAAACCTGACTTTGGGTATTACAGTAATCACTTGGCAGTCAAGGTCTTCTTTAATAATCCAATCATTTTTTAGGCAAAAAGATGTCATATATTTGAAAGATGTTCATGCGTGGGTATATAGTCGTCCAAGAAGTAGACAACTTGCCGATCACTACATAACACTGAGATAATGGGTATAACACTCCTGTGCGTACGTCCGTGTGCCGCCTTCTATATGCCCACACTTGAGTAACTGTAATATGACTATTAAAATAATTTGAAGTTACAGTACTTTCTTCCCCGATGTTTGGTAATCCAATAAACTTTCCTGCTTCAATTTTCCTTATGTTATTTTTCTGCTTTTCTGATCATATCCACATCTGTTTGAGATGTATCGTATTTATCAACATTACTTTCTTCTACACAGACATCAATGAATGCCTGAATGACACGTCATGCACAAATGAAGGAGAGAGGTGTGTTAACACTGCCGGAAGCTATTCTTGTGACTGCATGATAGATAGAGGTTACATTGCTAATGATGGAGTATGCACATGTAAGTCTCTAGTAGTTTGTAGGCTGATCTTGTCTGTAGTCCCAGGTAGTCAAAATACAGTCTGTGTGAAACAGGTGCATTATAATTTTGCTCACAAAACTACCACCCCTGTAAAATTTCCAAATAGTCTATCAGAAGATGTAATGAGCAATAAGCTGCTACGATTTGTTGAGTGCATATTTTGTCTAAAATTCAGTTCCATGGTAACTGAAGCACACCTTAAAGAAGTTTAGACTAAAAGTTAACAGCCCAAATTAGAAACTGACTGGTTTGCAAAGGGAAAATAAGATATGGAGATTGATGATCTCAGTGAAGACAAGTAAACAATGATTTATAGAAGTTGGGTGGGACAAAGGAGGCGTGATAGCTCAGTGGTAGATACATGTAGCAGTGGTTGCATAACTTGGATGTCCCCTTGTTCGAAACCAAGTCGATGTGCTAGTGCCCTTTGGTAAGGCATTAATCCTCATTACTCAGTCCCTCGGAGAGGACTTAACGCCGTTGGTCCCCTGGTTGCTTACTGACAAGCACACCCATGCTTTCTTAGCAGTCGGGTAAAACAAACACACCAAATGACATTGGACCAAATGACCATTTACCTTTGCAGAATTACTTATCTAAGGTAGATATTAAGTCTATCAACCTCTTTTATTCCCAACACAGTATATGAAGTATACCGTGGCCAGCTCACTGTCAATTTTATCAGCGGTCTCCCAGCTATTTTCACTTCAGACCTCACTGACTCCTCTAGCCAGGCTTACTCGAGTCTAGCTTTCTTAGTCAGCAATGCGGTAAGTTTATGTACAGAATATGTACAGTGTATCATTTGATGATTTCTGCAATGTATCTTTCGAGTTAGTCAGCTCATTAATATACATTTTTGTGGTTTTGTTTTCCAATTGTTTTTGTACAAATAAATCTTGCAGGAAAGTATGTTTAACCTGTTACTTACTTGAACCAGGAGACTCCTGTATTAAGCCTGTGGCAATGAGGAAATTCAGTAGTGGATTAATATTCAGATTGCTCTTTGTATGCATGTAAATAATCTTGCATGATAGTGTCAGAAGTACTCTCTTTTTTTCTCTCATTTTTATGACGGCTCTTTTTGGATATTCGATAGTAAAAAATAATTAGATTACTTTGTGGCAATTTGTTTATGTTTATACCTCACTGTTAGTTTACCAATGCTGTTTAAGAACTAAATCACCCATTGCTGGCATGTATCTTAAATTTTGGCTTGCCGTATAGAGGTTTGTGGATAAATAGATGTTCATGTGCATGGTATAGAAAAAAAAGAGAGATAAAAGAATGTGTTTTTATGTAACCATTTCAGATACGATATCTCTTCCTACTGGAGCCAAACCTGCAAGACTTCTTCCAGTCTTGCACGGTGTCTGGTTTCACCAACGGCAGTGTGGTGGCGACATACTATGTTTCCTTCACCCAGTCGGTCAATATTTCAAGCAGCTCCCTCACAGCTCTCCTTGTGAACACCCTTGAGACTGGTGTCATTCTTACTACAGGCATTGCCTCTCAAGGGAATATCAATGTAGATATTAACTCTGTGGAATTCACCAGTAAGTAGACATTTCACTGTTAAATTCTTCCGAGTATTGTACTACCGGTACTGCATTTACAGTGTACATGTAAATAGTTGGTATTTAATTCAATACTTCAGGCAGAAATATTTGAATTTTACTCAGTTAGGAAACATTAGAATTCAATTGCATTGTTTGGCTTTCATACATACCTGTATTTAACCTAAAGTTAAAATCAGACAAAGCCAATTGTTTTGAAAACCTGGAAGTGCATCCGTTATTCTTGTCAAAGAAATACTGTAATTTGATGATATTGTTTGACTTTTTCAGAAATTACCCAAGAGTGCACAATCACTTTCTGTTTCAATGGAGGAATATGTTCTTTGCAGAATGGATTGAAAGTCTGCCAGTGAGTATAAGCTCATTTTTATTCTTTTCATATAAAGTTACATGTGTTTACCCATCTCCCTACTTGTATTCAGATTTTAAAGTGCACAGTGGACTTAAAGGTATAAGACAAAGTTTTGGTATGGGGTCATGAATTTGGTTCAAATGTTCAGTGATCATTGTCGCGGTTGAAATCGAGTCTAAAGTTATGAAATTGTAAATCATAATCTCGTTATGTTGTATAGCTCCCTCTCAAGGTCAAGATATTAATAAAGCTATAATGCAACTAACTCCCATCTCGCCTTTTATGTGCATTTTATGCAATTTTAATATTGCAGCTTTTTTTTTTTTTTTTTTTTTTTTTTTTTTTTTTTTTAATATAAAACCATATCACTATTAATTTCATTTCACCAAAGAAAGTCGCTCGTGGGCTTGATTTCCGAAGCCCACGCCAAAGCTATACACGAAATTGACTGGCGCAAATAATCTTTGAGATTGAAGAGCGCCATCTAAACGAAGAACCAACCAACCAACCTATAAAACAATGTTTCTTGACTAAAATCGACCGATTAGCTATTCCCGTTTGGAAATTATATTTCACAACTACATATTCTGAGATTTTCATGGTCGCAGCTACCATTGTATGGCCGTAGGCGCTATTTGAAAATTGTTTTAGGGGCTGAATTTTCTAGTGCTCATAATACATCCACAGGGGAATCCAAATATTTCAAAATTGTAAAGAATCACTATCCAGCCAATTTTCAAAATTTCCCAAAACTTTGTATTACCTTTAAACCAAGTACATAGATCACGGGGAACCAATGGTCACCGATTAGGCATTATTTGTTATATAGAGGGCGCAAGTAGCTACAAGTAGTGCAGTGTTGCTTTAAACCAAGTAGCCATACAGACTTATTGTCCTTGTGCTTATGATCCAAAGACTAATGAGCTACACATAGTTTAGCAGCTTCTCTGATGTCCAGATAGTTCAGAAAAAAACTTCACCAGAATCATATTATCAACTAAGGGTCAGTAGGGCACTGATTCCCAATTGACACATGTTCGTTGACATACATGCTCAACTGTAGAGTTAATGCTAGGATGCCTTTCTGGCGCTGAACAGAATGCAGGTGATAAACTGATTAAAGACTCATTGAATATTGTTTGCTGAGAGCCATAAGGGCACTTCATCATATCTTACAACATTCAGCTACTGCCTACTTGCATCTAAACAACAATTATAGATATGTGTTTCATGCACAAGTGATACTACAGGTCACACCATCATGACTAAAACCTTGTATAATGTTTGTTCCATGAAGGTGCCCTAGTGGTTATGAGGGAGATACTTGTGAGATTGCTCCTAGCACTCTGCCTCCTACTATAGCTACTACTCTGGAGGGGAGTACCATGGCAACGGAAAACATCACTGAGATGACCAACACCACAACATCATCCCAGACAAGTAAGTTATGAGGGGAGCGCATAATCATTGAGCTTGTGGGGGGATTAGAGGAATTAAGAATGACACACTACTGGATTTATTCAAAGGAAACACGATGGCTCAATGGTAGAGCAGTGGTCTTGTAACTGGGAGGTCCTGAGTTCAAAGCCCAGTTGATGCGTTAGTGCCCTTTGGTTAGGCATTAATCTTTATTACCAAGTCCCTCAAAGAGAACTTAAAGCTGTTAACCCCCTGGACATTTACTTACAAGCATACACATGCTTTGTTTTTGGTCAGGTGAAACAAACCAACTTACCAACCAACCAACCAACCAACCAACCAATCTTGATAGGAACCGTTTATGCATTTTTTGTCTTTATTTTTGCCCTTTAACTTCAATATTTGAATGATTTGAAATCAAAACCCCATACGCTGTTGATTTACATTGGACTTATCAGTCACATTATTTTATTCACAGTAGGATTTATCTCATGGTGCTATAAAGCAACATCTTAGAGCAGTGGCTCTTAACTTGATATACCATGCATGTTCCAGAGACTCCAGTCTGAGCTTAGCATTCACCTTGGTAATTTTGATGGTCCCAAGACTCCATCAGATGTTTTGAATCAGAATCATGACTAAATCAGAAATTCTTACCAGGATCTAAATCCCTGAAATATGCTTCATTATATTATATAGGATTCCAATGAATGTGGTGAATTTGTGTCTGTAAAATGTCCTGCTGGAACTCCAAAACAAGCCCAATGGAGGTCATGCCTAACAATTAACCTCTAGGTTAATCAATACTCATTGTCCTGCTTTCATTAGTAGTTGTCGCTCGAGTTCATTCTGCTACTCTTTGTTAAATTTGATAATAATAATAACATTCCTTTCTTGTATAGAACATATCACATTATCACGTCCCTATGCACTTCCAAAGTGCTCTGGAAATTATTACCCTAGCTTTAGCTCCGTCACCTGTTATCAGCGCACAGTGCATGTCAAGGAATATTTCTACTCGGTACCTATTTACCACACCTGGTCTGAGTGTGGCAAATGTAGATTAATGTCTTGCCAAAGGACATTAGTGCCGCGGCGGGACTCGAACCACAGACCTTGTGATCCGCAGTCCGGTGACATATGCACTCGACCACAACATTTTCATTTCAGTACTTATATTGCTTATTCAAGATTAGTTTTTCAATTGATCCCCACTTTCTTATTACATTCTAGCTTACCCATTGATAGATTAATACTTTTGTCATGTTTGCATAATGAATCTTGCAACAAATTGTAATGTTGTTTTGCCCTTTTCATTCTGTTCTATTCGAGATCTCTACACTTCAGATGGTGCTGGCTCATCATTAAGCAGTGTAACTACAGCTGTTCCTCTAGAAACTTCTACATTTTCTATGGCAAGTCAGGTCTTGACTACAGATAAGTCAGTCACCTCACAAATTCAAACCACCAATAACTTACCACTTGTAACATCAACCCCTGGGGAATATACCTCACAGATGAGTACTTCCACAGAGCTCTCAACTGGGACTGTTATTCTTTCGTCTACCACGATTGATGTAACTTCTGAGAATTCTGTAACTGACCCTGAATCAACTGTCCAATTTACTGAGGATACTACCACAAGTGTTCAAGGTTCAACCACAACAGTTGGTACAGGAGGTATCTCAGCAACTGCAACAACCACTCAGTCTTCTATGGAAATGAGTACTGGTGCAGATACGACAGAGATATCGACTTCTGATGTAACATCACAATCTCCTACTACTTCAGGATTCACAACCTCAGGTTTGAGAACTGGTGCAGAATCAACAGAGCCAGGGACAAGGACTACTGAGGAGGAATCAACTAAAGCAGGAACAACTGAAGGATTCACCTCAGATGTAACATCTACTGCTTTACCAACATCAGATATCACCACCAATGGTCTGACTACCGAGGAGGAGACAACTGAATCAGGAACAACTGAAGGATTCACTTCAGATGTTACATCTACTGGGCCGTCAACTTCAGATATCACCACCAATGTTCTGACTACTGAGGGGGAAACAACTGAATCACAAACAACTGAGAGATTCACCTCAGATGTTACATCTACTGCTTCCTTAACATCAGATATCACCACAGACATTCCCTCAACTGGGCCGTCAACATCATATATCACCACCAATGGTCTAACTACTGAGAAGCACACAACTGAATCGGGAACAACTGAAAGATTCACTTCAGATGTTACATCAACTGGGCCGTCAACATCAGATATCACCACCAATAGTCTAACTACTGAGGAGGAGACAACTAACTCGGGAACAACAGAAGAATTCACCTCAGATGTTACATCTACTGCTCTACCAACATCAGATATCACAACCAATGGTCTATCTAATGAGGAGGAGACATCTGAATCAGGAACAACAGAAGATTTCACCTCAGATTTTACATCAACTCTGTCGTCAACATCAGATATCACTACTAATCGTCTGACTACTGAGGAGGAGAGGACTGAGGGAATAACCTCAGATATGACATCTACCGCTCTACCAACATCAGATATCATTACCAATGGTATGACTACGGAGGGGAAACAACAATCTCGCAAACATAGCGATTTTGTACTCTTATATATAAGAGCAGAAATTTGTAAAGAAATCATGATCAGTACAGGTCAAAAGTTGATATCTACTTTAGATAGGAGTATTTGTTTCCCATTTATAGAAAAGTATGGCATGATTGACAAAATTGAAGTAATCAGTGGGGTTGTTTTTGAGTGTGTATATTGTTGACTTGAGGTTCAATTGGTTTGAGAGTAAGTTAGCATCTGCTAAAGATATCAATATCACATTCAGTAGAATAAAAACAAAAAAATATTGAACACTTTGAAGTAATTATGAATTGATAAAAATTATGATAATTATAATATTGATGTTAACAACAATACAAAGTATTCATAATCAGTGTTTATGGGCATTAGTATTGATTTACAGAGAATTAAGAATAAGTCAACATCTTCTCTAGATTAACAAAAAAATAATGTGGGATTCAATGCTTTTTATATATCCATGTTGTCTTTGATATATTTTAAGAATCTAGATGTTTTGTCATATTAAGTAGTATCAAGAAAATCAGTTATCTAACTTTGCGTTTATACCAGATGAAAATGAGTGTGCATTGGTGTCATTAGTTGCTTCCAGGAGGGTAACAACACCACCCCTGCTCCAAAACCTTGATGGTGGTTAAGGTTCTGAATTGTTTCAAGATGTTGTAATTTTAGCCCATAGCTTATGGAACTAGTTGTTTTGTGTAATAAGCTTATGGGACTGAGACAATTCAGTAGTTAACAGGTTAAATCTCTTGCATTTAATTATCATCTTTTCTATGTGTTTATACCAGATGAGGATGAGTGTGCCCTTGGTATTAGTGATTGCCCCCAGGGGTGTAACAATACCACCCCAGCTCAGAACCCAGATGGTTTCAGTTGCTACTGCTATGAAGGCTTCATCGCTGACCTGCAAGGCAACTGTGTCCGTAAGTCAATTCAATTCAATTCAATTCGCATTTATTTCATTCTCGATTAAAAATCATATTGATACAAGTACCAAAGAGTTCGCTAAACTTCTGGCCATATGTTGCACAAAGAATCACAATTGATTACTAGTCACATTACTTTGAACCAGTCAGGCATCATAATAATCTTGATTTATGTTAATGACACAAACTTAATTCTAACAGAATAGAAGAAGAAAATGGACTGGAACACAGAATATCCAGCAGACAAAATAAATAATAGCACTCCAACAATTTCGATAGAAAATGAATGATTGCCAACCAAGTAAGGATGTGCAGTTCATTTATCCTTATTTTTACAATATTTAATTCTAGAAAAATCTTGTTTTCAGGGGTGCTCCTTCTCATGACCCCTCTTCAAGCTCAGTCACCCGTCTTTCAGGCTAATTAGGTGATAATGTATAATAAGATTGGTCTCCCGTTTCATTTTCAGCGGAAACAAGCTGCATAAGTACTGTATGTAGCAATGCAGACTGTGTTAATCTCAATGGAATGGAGATGTGTGTTTGCTACAATGGCTACAAATTCAACAGCTCCGACATCACATCTTGTATAGGTAAGCACTATTCCGTTATTACTATTCGTTACTTTGTATTGCCTGTGCCTTGGATAGAGATAATTGAACTTAATCACTCTGACCCTTGACCCTTGGGTCTCTCCCCCCAGTATAACTGATGGGGATGTACAGGTGAAGCCCTATACATGGGTCACTCTACTCTTGGCGAGGAGTGCAGTGGGTTCTGAACGTGCATCAGGATTACTTTCCTACACTTGAGATCTCTTTTTGACATCGTGTATGAGAGACATCAATCACATTGTTTTTCACTGTTTCCTAGTGTGCATCTACATGTATGAATCAGGGAAAGGGCTCATTTCACAGACAACACTAGCTCGGAGTCATCAATCCAAGCTGGGAGGTGTTTCACAAAGCCTTTTTTCAATGAAAAATGACAGAAGTCAGTGACAAATCTGCTGATAACCAATCAGAATCAAGCATTTCAGTAGCTTATAACAAAGCTGTCATTTATCACTGATGACAAGTTTTGTGAAACATCCCCCTGATTTCTAATCATGATCTGTGGATTGACATGAAGACACTTTACTAATTGAGCCAATTCCCTTTAAAATCTCAATTCAACTAAATTACCATTCTCCTTCCTTTCTAGATATTGATGAGTGCACTGATGTAGAATACAGCAACATGTGCAATCAGGACTGTACCAATACCATCGGAGGGTACAACTGCTCTTGTTTTGAGGGGTATTCCCTTATGACTGATGGCCGCACATGCAATGGTAAGATTTGCAAATCATTGACCTTTGACCTTGTAAACTATGACAGGCATACATTCGTAAGAATTATGCGTAAAGAGATGCGTAATAAAGAATACAGTTTTTTGTATACCTTGTACATTCATGTCACGTACATCATTGAGGTTCTGTATCATACCCTTATTCCATTTCCATGAAGTACCGAAGCTGTGACATCATAAAAATCTATTCTTAGAATTTCTCAATTTTTTCATTTTCCGAAAGAGCATAATAAATAATGTCCAAATGTTGAAAACCAGTTAAAAAGGTTAAGTATTGGCTGAGATATCACCATCTGAATGAATAGATTTCCTATAGGAAACTGTGTTATATTGCTCTGGTTCATAAAGTTTTGAGCCAGAGCATATAACACTGAGCAGGAACAGGATGACTCCTGGGACCCGCTTCACAAAGCCTTTTTCCAATGACAAATGACTAAATTCAATGACAAATCTGCTGATAACCAATCAGATGAAAGGATTTTACTAGCTTATAATCAAAACTGTAATTTTTCACTGATGCCAAGTTTTGTGAAATGGGGCCCTGTACTAAAGCCTATGGGAAGAAAAGAAATCAGGAATCAATGGGTTAATATAAGCTCTGAGTTCAAGATTTTGAAGATAAACAGAAGTGTGTACCTTTAAAGTTTGAGTCATCAAACAGAATAGATTTTCCTACCTGCATATACTTTGTATATGTTCCTTTATTTCTTGACCAGACATGCATTTTGTAGAAAAATTGTACATATCACACTAAATTTTATATTTTCTTATTACCTTTTATCATTGAAACCTAGGTGTCATTGAGTCTCATGATGTAAATGCCATTAGCGTACAGTATGTTGATGAGATACTGAATTATTTAGTTCATAGCAATATTTCTTTTTTAGAATGCAATTGCATAATCTTCTGTAAGAGATTCTCGTAAGTGTATGGTTGTGCCTAAACATTGTGAGGTACATATTATTTATTTAATTGTATGTCATTTTGTTTTACTCCTTTCTTTTTTTAATCAGATATCAATGAATGCCTAGAAGGAAGTAACACATGTGATACAGCATCTCAGATATGCATTAATACAGTGGGAGGTTTCATGTGTCAATGCATGACCGGATTCGTACAAAATGGATCAATTTGTCAAGGTAACATACATGTGTTTTATTTCTATTATTTATTGCAAGAGTATTTTGTTGTGCAGTTTCCTCAATACAATAATAGAAGATTTTTCTTTTTAGGATAGTTTCAAACTATTTTGCTCAATCTCTGCACATATCCTTCTTTCAAAAAATTTGAGTTTGTTTGTTATTCACTCTGTCCTTTTTTCTATTTTTATATACTCCTTGTTTTCCTAATAAATAAAGAAATTCACAATCCAGTGAAATGCTTTTTATTACATTGTGCTTGAGCATTCAAGATGTTTTTAGAAATGTTTATAGGTGTTTTACTTGACTAACGAATTAAGAAGAAATTTTCCTCATTATTCTTTAATAATTATGGGAGAACTTATACATGTTTTTGTTTTCTTTTAGACATCGATGAGTGTGCTGACAGCAGTTTATGTGGAACAAATGCAATGTGTATCAATTCTTTTGGCAGCTACATGTGTAGTTGTGTGAGTGGTTATGATGGAGATGGGATCACCTGTCTTGGTGAGTTTGATATGGAATTCAAGTCATTTACTTTCTCATTATGATATGATAATAATCTATGAAGAACAAAACTAACATGAACAGGATTCCTTGGGTCCTTGGAAATCCTTTGAAATTCTTGATTTTTCAAAGTTGTCCTGGAAAAACCCAAATGTGATTTTATGGCTGGAAACCTGTTTTATAAAATCAAGGCGTAATTCTTATTTTCTGCATAATTCTTCTTCAGATGAATAGTGTTTTAAAATAACAAAAAGGTACAACATTGTTATTAACATCAGATTTTGGGGCATTTTTTGTTAAAGAATCTATTTAATTGTTGTAAAAACCTATACATTTCTTTCCTTAGCTCGTCATGTGTAGTGCATAATGTAACGAATATTCTTTTTTTCACTTCCATACCTTGATCTGTAGTTAATTCATGTAAGCTATTAACTGTTCTTCTCTTCCAGATGTTGATGAGTGTTCAAATGGGAATGATCGTCATGAGTTTGCACAGTGTGTCAATACAGAGGGATCCTATAACTGTTTTTGCTTGAGTGGTTACACCGGAAATGGAACATTCTGTGAAAGTGAGTATTTTATCTTTAAGAAATTCAATTCAGTGAAATGTAAAAAAATAACAATGGTTACACCGGAAATGGAACATTCTGTGAAAGTGAGTATTTTAACTTTAAGAAATTCAATTCAGTGAAATGTAAAAGAATCATCCTCTAATATCTCATTATTATATTTAGGTGATAATTGTTGTTAAAGTGTTATCAAAATTCCTTTACATTACTATGTATCTTATTTGATTAAAGATGAAAATTGTTTCTTTTATTTGAATAGGACCACTATTATGTTAAATTGAATTGGATGTATTACTGTAAATATACTCATACTATTGCATATGTCACTTTATTATGTCATTGCACTCAGTATCATCCATTTTGAAAGCATTAAGAATTGATTTCATTGTGCAAGTAATCTTATTTTATTTTGCATTTGCTCATTATTTTTGATATCCTGAAAAGGGGCAAATGTGATTTACTTGGATCAAAATTCTTTCTTCCAACAGACATCGATGAATGTGTGAACGACACCACCTGCATATCACCAGCGGTCTGTGTTGACACCTCTGGAAGTTTCATCTGTGAATGCCCCAGTGGATATGACCCTACTGGAACCAGCTGTATCAGTAAGTTAGGAATATGGTTCAGACTATTTACTCCTCATACCCCCCCCCCCCCAAGGCCCCATCTGGCATTCAGTATTACATCCAGAGCTGCAGATCTTGTTCAGTGCCTCTATACCCTTTGATGCATATTGTCCATAGAATTTAAATGAATTTGTTAGATAATTGGGTATTTCATTACCCAATCGATCATTACAGGAAAAAAAATCAAATAAGCCGTCATGGGGTCACAGCTGTTTCACAGAATTTGTTTTAGGATGGCTGATAAGATATTTCTCACATTTCTTGTTCACATTTCTTGTAAATGTAGCTTTATTTACATGTATATATTGAAATTAAATATTTTTGTCACAGTTAATATTCAATAAACATACTTGTACAAACGATGTTTAATCTTTCAAACATTTTCTGATTATTCTTCTACAAATTCCAATATAAAGGCCACAATTTCTTGTAACTTTAAACTTGTATATCTATCACTAGTTTTCCTTGTGTACATTAGAATAAGATTACAGTAATTATTTAATTCTCTAATTTCTTTCTACCCAGACATCAACGAGTGCACCCTGTCTCAGAATGACACTCGCCGTCATGAGTGTGAATCCAATGCTGCTTGTGTGGATCTCCCTGGGAGTTATAACTGCTCCTGCTTAGCTGGTTACCAAGGCAACGGACTCCAGTGTGAAGGTGAGTGAATGGAAGTTGTGAGACCACTGATGTAGCAGAAGTTGCAGTGATATTTGATTATTGTACACAGCATTATTGTCTGTTAAGTAGCGTACATAGCTCAGTGTAGTGATACATTAAGATGTGTTTGGCATAAAAATGGCATACAATCTGCCTATGATATTTGATTATTGTACACAGCATTATTGTCTATTAAGTAGCGTACGTAGCTCAGTGTAGTGATACATTAAGATGTGTTCGGCATACAAAAATGCATGAGATCTGTTGCAAAGAGACAGAGCTATAATTTAGCTGTGGAGCTTGCATATACATACCTCTAATACATGTACCTTGATTAATTTAAATAATACCAAATCTGGAAATCAGACGGGCTTTATGTGTTTAGATAATCCAACATCACCAACAACTAATGACCATGGATTGAAAATTTACTACTGGGTACTTATTTCTTCCCATAGACGTTACACAAGGCCCGCTTAATTTGCTGCATGCACTGTTTCAAAGTTAAATGGTTGTGTTAAAAAGTACTGTCTCTTTATTGACCTGGGTTTGTCTTTATATTTTGCATCAAATTTCTCCACTTCCAGATATCAACGAGTGTAACACACCAGATGCATGCGTCACCAACTCCCAGTGTACTAACATGAACGGGTCCTACATGTGCACATGTGATGCTGGTTACCGTGGTGATGCTCGCATCCAGTGCAATGATATCAACGAGTGTGATGAGAATCGTATCATCTGTGATGAGAACGCCAGCTGTAACAACACGGTTGGTAGCTACACCTGCACATGTAATGATGGATTCACATCTAATGGAACTGCGTGCACGAGTAAGTACAAATCCCAGAACTAGTCTCTCAACTAAATAATAATAATAATTTAGCTTTTATATAGCGCTTAATACAAATGTCTCTAAGCGCTTTATAAATATACTATTACCCCGGTCATTGGATACAGTGCATGCCCGCACACAATGTATGCATAATCTCCACTCGCTGGGGAGCATTCCAGCCAGCCAATGTTGAAAAGAGTTGCTTATGATCCAAATCAATAGCAAGTCCCCGAATCAGTCACAAACCTTTACCAGACATAAATGAGTGAATAAAAAACAAATAAATATTTCCTTTTATCTTTTGACATACATATTTTAGAATAATATCAATTTCATCCTTTTAATACAGTCAGACAGAACCTTGGTTTTTCTTGTCTTGAGCTTGAACTGTACTCCTGATAATGAATTATAACCTGTTTTTTCTCCCTACCTTATTTTCAAGATCCCAAACTCTCACAGAACCCCTGATATCTATAATCGTCATTTTACAATTATTGTAATCCTTTACCTTATCAAATATGTATTTGTAATGTTGCATTATCTTCTCCCCAGAAAGGGCCTTATAGATTTAACATATCTGAAATGAATGCTTGTTAGACATTTTTACCCTCTGCAAGATGGACAACAATTGATCCTTTGAC